CATGGCGGTTATGGCAGGGAAGCAAGGTGCCCTGTGTGAAAGAATCTGTGTGATCCGGGATCTCCCAGACCATGTGACATGACTCAGTTGAAATTTGAAATTTTGTTATTCGTTGTCCAGATGGGCTCTAAGTACTGTGACACAGATCTGCTCATATAAATTATTTTCAGCTCTAACACAACATTTCAAGTATCGCGATCTCAGCGTATGTGTATGCATGACCCCTCATCCTTAATCTGCTGACCAAGTGTTGGCAGGCTCACATCCCATAGTGTTCTTCCGAGCCTGTGACCTTCATTTTCTACTTTGAGCAATCCCCTTGAAGGTCGTGATCGCAGTTCAAAGCACATATGATGCATAATATCTAGACTACGAAATACACGTGCCTTAACAATGGCTCTTCTTGATTTTGTCCATGGTGTCAACTCTTTCCCTCCCATACGTCGACATCTTTACCAGCAGCGCTGAACGCCGTCGTCGTCGTCGTACCGCTCTCGCGCAGGAAACGCAGACACTCAATTTCAGTCATCCGGACGATGCGAATAGATATTCAAACATTCAGCAGTGCTCTCAGCCCACAGTACCGATGACATATCCAAACCTCCTCCGTCGCTTCATTACCAAACACAAATAAATGTTCTCGACGAACTCCTCTCGGCCCCGTGAGTTGCAACAAAATCGTCGTGCTTCGCCCTATTCCTGCTCTCACCCACGATGGCCCCACGTGTCTCAAAAGACACTAATGCGTGTCGCGCCACTAGATTTCGGCTTTCTCTCATCGGCTCGCGCGATCCCGTAGCCATATTATCTGCATCAGTCGACTCTTTAGTACGGCGAAATGCTATTTCACGAACGAACGAGAGTACACGTTCAATGAGGAACTCGACTCTGAAACACACCTTTTACGGCATACGATTGCATGCGTGTGCTATGTATATCATCGACGTCGTTCCCTTCTGCAGCTTTGTCTAATAACTTCAGATTTTTCACCATTACGTCGTTGTCGAGTGCGAATGGGACGTTGTGACGCAACTCTGTTATGCACGACGGCCTTGCGTCGTACATATGCTTTGCTGCGGCAGTGGGCCCTCGCCTCAGGTGGTATTTTTGCACTAAGGTGACACCGACTGTGCAGGGTACGGCTGGCTCCCGAGGCACCTCCTTACACACTACATATTGTCTTCTTCCCATCTTTCTCCACTCGACGTTGTTGAACAGCCGCTCATCCCCCGCGTAATTTCCGTTGGCTAGCATACCTTCCCGAATGGCTTGAAGACAGTCTGCTGCGGACGACATCAATTGTTGCTGCTTCACACATGAGAATCGTACAGACCTTGATAAGTTCCTGCCCTTCGGTTATAACAGTAAGGCAAGCCCGCAAGCTATTCAGACACCACCGCATTTCGAGCCAGGCGAGGAGGTGGCGATTCAAGAAAGTATGGAATAGATTGTTGAGCCTGTCCTCCCATGGATTCAGAGCGCGCGAAATATGCATGGCCCAGTTTTGAAGGCATACTTCGGAGCGACTGAAGCTGAACGACTCCAATCCCGCACCTCGTTTGCAAAATTCATGAAGGCAATCATAGCGTGGATAACGTCCCTATCCGGCGGAGAAAGATCGTTTAGTGATGGTGACGCAGAAATGGAATGAGACCGGGGCCACAACGCTAGGAACATCGGATGCATCAGGAAATCCGGCAAGCTCTTGAGCTGCTGGATAACTTCGAAGGCTGGCAGTGAATGCAGTCCTGGTCCAATGATATGCTCGCCGATTGCTTCCACCGTCCTCGAGAATTCTTTCATTGTGACCCAGACAGACGCCGCAGGACTGGACTCCCATGCTTGGCCGCGCGGCGTCTGGATTGCCCGGTCGGGGTCTGGAGCCACTCTCGCTCGTCCTGAGTCCCTCTCCTGCGTAGGACGACCTTCGAAGGATTCGACACTTACCACCCTTTCTTGCTTCGGAGTCGACGGCCTCACCCGTGAGCGAAAGTGGAGCTCTTCGTGTCATCAGTGTGAACCTTGACCGAAGGGCACAAGAAGGCGTCAAAGTTGTATTCAACCAGCTTAGTCCCCCATGCAGATGTCGATTTCCTGTCAGCGTTCGCTCTCAGACTGCCGTCTAGCACTCCCGGTTCCGCTCTGTCTTCTTCAGCTAATGGACTGGGAACTTTACCAGAAGCTGTTATACTTCTTCCGTCGGTACCGAGCTCCAAGGGATTGAGACTTTCTGCATAATTTCAGTTTGTCACTGTGTACAAATGTACGTTGGGAGCAACTTATGCCGGTAGTGGTATAGCAAGAAATTTGTTTACCTACAGACTGTTCTCTCTTTAAATACAAGTACTTTGGAACACTGAATAATACCCCGACGAAACTTCGAATAAATTCTTCCCTGCAGAGCACCCGACATTTCCCACCCTAGACAGTACCGCTAGTTGACACATGTACACGCTCCTGGAAGGCAATGGAAGTCATGCCTGTTGCCACGTCGGAGTCGGTCACGAGCTTGCTGTGATATTCTCGAACGCTAAGGATGAGGCGTGGTCCCAGCACAAACAACTGCACATTCGAGAGAGTTTGAAGAATGCCACTAAAAATGATAGTCCCTATGGAATTTGAGTCCTATAACGATGATGAGCAATGACCACATGCAAAGGTTAGAGACGTATCGACACACCAAGAGGGATGGAGAAAGATAGGCAAGCTGGAGGCAAGAAACAGCAGTAAAGCTAGCACAAGCAGAGCTTCAGAAAAACAATCATAACCACGGTCACTTTGCGAGCTCACCTTCCAAAGTAAAGGGCATGAGATTTTACCAATACTATGAAATAGTCCTCGACGGTCGATCCTGTCGATTGTCCAACTCGGAGTAGTCGCAATTCACGGAAGTGTTTTATAGCAACCCAAATCGAAAGAAACAGTGCGAAGACCTCCCATACAGTATTGAGTATCCAGATCGTTGAAATCAGAAGCTGTACATCTCTCGCATAGTAGTAAGTGCACGCGTGATTGCCAGAGAGTATCAATTCCTCTGTGATCCATCCAATGAGCTTCATTCTTCGAGCCAATAAGTGAAGCTTTACCCCCTACAATATACTTCATCGCTATCCCGGCAAGCACTCCGCAGGCAATGTTGACAGCCAGAAAGACTACAATGAGAAAGACGAGAATCTTTCTCGATCCCTGATACATGGCATATAACCGAGTAGCCATGATAGCTTGCATAATGTTCCGGTCAGAACAAGATCACTGGAGCATTGTAGTAGAGCAACCCACCACCCAGCATGGCAGCTGTAACCACATTTGTCCAATTTAATGCTTTAATTATAATATTGCCTGAAAGTTTGACAAACCTGATCAGCGATCACTGTCATAGGATAAAACCTCGAAACAAACTTACACCTGTTGTAGTCGTTATGTTGAAGCAGGTGCGATGTCCAGGATGTCACTCACCCCTACGTATGTGTGCAGTCAACTGTATGAGAATGAGATAGACAGGTAAAGAATACTCACTGCATCCGTCTCCGAGACCGTGGGAAGGGTGGCTATATGTTACTGGTCAGAAAACACCAACTCAAAATATGTAAACATACCGAGAACCCACGCACTGGTTGTGAGAGATGGCTTCTTAGCACGGTACCGCATTGGCATTGTAAACTTACACAGCATATAATATTCCAGTATAACGTACCTAGAATATTTTGGAGTTAGTACAACTTACCAATTGCGCCTTTAATATAAGCTACATACGCTGAGGTATAGAACAGTCACCAGAGACAAGCGTTGCCTCTGCGCCGAATGGATGTTATGATCTTGTTGTTGTCGTTCTGACATGCGACTCTACTCACCCAGATGAGTTCAACCTATTAAGGCCATTCTTAGCGAGACGGTTACCCCGGTAATGAGATCAACTCACCTCTTGTGCGAAGGTCATTACTGGAGATATTATCACGAGATCAGTCGTTTTTCAATACCACCTGTTGCTCACCCCAATCGTATATCACTATAGCAGAGGCGGCAACTGCGAGAACGCGTCAAGGTTAGATCGGGATATCACTGACACTGTCTGATTAGCTCTCCACGAACCTATCCAATAGCTGTTTAACTGAGCCGAACTGATTACCGGCCACCAACTGGGATCATTTGAGACTACGGTCATATTCAAGGAGTGGGTGTCAGATAGTGGTGAACCTGGTGGATGTGCGTTCGTGCTAGATATACCATTTCCGGCGCTTGTGTCGCTAAAAGCGGTATGATGGAGATGGATGGTCATTCCTTCCTCAAGGCCCTTGATTGGTCGAAGTGGGCACCCTGGCGCGAGATCAAGTAGAAAGTGGAAGTCCTTGATTGAACCAAAGTAGATTTTCGGTTGCGGATCTGCAAACCAGTCTCACGCACGGGGAGTGTTTGAACAGTGGGAGTTTTCGAAAAGTTGTTCGTGATGTCGGGAATTCGTTTCTGAAATATTGCTGCACTTGCATCTATTCAGGAGTTCCGTGAGTAGTCATCGATCTAACATAGGTCCAAGCATGATGCGATCATTGTCATCGGCTGCCGTTGCACTCAGGCTGACATACATCTGTACTCTCTAGGCATCATTGGCTACAACCCAGGGACATGGCAGTTCCCCCGATAAATCTTCACAAAGACTTGGCATGGTACTAGAGAAGTCAGACGAGAAAAATAGTGAGTGCAAATATAACTGACCAGTCTGTGACTGATAACACCCGTTTGTTATATCTCCAAGCCACACCCCTCATCGCCCAATCACGCTGCTTCTTCTCATCGGCAGTATCTGTTACATTCTAGATCATACTACGTCGACACTGAGATTTGATCCGCGACAAATGAACGGATGCTACGCAAACGTCTCGGGAGAGCAAAAAGAAACATGCAAGCAGACCGACCGTTCAACATTTTCCCAAGTTGTCCCTGGTTACATCTTTGCCACCCCATAAGGTATCGGCCATTTCCTGAGGTAACTTGGATGAAAGGAAATGACTGAGGTGATTGCAGGCACTGGAGATTATACGGGTCAATGTGTAGAGCAGTTCTATGATGGGAATCGCAGTATGTTGACACAGCAAGGCCACACCTGTTATGTCGATGTTCACGATGTATGTTCGATAAGTAAAATGGAAGACGCACCGTGAATCATACTCGGGGTCCGTCCAAACGACCATCGAGATATATGTCTCTACCATATTCCTTGTCGCCTCATCCTCTCCCCGTCCCGTTTAAAACTTACCCAGGTGAAGGCACCTTGCCCATGTGCTGTGTAAAGAACATAGACAGATGCCTAATAGAGCTTCAAAGACGTATGCAGAACGGCTGAGAGCTGGGAAAACTGTGGTGGCCGTGTAGGAGCTGTCGAATGTGGTGAAACCAATGAGGAACACCTAAAGGCGAGCAAGCGACATCACAGTCCTCGAGCGATCCATCCCCTTCCAAGTATGCAATATGCTGATGTGCTGGATTAGTGAGCGTGAGCGAGGGACAGTCCTTGCGGGAGCATTACGGTGGGGATGAGAAGCAGAGGGTCTACTATGAGAAGAATCATCCAAGAGGTTGGACCGGAGGATGGTGATGTTGCTCTGGGAGTATTATTTCGAACCTGGAACGTCAGTACTCGCATAAATTAAACTATGTCCCAAAAAACCTTGGCATCCATTCAGTCTCATTCTCGTGGTAGATGTTGTGCGCAGTTTTAGTGCATGGTTTATCCATACCACATCTGAGCAGCTCGTTGTGGCACTTGTTCGCGGCTACGCGAAAGCAAATGAGGAGGGGCTCGATGAAGGTGTGAAGAGGACAGGGCTGCTTCTGCGAGGTCGAGAGTTTCTTGGACTCGAAGAAGAGAACGGGCGGCATCATCGATTGTACTTGTTTCATAGTGACCATAAGAAGTTGTTGGTATCCCATAGTTAGACTAATCGAATGAAGAGTCGTTCTGATCCTTCTGTATTACTAGGGGAACTTCGTAGTGGATATCACGGGTTCACCCATGTTCATTGTATGTGCGTGTAGTTTTGAGCTCGGCACCTATTGCAAATTGACAAGGGTAGTTACTACCACTAGCGGGAAATAACTTCGTAAAACAAATTGTGCATTCTTTCCGGCTGGTGCTACAGATAATTATATGTGCGTTCACCAGAATATCTGATGGTCTCGAATGTATCTCCCGTGCCTGTACCTAAGATACCAAAGTATGTAGCTCCAAAAAACCCGATGAAATAATAAAACAAAAATGGTGAACGAAGGTCGAAAGATATTGAACGAAGTGTGTTGTCATAAGTAAACTGAAGTGGTATTGTCCATTAAACCCTACCATAGCTTAAACGCTACAGAGGGTATGGCACTGTCCTAGTTATCGAGGAGCAGTGTCTGGAGCTACAACCAACGACAGTAAGCCATCGTTCCGCGAATTAAATAAACGTCTCCACTTACATTGGTATATGATGAGTCAGTATGCATCGCGTTCATGCAATGACACAGTAACAACCACCGGAGCTTGATGACGACTCCTCTTCTACTGGTGTTGACGATATAGGACTGCTTTCATCAGTGGCCTTCATAGCGAGGATGCTTGAAAATGAGTCCATTGGGGATGTAAAAAGGACGAGGGTGTGACTTTTACAAGTAGAAGGTGTTGTATGAGGTATGGTAGTCGGGTAAACTGCTGATGGATGAGAGGCAAAATTGTTTGAGCTGATAGAAATCGTCGTTTCAGGAGACTTATATACACTTCTACCGTGACTTGACCAGCGGGAGAACTTTGCAAAATCTCGCCTGTTCCTGTCTAATTGTCACCAAAATATCACTGTCAGACTGAAACTTACCAGTCACAGAAACCACGTCCGGAGACCGCATTGTCACGTAGACAATAAGCAAGCTAGCAATAGCGGATGCATGTGGGATTACTATGTCGCGTGAGCAGCGACCTTTCCGATGGGTAGGACGACACCGGGAGGGGCTTCACAATAAGGTCATCCCGATTAGGCAACCATAGTATTCGTTGCAGAGGTCCGACGGGGAACAGTCAGGGAACACAGAGTTGGGTGATGACGAATATTTTTCCGAGGTACATTTCATCGGCTCGCGATATCGGCCTGCTCTAGCCGGAGGACATGCATGCACGCGTCCAGCAGCGCGAGCACAAGCCCAACGGAGAATGAGATCCGGAAGGTAAAGACGTCAATATGCCACACAATAGATCGTTCAGTCGTCTATCTCAAGCGTATTTCCTTGATGAGGTATCCGCCTGAGCAGTACGTCATGTATCCATTCAAACAACTGCGTGATATTACGGGGAACTGACGAGAAGCGTGCTTACACTTGGACCGTGATACGGAGGGTGAGCTCGCTCATTACAATTGCTCGACTTCCTAACAGAAAAAGATGGACTTGATGGAAAAGTTGGCATGTAACGCTATAGTGGGTGACGTGTGGGTATGGGACCTAGGTGAGAATTGAAAGTGAGTGGTATCAAGGAGGGTGAAATACCCGAAACGTTGAGAGGTTCAGTGGTTTCTTAGCTTCCTTTGTTTATGCCCCAGTCATATGCGGCGTATGCCCGTGTACACACATATTAGATGGAACGAGATTGCATACAACTCGCGGGCACGGTGAATCAATTCCTGGTACGTAGGGAATCAACTAGTCACGACTGAGTTTCAAGTGGGAAATGTATTTGTGTGTGTTTGACAACACCTAATTAGTAAGTTGGCTAAGAATTAAAAAAAATCTGATTTTCCGCGGCATTCGAGAATCCCGACATTCCGAAGCTATTAAGGACACCTTATATCCCAAAAATGTGGTATTAGGGGCAGAATCTCTCGCACAAAATGTATCAACTCGATCCATCGAGCTCGGGCTCGAGCGGTGCATTGCCCATTCAGTTGACAGTGACCACATGACATCAAAAGAAGGCATGAGTCTCAAAGAACACTGAATTCCATTCTACGTGCGATGGCACGGAGACACTTGTACGTTGATGCCTCGTCATGGAGTACATTGTCGGGGGAAAAGGATTTGGATTCATTGATCATCGCACTTAAGAAAGCTATTGCACTTAAAATCATATGTGCCGTGCAAGACTAGGAATAACACTCTATAGGTAAGGACAGAAAAAAATGTAATGCCAGAAAGGAATGTGGGTAGTATGGAGCATTCGTGGTGACACTCCAATGTTGAATTGCATGTTGATTCGGGAATGAGGGTACGATTGAGCAAAGAGTGGATGGGGTGGGACCATAGCAGGCATGTGTCGCTGCTAGATATTTTTAAAAATGGGTGTATTTAGCCGGCCTCGGACTCGGACCCCACGGCTGTTGTCTGATCAGTGTCAACATGCTTGGTAGTTTTCTTGTCTCCAACAATCCCAACACCGTGAAGGGAAAGTGCTGCCAGCAGCGCAGCTATTCACCATGACAATAAAAATTGTCAGCACTGGCAAGACATTCTCAACGCAGGCCGAATTCGTAGTACTCACCCATAAGCGCAAATGAAGCGCAAGTCCACTGCGCAGATCTATAACCCTTAAGCTGTGCGGAACGGGGCGCGTTGGTTCCAGCAGAGTTGACAGTAACGTCAACGTCAGCAGACTCGTTTTTAACCACGATGTTGAACACAAGCGTAGATACAGCAACTCCGACTGCAATGCCGAGCTATCCCAAAAAATTGACCTTAGAACAGGGTAGTATCAGTTGGTTTAATGCCGCTTGCCTGTGTCATAGTTTGAAACAGTGCTCCAGCCACACTGCGCTCGTGTGGGAGCGTGATCTTGGCGATGAAAATTGTACCAGAGGAGTACACAAAATCAGCCCCGAATACGACAATAACCGTGGCCGGGAAGCCAAACGCCCAATACGTTGCGGTCGGGTCAATCAGCGCAAACAGGATGGCGGCAGATGCTGTCAGTAGCGTTCCGCTGACTGGACGACAAGTCAGCGCTACATGTTATGATATTCTTCGCACAAAGCTGTACCTGCAAAAATGACCAAAGGCAAATTTCCAACAAACATTGCAACGAAGACGTTGCACAAACAGCCGACAACGAACAATGGAATGAACCGGAGCATGGTTTGCATAGGTGTGAGCAAAAGGTAGTTCTGATAGTACAACTTGAGCGGAGCGTAGTCAGCGTCCTCGTTTCTCTAGGCAGCGGAACATGAACGTACCTGAACCCAGAAGCTCCAGCTAATGAAACCAGACCAATTCAGGAATGCAATGATGAGAATAGCAGCAATTCGGCCCTTTGCTCGAGTCCAAAGCGAGAGCCTCATCAATGGTGGTGGTGTCCATGTGGACGGTGCTCTTGATGGATCATCTATAACTTGCTCCAAGTATCGCTCCCAAAGCAGGAACAGCAAAACCATGACAATCCCGACGATTAGAAGGATGATAATATCTGGCAATGATTATGAAATTTAGCAATACGGGTCATAGAAGAAGTCTTACATGGAGTTTTCCAGCCTTGAGAAGCAACTTCTCCTTGACCAAGTACAAATACAATCAGGACCAAACCAATGGTAACGAGGGAAGCACCGATCCAGTCGACAGCTTCCTTCGAAGTCACATCTGCATCGAATGAAATCATACCGGAAATACCCGTTAGAGCAGACATTACTGCAACCAAATAGAATGGGGAACGCCAGTGCGTCCTTTATGAGGACATAAAAAATTCAACCTCTTACATGAGCAACTTATGACATACGATGATATTTGTATGAGGACACCACCGATGATCATTCCAAATGCGCCGCCGACAGGAGCACCCGCTGAAAATGTTGCAAAAGCTATTGAACGGATTCTAGACGGAGGGAATGCATGCCCCAGGATACCAAGCTGACAAACTGCATGAGAATTTCAGTTCAATGTATACAAAATACTCACTGCAGACGGTATTGTAGCGGCGGTACCAAGGCCTTGGAAGGCACGCAGAATGATGAGGGTAATACCACCTGTGATGACAGTGTAAATGAATGGAACTGACCGACAGATAGGTGGCACTCACTTTGTGCAAAGCTACTACCGAGAGAAAATACGACTTGACAGATAGTACCGATCATGAACGCCTTTTTCCGACCATAGATATCCGCCAATCTGCCAAAGAACAAGAGAAGGCAGCCCTAAGTGGGAAGTAAGCCACGACGCAGAAAGATGAAGAGAAAGAATGACGTACCGAACTGAGCGAATAGGCAGATACAAGCCACTGCAGCTGTACTTCCGTGATATCCAGGTCCTTTTCAATAGTTGCGAGCGAGATAGAGACAGAACTGGAATTAGCGGTCTGTGATTAATAACAAATGGCAAGCCGTCATAAAGAATGTCGCAGAATATGATTACGATGAGAGCATACATTGACCACCATTGCAGCGGTGCAGGTGATGATGATGAAGATAGAGCGCAAAAGACTGCGCTGTACGTCTGAATCATGGTGCTTGGCCTTCTCGAGGTTGAGATCTTGACGGACTGGTGAACGAGTGAGCTCCTTAGACATTACTTCTCGCGTATCCCAGAAACTTGACAGTGCAAGGTTCGAGGGAGAGGAATCCAGTATTCATCTTGGGCCGCAACCGAATAACTTAAGTCTTCCTAGTACTATGTGCTGGCTGGGTCAAGAAAGGACTTCTTACCGATGGCGTTACTTCCTGCGGAAGCAATGCATGTCGGATTATCCACGGACCTTTGACATTCGTTTGAATACCAGATCCTAGAAGGACATTCTAGAATTGATCACCCGCAAATTGACTATCTTGAAAGTTGTAGTGGCACTGGCAAGTCACGAAGATTTCCACCTGGCGGACATTCTGAATCAATTGGCCATAGTGACTACCACAAAGTTCCCTACTGTCCCCTGCTAAGTACTACTAGTAGGTCGGTAGGCTTACTGAATAGATGTAGTTGTTCCTTAAGGGAATCCAAATATTCAGCGTATATATCGTGCGATTATGGAAAAAACAGAAGTATTACCGTGTCCTCCGAGTCAATTGCTTACATAAGCGCCCTTTAGGCCCGCAGGACCGATCAAAAACTATGACGATATCGATATTAGCCGTGTGCCGTTAAGCAGTCTCCCATATGTAGCATAGTCTTAAAAGGAACAACCAAACTTTCAACGTTCAACCTCCCAGAAACTCATATCAGAAGACCTATAATCATCAACTACAGTACTGAACACGATTGTGGACATAGCTGGACCGAATGCGGTGCCGATCTAACCAAAAACGTGTCAGTTCAGCATAGGACAATGTCAGTTGTATCACAGACTTGCTTGTGTCATAGTTTGGAATAGAGCTTTGGCTACGCCGTGTTCGCGTGGGAACGAGGTTTTGGCAATGAAAATTGTACCGGAGGAGTATACGAAGTCAGCGCCGAACACGATAAGAATCGTGGATGGGAAACCGAAGGCCCAGCATGTTACAGACGGGTCGATTAAGGTAAATAGGGTGGCGACCGTTGCCGTCAAGAGCGTTCCGCTGGCTGGACCACGAGTCAGTTTCATATGACAATATTCCACACATAGACACTTGCCTACAAAGATAACTAAAGGCAATTTCGCAACGGCCATCAGCATGAAAAAGTTGCATAAACAGCCGACAATAAACATGGGAGTCATAGTTTTGACCGATGTTAAGAGTAGGTGTTTTGATAATATAACTAGAACGAAGTCAGCGACATCGTTCCCGGGGGAAACAGAACATGAACACACCTGAACCCAGAAGCTTCAGCCAATGAAAGCACTCCAATTTTAAGAGTGCGATGACAAGGATAACGGCCATCTGTCCCTTTGCCCGAGCACAGAGCAAGAGCCTCATAAGTGATGGCGGTGTCCACACAGATGCCGCTTTTGATAGATTTTCGTCAATGATCCGTTCCAGCTTCCACTCCTAAACCAGGAATGGCGCAAGCATGATAACCCCGACCATAAGGAGCGCGATAATATCTGTTGATGGGTTTAGCACACGATTAGTATGGTTTGGTGACATTCTTACATGGGGTTTTCCAGCCATCCGAAGCAATTTCTCCTTGAGCAAGTACGAATACAATCAAAAACAACCCAACTGTGATAAGGGAAGCGCCTTCCAGTCGTCACGTTTGACAAGTTCCGATAAGGGAAGCCAACATCAAATGAAAACAGACCGGAAACTCCAGCCATTGAACGTGCCATTGACGGAGGGAACGCATGCGCTAGGATACCAAGCTGAGAAATTAAGTGAGTACTTTTGCATCAAAAATATCTCAGAAGAACTTACTACGGATGGTATTGTAGCGGCGCCTCCAACACCTTGGAGGTCACGCAAGACGACAAGAGCAAGAACATCAGCGATTACCTTGTGAGTGGACGGAACACACGAACGACCGGAAGGCACGCCAACCTTTTAGAAAGCCACAACCGAAAGAAAAGGCAATCTGGCGAAGGGTACCAGGCATAAATGCCTTTTTCGTCCATAAAGATCTGCCAATCTGCCAAAGAACAAGATAAGGCAGTCCTAACCCGAGGTGAGCCGCCATGTTAAGATAGACAAAACAGAAGTAGGAACGCACAGAACTAAGAGGATAGGCGGATACGAGCCAATGAAACTCGAGTCACTGAAGCTGCTCTTTCTAGACCCTTCTCGATTGTGGCACGTGAAATAGCGACAGAGGTGGTAGTAGATACCTACAGTTAAAAAGATGTCACAAAAGATCAGCGAGCGAAAATACGATGTACACTTGCATTAACAACCATTGCGGCGGTACAAGTGGCGACTATAAGAACGGGGACCCAACAGAGATGGCGATCTGGAAGGCAAGGGCGTCAATATGCCACACAACAGATCGTCCAGTCGTCCGTCTCAAGCGTGTTTTTTTGATGGGGTATCTGTCTGAGCAGTACACCACGTATCCGTTCAAACAACAGCGTAATATTGCCGGGAATTGACGAGAAGCGTACTTACACTTGGACCATGATATGAAAGGTAGGTTTTGATCATTACAGTTTCTCGACTTCCGAGCGGAAAATATGGACTTCATGATGAAGAAGTTAGTATGTAACGCTATGGGGGCCATGGTGAGTGAGTTATCAAGGAAGCTGAAATACCCGAAAACATTGAGAGGTCCAGTAGTTTTTTACAGCTTCCTTAATTTGTGCCCCAGTCATATGCGGCGTGTGCCAGTGTAAGTATTAGACCATCTGATGGAACGAGATTGTATACAACTTAGCGGGCCTGAGGCCTGCAGGCCTGAATCCTGGCTGTGCTGAAGAGGAATGTATTTGCGCGTGTTTGACAACACCTTGTGGGTCCGGAAATTTCAAATAGCACGCTGATCCTCGAATTACTTCTAGCACAACTTTGATTTGTGCAAGAATACGAGACTACTCTATATACATACAGACTGATACAGTGGATACAGTGGTGACACAAAAGACGGACGGGAAGTGTTACACGTAAGGAGCTGCATGAGAACTTGAAACCACAAAAGACAAAGCAAGGAGGGCAGGGCAGAATTTCCAGGTCTGTGTGAGACGTGAATCAAGTGCTAGCGTCCTACAAAGCTAGTCGTAAGAATTGCGCAATGCATGAAAGAAGGAAAACCGATCTCACCTCCAGAAGCCATGCACTAGGTGTTAGGCTCTACAAGGACCTTCTAGGAAGCAACCTGATGATTCGGGTCCGGCGCGACAGCATAGCGGGGGAATTAAGGTGCCAGTGAAGTGAGCCGACAATCCAGTTCTGCAGCCCCTCGACGTAGACAGCCACCTGCCTGTCAACCTCTTCCTCCCACGAGGGGAGGATAGCACGGTTAGTTTCAAAGCGCTGGATGGCATCTTTGCACATCTGGCCAGCGTAGTCCATGGCGCCTTGTAGGTCTAGTCCTCGATCGTGCATGAGCACGGCAACTATGTTATGCCAGTGTGCGTCACCGCGAGATTGCTCCTTGTTATATGAGAAAATATCCTGTTGGCGGTAATGTCAGCAGCGTCCCAGCGTTCAACGACAGAACAGAATTACGTTGGACCAAGAAATATGATCATTGGTCGCGTCCTCCAAGGCCATGATAATTGGATGTGACACAACTTCGTCGGGAAGATCGATTTGAGCTACGAATTCGATGAGGGCAAAGCAGGGCTTCAGCGCGACTACATTTCGCCTCTGGACAATGTAAGATTCCAGATCATACATATTTCCTTTGGCACGGTCGTCCACCTGCTTAGCTACAGCAGCGAAGAACAATTCGCTTCCTCGGATAAATTCGCTCTGTGCAGCCGGGGCCAGCAGTCTCCTTAAAGCGGCTGAAAAACCTGACCGCATAACGACTTTTAGAAAGAGTGTATGCAATGAAAAAATAGTCGTACGATTTGCTCATCTTTGCAGCAAACTGTTCCGTATCAAAATTGATGGGATCGCGGAATGCAAGAATACAGGATTCATGCGTTTCCCGTGCATCGACGACACTATATTCCATCCGGTCGTCTATAACGAATGTCCAGTTAAAGAATTCAGCGCAGACTCGGAGATGGAAAGCATCTGCGTCAGGATAGCAACCGGCGGCATATGCGCCTGTGTCCAAATCAAGATACTCTCTGATCTCGGGCTCTACAAGTTGTGCTACGTCAGTAAGCCATTGATCAGACATGCGGGACACCGCATAACAGTGAGGGGTTTTTCGCAAGTGATAGTGGCAATCATTGATGAGGTCAGGTAAAATAAATTGTGAGGGCTCGCCGTCAGGGGTGGTCGTGTGGGTGACAGTAGGAAACATAATAGGGGTCGTCGGATTCATCTTGTGAACGTTGAGATGAGGAACCTATAGGTGCAAAATTGTCAGTCTTTATAGTGATTTTTTGAGCGCCAGTGGATGTCCGTCTCGCTTGGATCTGTGTCACGGACGAGGATATTGAGCCTGTTTTTCAATAAGCATTCGGCATAAGTGATTCCCATTGGGCAAGATCAATGTTATACGAGAAGGAAGATTCGTCGGACGCCACCGTTGGGTAGAGTTCACCGTTCCTGGGTCCGGTGCTGCTTCTTGATACGTGTGACCTGAATAGTTCGCGAATCATGATCCGTATGGCAAATTGCCAATCAGGTGGACCAATGCAGGCTCGTACCTTCGTTTGGGGGGCCATCAGAGTGTCCTTCAAGTTTAGGGTGCGTTACGTTTATTCAAGTTGTTGGGCTTGCCGTTGCAATATGACTTTATTTCTTTTTAGACAAGCGGTTTTATTGAGTAGTAACATCCTACCCAAACACTTATAGGTTATAGCGGTATCTACCAGAGAGACCAGTTCGAGGGAAAATGCTCTTACGCACTGTCGTGACTGTCCGTGGTTCACGGGGAAGCCTAAGCCATGTTACCTGGGGTCCTCGTCACGGTTCTGCGGGGTCCGGGTAACTTTGTACCGGTCACCCCACCCGTTCAAGAATCAACAGGGGACTGATGCAGATGCCATTGATGAGCCGCAGATATAGGAATATATCGGAATATGTATAAAGCTATATAAAGCCACGAATAACGTCAGAAAACCACCGTAATCAACATAAAGCACCCTTAGTATCGATATGTTGAGTTCCCTATATATCTTGTTATCTCGTACACCTTCGTACTATTACTCGTTTGCCTCTTCTCCGCACGTCCGACATCATCCGGACTCATTACCTGATCGACTTCGCTGATATTTTTATTGCGCTTCAAAAGTCACCTCTTGACCACCTCACTGACAGTATTGTTCTTACAACTCCACTGAGGTGTGTACTACGTCCGTCGTATCTCGTACCGTCTTGTACAGACTTGTACACTTCCTTCTGCTAGGTACTGATAATAGTATTGTTACAACTCTACTGAGCCTCCTTGGATGGGCATAGTGGGCATCTCAGCGTTGCCATGCCCAGGCTGGACAGCCATGGTCTAGTCTAAATCGGCATGTCTAATAACCCTCTTTTAACCCTCTTTTGTCTTAACCCTCTTTTGTCTGACGATACCAACACTACGGAGGGAAAGCGCTAACAGCAGCACGGTTATAATCACAGTAACCGTTAATGATGCGCTCTCAACGCAAGATAAATTTGCAGTACTCACCGATAAGGGCAAACGCAGCGGAGGTCCTTGCGCATCTTCATACCCCATGAGCTGTGCAAATATGGGTGCGTCAGTGCCTCTAGAGTTGATAGTGACACCGAGCTTGGCAGATTCCTTATCAACTACAGTGTTGAACACGATTGTAGATATAGCTAGACTAAATGCGGTGCCGATCTAACCAAAAACATGTCAGTTTAGCATAGGACAGCTTCCCAAGACTTGAATGTGTCATAGTTTGGAATTGCGCTCCGGCCACGTTGTGTTCGTGTGGGAGCGAGGTTTGGACGATAAAATTTGTACTGGAGTACGCGCAAGTCAGCGCCGAACACGGTGAGAACCCGTGGGCCCAGTATATTACAGACGGGTCGATTAGGGCAAACAGGATGGCGGCCGTCAAGAGCGTTCCACTGGCTGGACCACGAGTCAGTTTCATATGACAATATTCCACACATAGACACTTGCCTACAAAGATAACTAAGGGCAATTTGGCAACGACCATCAGTATGAGTTGCATAAACGGCCGACAATAAACATGGGAATCATAGTTTTGACCGGTGTTAACAACAAGTAGTTTTGATAAAGCACCTATAACGGAGTCAGCGATATCGTTCCCGGGGAAAACGGAACATGAACATACCTGAACCCAGAAGCTCCAGCAAATGAAAGCACTCCGATTTAAGAGTGCGATGACAAGGATAACGGCCCCTTTGCCTGAGTCCAGAGCAAGAGCCTCACAAGTGGTGGCGGTGTCCACATAGATGCCATTTTTGATAGATCCTCGTCAATGATTCGTTCCAGCTTCCACTCCCAAAGCAGGGATAGCGCAAGCATGATAACCCCGACGATAAGGAGGGCGATAATATCTGTCGATGGTCTTAGCACATGATCAGTATGATTTGATGACATTCTTACAAGGGGGTTTCCAGCCATCCGAAGCGATTTCTCCTTGACCAAGTACAAACACAATCAAGACCAACCCAACTGTGACAAGCGAAGCGCCCGTCAAGTCGACACGTTTGACGAGTTCCGGTGAGCATCGAATGAAATCAGAGCGGAAACTCCAATTAAAGGTAGCCAAATAAAATACAGAGCGCCAATGCGATCTGTGTGACAGCATGGGAGATACAGCATGTATCAGTAATCATGACGCACGAGGAAAGTCGAGTCAGGACACCGCTAATGATCATGTCAAATGCACCGCCGACAGGAGCACCTGCTGCAAAGGTAGCGAATGGCATTGAACGTGCTCTTGACGGAGGGAACACATACGCTAGGATACCGAGCTGAGAAAGTAAGTGGGTACTTTTGCATCAAAAACATTTACTGCAGATGGTATTGTAGCTGCGTCTCCAACGCCTTGGAAGGCACGCAAGACGGCGAGAGTAAGATCATCCGTGAGAGTCTATGAGTGAACGGAACACGCGAACGATCGGAAGGCACGCCAACCTTGTGCAAAGCCACAACCGAAGCAAAAGCAATCTGGCAAAGGGTACCAGGCATAAACGCCTTTTTTCGTCCATAAAGATCTGCCAATCTGCAAGGAAGCTGAAATACCCGAAAACATTGAGAGGTTCGGTAGTTTTTTTAGCTTCCTTGATTTGTGCCCCAGCCATATGCGGCGTGTGCCGGTGTACGTATTAGATGGAACGAGATTGCCTATGGTGCCGATCACTTAGAGGCCGCTACTTATGTGCAGTGGCCAAATCGGCCAATGTGATAAGGTTCTAACTGTAGCGCCTCGTAGCACCCGTGACACTATCAATACTAATAGCATGTGTGGTAGCCAATCAAAATTATTCATCGTTCATAGTCCGACGCGGCTCTTTGCAAATTGCCAGTCACACTGACACATCGGAGGTTTGGACATTTTACCTCTTGCAAAATTTCAATCAAAAGCAGATCTAGACCTGGCCTGGAACGCTCTGGAGCGCTCTAGATTGCATTTCGAATGTGATTTCACTAGTGGCAAAATGTGGTAAAATGTTGAAACCCCCGCTGTGTGATGCCCACCTCTCACAAGAAGCTTGCTGCCGCCCGCGCGAGGGCTGCACGATGGCAAAAAAAATGCTCGGCCCCTGATATCTGAACATAATAATTCCACGCCCACCACCAATAAATCCTGTGGAAGCATCCGAAAGCTTTGGTGTTGAATTCTGTCCGATAGAACTGGACCTCCAATGTCTTTCTGACTGCGGTTATACTGGTGGTGTCAACTGTTGGCCAGGCAACAACGATGACGACGACGACGAATACTAACCAGATATATATTCTGAAAGTGCATTGTCAGACTGCGAGAGCCTCTGTGAACTCGAGGGAGATGATTCGGAGCACAATTTGAGGCAGCTTCAAGCAGATGCTGACTCAGAAGCCCTCGGGGGGATAGAAGTACCTCCGGGACAATTGTGACAACACTTTCAAGACGTTCAAAAAGAATATGCCGCTGGCAATGCAGTCTGTGCAGCTTGGCACAACCCGACTGTGGGAACATCGCATGTACCGGTGGATGGAGGCATATCGGACAGACGAAAGATGCTCAATTTCAGGTCAAGCAATTTAGTTCTACTAAGTATAAGTCACATAGACGCGTTCCCAAGAAATATTGGCATGTACTTTTGACTGACAGGCGCTCGTAATTCTATATGTGGCCAAATTGATGCTTTTGTACAAAAATATCTCGCTCAAATTTGATCCAATTAAAAATTCCTCTAGTAGTTTTACTCTACTCATCAAAAGGATCATTTCTACAAGAGGATATAAAAATCTGATTTTTTTTTGAAGGAGGTGAGAATTTTGCACAAAAGTAGCGGCCTCTAAGTGATCGGCACCATACAACTTAGCGAGCCCTGTGAATCAATTTCAACTTCCAAGTAATTAAGTAGTGAATTGCGACTGGAAGGGGAATGTGTTTGCGCGTGTTTGACAACAGAGTCCCGAAATTTCAAATAGCACGCTGAATCGCTGATCCTCAAATTACTTCTGGTACAAATTTGATTTGTGCAAGGATACAAGACTATTCTATGTACATACAGTGGTGGTACAAAAGACGGACGGTAAGTGTTACACGCAAGGAGCTGAATGAGAACCTGAAACCACAAAGGACGAAGCAAGGAGGGCAGGATGTCACGTATTTATGCGACCGAAGCAGAACTTTCAGGTCTGTGCGAGACGTGAATCATGTGCTAGCGTCCTACAACGCTAGTCGTAAGAATTGCGCAATGCATGAAAGAAGGAAAACCGATCTCACCTCCAGAAGCCATGCACTAGGTGTTAGGCTCTACAAGGGCCTTCTGGGAAGCAGCCTGATGATTCGGTCCGGCGCGACAGCATAGCGGGGGGAATTAAGGTGCCAGTGAAGTGAGCCGACAATCCAGTTCTGCAGCCCCTCGACGTAGACAACCACCTGCCTGTCAACCTCTTCCTCCCACGAGGGGAGGATAGCACGGTTAGTTTCAAAGCGCTGGATGGCATCTTTGCACATCTGGCCAGCGTAGTCCATGGCGCCTTGCAGGTCTAGTCCTCGTTCATCTATGAGTACGGAAACTAAGTTATGCCAGTGTGCATCACCGCGAGATTGCTCCTTGTTGTATGACAAAATATCCTGTCGGCATTGATGTCAGCGGCGCTCCGGTGTTCAATGACAGAACAGACTTACGTTAGACCAAGAAATATGATCATTAGTCGCGTCCTCCAAGGCCATGATAACTGGATGGGACATAACTTCGTCGGGAAGATCGATTCGAGCTACGAATTCGATGAGGGGAAGGCACATCTTCAGCGCGCTTATATCTCGCCTCAGGGCGAGGTAAGATGCCAGATCATACATATTTCCTTTGGCACAGTCGTCCACCTGCTTAGCTACAGCAGCGAAGAACAATTCGCTTCCTCGGATAAATCGCTCTGTGCAGCCGGGGCCAGCAGTCTCCCTAAAGCGGCTGAAAAATCTAACCGCATAATCACTTTTAGAAAGGGTGTATTCGATGCAAAAAATAGTCCTACGATTTGCACATCTTTGCAGCAATCTGTTCCGAGTCGAAATTGACGGGATCGCGGAATGCAGAAATACAGGATTCACGCGTTCCCTGTATATCGACGATACCATACTCCATCCAGTCGTCCACAATGAATGTACAGTCATTGAAGTCAGAGCAGACTCGGAGATGGAAAGCATCTGCATCAGGATAGCAAACGGCAGCAAATCCCCCTCCGTCCATATCAATATAACCTCTGATCTCGGGCTCTTCAAGTCGCGCTACGTCAATAAGCCACTGATCAGATGCGCGGGACACCGCATCACGATGAGGGTTCTTTCGCAAGGGATAGTGGCAATCATTGATGAGGTCAGGTAAAATAAATTGTGAGGGCTCGCCGTCAGGAGTGGTCGTGTTGGTGACAGTGGGAAAAATAGTAATAGGGGTCGTCGGATTCATCTTGTGAACGTTGAGATGAGTAACCCATAGGTGCAATATCGTCAGTCTTTATAGTGATTTTTTGAGCGCCAAGTTTGCCAATCAGGTGGACTAATGCAAGCTCGTGCCTTCGTTTGGGGGGCCATCAGAGAGTCCTTTAGGGTGCGTTACGTTGATTGTTGGGCTTGCTGTCGCAATATGACTTTATTTTTTTTTGGACGAGCGGTTTTATTGAGTAGTAACATCCTACCCAAACACTTACAGCGGTATCTACCGAAAAGACCGGTTCGAGGAAAAATGCTCTTACGCACTGCCCGTAGTTTACGGGGAAGCCTAAGCTACGTTACCTGGGGCCTCGTTCTGCGGGGTCCGGGTAACTTGTACCGGTCACCCTGTTCAACATCAGGCTGGGGACTGTTGAGCCGCAAATACGATCGGGAATATATTGGAATATGTATAAAGCTATATAAAGCCACGAATAACGTCGGAAAACCACCGTAATCAACATCAAGCACCCTTAGCATCGATATGTTGAGTTCCCTATATATCTTGTTATCTCGTACACCTTCGTACTGTGACTCGTTTGCCGCTCATCTTCTCTTCTCCGCTCATTACCTGATCGACTTTGCTGATATTTTTATCGCGCTTCACCAGTCACCTATTGACCACCTCACTGGCAGTATTGTTCTTACAACTCCACTGAGGTGTGTACTACGTCCGTCGTATCTCGTACCGTCTCGTACCGTCTTGTACACTACCTTCCTGCTAGGTACTGATAATAGTATTGTTACAACTCCACTGAGCCTCCTTGGATGGGCGTAGTGGGTATCTCGGCGTCGCCAGGCCCAGGCTGGACAGCCACGGTTTAGTCTGAATCGGCATGTCTAATAATCCTGATGATATCAACCCTACGGAGGAAAAGCGCCAACAGCAGCACGGTTATAATCACAGTAACCGCCAATGATGCGCTGTCAACGCAAGACAAATTTGCAGTACTCACCGATAAGGGCAAACGCAGCGGAGGTCCTTGCGCATCTTCATACCCCATGAGCTGTGCAAATATGGGTGCGTCAGTGCCTCTAGAGTTGATAGTGACACCGAGCTTGGCAGATTCCTTATCAACTACAGTGTTGAACACGATTGTAGATATAGCTAGACTAAATGCGGTGCCGATCTAACCAAAAACATGTCAGTTTAGCATAGGACAGCTTCCCAAGACTTGCTTGTGTCATAGTTTGGAATAGCGCTCCGGCCACGTTGTGTTCGTGTGGGAACGAGGTTTGGACGATAAAATTTGTACTGGAGTACGCGCAAGTCAGCGCCGAACACGGTGAGAACCCGTGGGCCCAGTATATTACAGATGAGTCGATTAGGGTAAACAGGATGGCGGCCGTCAAGAGCGTTCCACTGGCTGGATCACGAGTCAGTTTCATATGACAATATTCCACACATAGACACCTGCCTACAAAGATAACTAAGGCCAATTTGGCAACGTCCATCAGTATGAGTTGCATAAACGGCCGACAATAAACATGGGAATCATAGTTTTGACCGGTGTCAACAACAAGTAGTTTTGATAAAGCAACTATAACGGAGTCAGTCACATCGTTCCCGGGGAAAACGGAACATGAATATACCTGAACCCAGAAGCTCCAGCAAATGAAAGCACTCCGATTTAAGAGTGCGATGACAAGGATAACGGCCCCTTTGCCTGAGTCCAGAGCAAGAGCCTCACAAGTGGTGGCGGTGTCTACATAGATGCCACTTTTGATAGATCCTCGTCAATGATTATTCGTTCCAGCTTCCACTCCCAAAGCAGGAATAGCGCAAGCATGATAACCCCGACGATAAGGAGGGCGATAATATCTGTCGATGGTCTGATCAGTATGCTTTGGTGACATTCTTACAAGGGGGTTTCCAGCCATCCGAAGCGATTTCTCCTTGACCAAGTACAAACACAATCAAGACCAACCCGACTGTGACAAGCGAAGCGCCCATCAAGTCGACACGTTTGACAAGTTCCAGTGAGGGAATGTCAACATTGAATGAAATCAGAGCGGAAACTCCAATTAAAGGTAGCCAAATAAAATACAGAGCGCCAATGCGATCTGTGTGACAGCATGGGAGATACAGCATGTATCAGTAATCATGACGCACGAGGAAAGTTGAGTTAGGACACCGCTAATGATCATGTCATATGCACCGCCGACAGGAGCACCTGTTGCAAAAGTAGCGAATGGCATTGGACGTGCTCTTGACGGAGAGAACACATGCGCTAGGATACCGAGCTGAGAAAGTAAGTGAGTACTTTTGCATAAATATTTCTGCAGATGGTATTGTGGCTGCGCCTCCAACACCTTGGAAGGCACGCAAGACGGCGAGAGTAAGACCATCTGTGAGAGTCTGAGTGAACGGAACACGCGAACGATCGGAAGGCACGCCAACCTTGTGCAAAGCCACAACCGAGGAAAAGGCAATCTGGCAAAAGTACCAAGCATAAACACCTTTTTTGTCCATAAAAATCTGCCGATCTGCCAAAGAACAAGACAGGGCAACCCTAACAGGAGGTGCCGGTGAGCCGCCATGTTAAGATAGACTAAATAGAAGTAGCACAGAACTGAGAGAATAGGCGGATATGAATCATTGAAGCTGCTTTTTCTAAACCCTTCTCAATTGTGGGAAGTGAAATAGGGACAGAGGTAGTATTAGATACCTACAGTTAAAAGAGATGTCACAAAAGATCGGCGAGCGAGAGTATGACAGACACTTGCGCTAACGACCATTGAGACGGTACAAGTGGCGACTATAAAAACGGAAACCCAACGGAGATGAGGATCTGGAAGGCAAGGATGTCAATATTGAATATACCACACAATACATCGTTCAGTTGTCTATCTTAAGCATATTTCCTTGATGGGGTATGCACCTGAGCAGTACATCATCCGTTCAAACAACTGCGTAATATTACGGGGAACTGAAGACTTGGAGAAGCGCGCTTACACTTGGACCGGGATGCGAAGGGTGGGCTCGCTCATTACAATTGCTCGACCTCCTAGCAGACAAGATGGACTTGATGTAGAAGTTGGTATGTAGCGCCATGGTGGGTGAGACCTAGGTGTGGGCATGGGACTTGGGTGAGAATTGAGAGTAAGTATCGAGGAAGCCGAAATACCCGAAAACATTGAGAGGTTCCTTAGTATTTCAGCTTCCTGGATTTATGCCCCAGCCATATGCGGCGTGTGTTCGTGTACATACGTACGTATTAGATGGAACGAGATTGCATACAACTTGCGGGCTCGGTGAATGATCAATCAATTCCTAGTAGCGAGCCGCGACTGACTCGTTTTTGCTGAAGGGGAATGTATTTGCGCGTGTTTGACAACACCTTGTGGGTTCAACATATGCAAACTGAATTTCTTCTCCGGTAAATTTTCCTTTAGTCGTCAACGCCTTCCTCCACAACATTAACATGTGTGATCGTCTCGAGCGGCCTGGCTTTATTTATTTCTTCGCTGTACCTAGCCAAATACTCTCTACTGGTAGGAAATTCCGTCGTTCGTCAAAACGCGATTCGTCCGCAGTTTTTCGTGAGTCGCGATTCGGATCTCTGTTTATCCTCAAAGTTCCGCTGCCTCTTTCCCTTGGTTTGTGATTCCAACACCTCGACCAACGCACCATTGTGTACAGGCGCCGCATTGCTCATTGCAGCTCCTGAAGTGGTTTTTTGGTGCAATATCAAATAATCCCACCTCATGCCGTGTGCAGACGTATATGTGTACACGCAGATAGTGTGTGGGATGGATATGTTCACCTGCTGTACATTGGCTGAATTAGGAATTGTACTTTCGTGATTACTAGTAGGATGCTCGTTATGCTACGCACATGGCGCTAGTTGTGCTTTATTGAATATATGTTTCTTTACTCCATGCTACCAGCTCAGTTCGAACCATGAATCATTGTGTGTCCTACAATGTTGTGTAGTTGTGCTATGCAGGTGTTCCATCCCTGTGATGGTCACTGACCTGCAGCAGAATCCCGCTTTTCATGGGATCAGCATCTTGAACTGTTTCACAGTAGCACATCCCCCGTGCATCATATCGTCAAGTTAAGGTTCGCTAGAATTTTTCAACATAGAAATCCTCGAAAGGGGGGCCACGACAAGCGCAGTAACAAGCCAAGAGGAGACTAAGACTGTATATATTTGACCCTACTGTATCATAGCTTCCGAATAATCCAAGTATGAGGTGACTCTGCCTCGGATTGCGTCGACTAGACCTTCGAATACATATCGATAAGTAGAACACGCTCTATATCCATCGAGTTGAACTCATTCTTCCTACCATAAGGAATGATGTGTGTCAAATGTGTGTATGGACTTTTTCGCCCATTCAAATATCCTTTTCACGTTCCAAAATCCTCGTCGCGAGAAATTTCAGCGCGATCTCCGATAGTCCTCGAGCATCTATCAAATCGAAACACATAATCCTTGTTTCCGCTCAGCTTCTTCAGGTAGGAGGGCACTCGCGGGACCGGGCGACGCAAGCTAGATGGACTCCCAAAGGTAGGGTCCTGATACTCTGACCAGGTGCTGGGAAGGTTTGCTAGAGGCCGTGGAAACTCCACGTATTTCCAAACGTTGCCAAATGCAAGGATTACGCCGATGGTCGTGAGCGTCGAGTCTCCCATAAATGCAAAGTAGGCCTGACGGGAGATCTGCATCGCCGCGGATGAAAAGCCATAGTTTTTTGGCCCGCAGACTCTTTGGCTTGATCTCGACCAAACAAATAACCTTTTCACGTACGATAACTGGCGGCATAGAAGGTGGCAGCTTGATACGGCGAAGAATCTGAGCAAAGTCAGGGACAACATGTGCATGGCGCACTTTGGCCTGAGTGCGTCTTGGAGGAGTCCTTGGTTCCGAGATGAAGGGGGACACTGATTCACTCCTGCTACCCCCACTGCGACCGCGTCCGGGAGATAGTGAGTCAGGCGGAGATGGGTCGAAGGATCGAATTAAAACATGTTGTGGTGCGACGTTGCAGAAGAGATCATCCCCAATTGAACTGGGGAATGTGTGCCTTTCAAGAGCGCGAGTCCATACACAGTACCACGGAAATTCTCTATGCTCGGCATTTGCTGCTGAGATCGCCGCCATCAAGACGCCGTCAGCCAGCATAGATGTCTTAGAGTCCCTGGACCCTTGTATCATAACATTGGAGGGCATCTGTTGAGACCCTATCAACGGAGCAATGTACTGAGAGTGATCCCCTGATGAAACAGTTCGTCCTCTGGGCCCTCCAGAGGGTCCAGAAGCGGCAGGGGCCATGGACGAACTGGTTGACAATGCACGAGAGCCGTCAACGCGCAAATTATGCGGAACTTTCTCGCGTATCTGAGTTAGTTGAAATGGAGGAATAAGCTGATTGGAGTCGAAATGGGACTGTGTGTCGGAAGAGCTCGATTGCGCAGATTGCGAAGAACCTGGGGAGCGGTCATAGAGGAATGCCGTACCGTCAAGGTTGTCATGGGGTCCATGAGAATATAGGGGAGATTGCGGGAAAGGCTCGCTGGGAGCACGGTAACGAACTAGATTGTCCGATGGACCAGGTGCTGGCGAGCGGTAGAATGGACGTTGAGGTGTGCGAGGGGAAATGCCTGATGTCGGAGACATGGATGATTGACTATCAGAAGTGTATGGCGAACGGGATCTATGAGAAGAATGTTGTGAAGTTGGGGTGGATGAGACTGAGTGTTGACGGGAATCATAGCGCTCACGATCCATGACTCGGACTGAAAGTGATCATGGAGATGAGTTGAAAAAAATCGAGCGGTTTTTATACCGCAAGAATACCATGCTTCTCAGGGAGGAGAAATCATGCGCCGTCCACAATGGCCCGTGGACTTGGATAAAAAACAAACATGAACCCAAATCCGATCAATTTGCAACCTGGCAGTGGCTGTAGAAATTTATGAGGGATTGTTCCAAATGTCGGAGCGTCATGGTTCGTCTATTGACCACAGATCCACGCACACGGGAATGAAAAGGAGTACAGGACCATTGTTGTCCGAGTCTGTGGGCGATCATTGTCAGTCAATGTCAATCAATCAATCCACAACGAAATTCAGGTGCCCGATTGATGCTAATGAACTTGTGTTGTGGAACGGTGGCTGTGTCATTTCACCAGCTGGGATTTCAAGTTAAAAGCAGATCGCCGTATATTACGAACATTAACCACCCTTCTCGAATTCACTCTGACAACGACAGCCTTCAATTTTTCTGCTTCTCAACTGAACACCAAGTCTTATATTATAATGTCTGCATCCGAACTTTTACGTCAATCGATGCAAAATTTGAGGGTGAGTCCGCTTTATGTTGCCCAAACTAGCTCCTTCGAGTTAGTGACACAAAATCAGGTCGCTGAAACAAAGTCGACTCTACCGTCCCTCGTACCATTCAAATTCACGTCTCCCCCACGAAAGTTCAAGCTGTCCTACCCAGCCCTACAACATTACAAACAAAATTTCGGCTTCTGGCTTAGCGACCAATGGCTCATCGAACTTGGAAAACACACACACCTTCCAGAAGATCGCTTTGACCCTCCACTTGACGAAGATTTCTGGATGAGAGGTGTTGCGTACATCTGTGAGACTGTCGGCCTCGAAGGTCTGACTGTTGAACACTGCTTTCAGCCAAAGACGAACGGCGCGCCTCCTCAGTTCCTGGATGCCGATGGAGAGGTGCTTGTCCTATCCGTGTGTGATGATGTCGAGGACGACATCCCTTCGCAGCAACAGGTGGATTATTTGACGAATCTTCTGGGTAGACCGCCGCAGTGGTGGGTCAATATCTATCCGCGTAATGATTGGGAGTGAGCGTAGAAGTATTTTGATATCGAGCTTCCGCCACTGTTGACTTGGAATACTTAATGTGTACATCACATCACCACCAGTCATACTATTAAGTTCCTATACTTATGCTCGCCTGCCGGTCGCCAGATTGCTGCAACGTCCGTGTGATACTCTCTTCGATTGTGAGTGTATTTATACGTAGATTGGGAATGTCGCAAACTTCAACTTGTCAAGTTCGTGTCGCACGTGTTGTGTCACGTGTGTATACCTGTCAAGTCCAGACTGTGATATTCTAGAACTTCCAGTTTTTGAAGTCAGTCTCCATTTCCTTGAAGTTCGAAGTTCGCACGCCGCGCTCAAGAAGGCAGCATGGTCAAAGTCTTCAGAACATATTTGTCAAAAGTCGTGTAGTGTCTGTTATTGCATGCCTTTAATGGTAGTTTGCAATGGCGGCCAACCAGCGACCACGTTCCGGACACAACTTGAAAGTATGAACTCGCCGTTATCTGAGAGCGAATGCATGATAGTAGGTGAGAATCTCGGTTTGCGCTGCTCCGCTCTGACGTTACTAAGTAACTGGTTTAAAATTAAGCCTTGCACGAGACTTGAAACGTCCGACTGTTTACAGGATTGTCACTCAACGATAGCTCCCATGGCGGTATAACGCGGACCGCTGGTCTTATCAGGAGCCATTATAAGCTATTGGCTCCAATCATGTTCCTTTCCTTTTCGACTCAGCCTTCTCGTCCCAAATCTCATCACAGAGCGAAAAGCGATTAACTGATGGCAACTATTACAAACTCTGTAGCTCACCCTACCATAGTTTCGGTACGCAACTGCGTCCTGTTCACCTGCGAAAGTTGACAATTTAGCATTGCACCCCTAGGCTGATCCTTTTGTGTAGGTTCTTGGGTTGATATGTTGATATGTTCTAACTTATGTTGATTAACTGCAAGTCCTGCAAGAGAGCAGAAGGTTTGTTCCGCGTTTCACTATAGTTACAGCACTTGTTAACATCTTTCAGAACCTACACAACCGCTGGCAGTAAGTTGGTACACTGTTCGTTCCGGAATCAATCCCGTGACCCCGTTTGCAGTCCCGACATTCCTGCTATTGCCACAGTGAAGCCCGGACAGGTGTGTCACGATATCCTTACTAGTAGATGTCTGTACACACCTGTCTTACGTTCAATTATTTGTACAGGTGTTCAACGTTGAATGTGTTGACTGGACAGGAGCACAAATCGGTAACAATGATAGTACGTATACGGGCTTGCGCCATCATAGGGACTTGCTTTAATGCGACTATTTTCGTCAGCGAGTGATGATATTAGAGACGTAGACCTGACCAGCGTTCATAACTTGTCCGGTCCAATCGCCGTGGAGGGCGCCGAGCCTGGAGACTGTCTCGTAGTTGACATTCTTGATGGTATGTTGTACCTGGTTACTCCCCTGTGTCTCTTTTTATTTGTTCGTAGTCAGACCGTTTGACAAAATGCCCTGGGGCTACACCGTAAGGACTCTCACAGAAATGATGATTTAGCAAAGCGCCTAAAGTGTAACAGGGTATTTTCGAACTCGAGAACGGTGGCGGATTGTTTGGTGAGCGAAAAACAAATACCGTATTTCGCATTTTTCTAATCAAAATTTTACCTAGCTCGTGAATTCCAGAGCAGAGCTGCAAAGGCTATCTGGGATTTTAAAGGTTTGCATCTTTCTACGACACGCGCACAACGAAATGACATGTCTCCAGGCGTCTATGCCAGTTCAAGGCACATTCCTGGCGTGCGTTTCGCTGGCGTGTCACATCCTGGTTTGATTGGCACAGCACCGTCCGCTGAGCTACTAGCAACCTGGAACAAACGTGAAGGTGCCCTTATTGAAGCTCACGCCGACGCAGTTCCACCCGTCGCCTATGGTCCATTGGTACCAGGCGCCTATGTCGGCCAAGACCTTCCTGATGATCTGCGTGCGAAAATCTACCGCGAAGGCGCGCGGACAATTCCCGGAAGAGAGCATGGCGGCAACTGTGATTGTAAGCTTCTTCTAAATCAGCCTTTGTCATCTCAATCGTAGTGACTGTCTGCTTCGTAGATTAAAAACTTGTCAAGGTGAAGGAAGCTCACTACAGGCTTTCGTTGTTCCTCACATATTTTGGATCAAGGGGCTCGCGCTGCTATTTCCCTGTTTTCGTGAAAGGTGCCAACTTGTCTGTTGGTGATCTCCACTTCTCTCAAGGAGATGTAAGTATCTCAATCACGCAGTTGTGCTTGCGCTAACATTCAGACAGGGGGAGGTAGGCTAGAATCTATCAGTTCATTGATGATCTGAACCAACACTACTTAGCTGTCCTTTTGTGGCGCCATAGAGATGGTGTGGATTTTCTGCAATCTTGTCCTGCTTTCACTCATGTGGCTTCTAGGCTGGGATAGTCACCTTCAGCACTAGTATCATCAAGGGCGGTGTTGAGAAGTTTGCTATGAAGCAACCCATCTTCCTGGTATGTACTTGCCTCAGGTGACCACTCACCGGTGCTGACCGTCACAGCCCTCTCCTGTCGATCCGCTATACTCTGCAAAAGTAGGTGCATAGGCACATCATCTGTTTCAGTTGCTAATCCAATTGCTAGTTGATCTTCCAGGGGATCAGCGTAGACTACCGTATGCATGAGCACATTGAATGTCATATCATTCATCATTGACGATAATAATTAACAGACGGCGATGGTACCCAGTACAACATGGATGCGTCAGTGTGCTTTCCCTCAATACACTGATGCATAGCTCATCGACTCTACTTAGCACGGTGGCCTATAAGCAGGCTGCTCTGAACGCCATCGCTTATCTTATGAAGATTGGTTACAGTAAGTCCTGCATTGCAAAATGAACTACCTACTGATCAGCATATGTGACCGTAGCCCGTGAGCAAGCATGTAAGCGTATGTTCTGTGAGAGGAAAAAGTCGCTTATTTTCATTCAGACCTTTTGTTGTCTGCTGCGCCGGTGGAAAGCCATATTGGTGCAATTGTGGTAAGTCAAGTCCAGTCTGAGTTCCTCGACAGTTTTATTCAATTTTATCTCAGGACTCTCCAAATGCCTGCGTGACTCTCGCTCTCCCCTTGGGGATCTTTGAACATGTGAGTTCGTTGTAATACATGTAGCCGATTCGACTAAATGATGTGCAACAGGACATTTTACCCAAGGATGAAGGTTTGAAGAAACTGGAGTTCGGGCAATGTGCTGTGCGCAGCGATGGTGTGCTGTAAAAGATGGCCAAGAACATGAGACCTCTGCATAAACCAGTCAAAGACGATGTATTACAATTGATGTTACATGCGCAAGCATTTTGTACAGTACATGGAGGGTTTCTTACCCTCGCCCCGAAACAACAACAATCTAAGAAACCTGTCATACACCTGTTCCCCCTAGACTCGGACAGCTAGTTGCTGCAAACAGGCTGAACTACTGTTCTGTGAAATTGAGTCCGCGAGGGGCAGTCACATGCCACACTGCTTTCAACACCTGCGAACCGGGTTTCACGCTACTGCACACCCACTCAAACAGTCCATCATTCTTTCCTGCACGGCCTCCAGTGGTCGACCACCTCGCATAACACCCATCTCCTACCCGCACCGTGCCTGAGTCGATGTCAGCAAGGCCTTCGGGCTCTTGCAATGCGACTGTAATACGAGGGTCCATAGGAAGCGGTAGAGATGTGCGAATGATGACATTGCTGACGGGGTTGTGATGCGTGTTTTTGATGGTGGTCGTAATAGTATGCGTCGTAATCGCCTTGCCGTCAAGTACGGCGAAGTCGGGTAGTGAGTTGACGGTGCGGTTGAACTGGGTGGTCACCGCGGGGTCAATACCAAGAGAACATTGGATAGTTTGTGGTTGCTTGACGCTCTGCTTTGACGTGCAAGGTAATGGTTCCGGGAACTGAATTTTGGAAACAACGTACCGTGATGTCGCTGTCAGAAATGTGTCTTCCATCCAGGTAAGTGTGAATAGTGCCCGGAGTCAATACATAGTTGCTGGTGTTCGAAATCTCGCACTAGAATGATGGATGTGAGGCAGATATGACGACATAAATGAGACACTACTCACAGTCCAAAAGACGCGGTTATCAACGCTCGGTACTTGCGACTCTTGTAAATGACGCTTTCAATGGGATGGTTGCTATAAGAACGTGATGGGTCCCCCCATTTCCACGACTTGGAATGAACACTTTTGAGGTCGCTGTGTGAGTAATAGCTTTGTCGAGCTACGAAAAGATCATTGTCGGATTTGCTGGTAATAAGAAACAGTCATGACGCACCTCTCCTAATACTACGCGTTCTCTTTGGTGCTGTGACGGGGATGGCTGTGCTGAAGCGAACAGTGGCTGAGATTGCCGCAAGTTTGGTGTTGGTTCGTTGAAGCCAAGAGTGTTCTCTATAGCGGTACTCCCGCCAAAACTTGACACACTTGAGTTCTGCGCAGTGGATGGATGTGGCGATGATGGCAGAATCGTCGAGGAAGATGCCTGTGATTGTGTTGGAAAATGAGAAAATCCGGACATTCGACTTGCCAGTGTACTTGATTGCGCTGGAGCAGATGCAAAGAGACCTTGAGTTGTGGCAGTGGGTTGTCTCAGTAAAGCTCCAAATAGACCTGTAGTTGTGGTGGCAGGTTGCTCCTGGAAAGCTCCGAAGACGTTGTCTGCTGCAGGTCCCTGTGCGACCCCGGTCGAGTCCTGGCTGGGGTCTGCTTGGTGAGGAACACTCTGAGTGCTTCCAAATATGCTTTGCGCGGCTTGTTGTGTTGAGGACAGAATATTTCCAAATGGTGAAGCATGTCCTGGGGTGTTCCAGAATGGAGTAACTCGGGGCCCGATCGGCCTGACCAACGGTTGATGATAGGAGTCAGGCTGCCACAGGAACCCTTGTTGCCTTATCTCCATCTTCTTCGGCTCAGGTAGTCCTACTGAAGGAACATGGGGCTCAGCTGTTGTCACTGCAAGCTCCACATTGTCCCAATTCTCCCCGGTAAACTGAGAGATTTGACACCGATAAGTGAGAACGACTGATGAGGAAGGGTCCAGGGCACCGTCAATGGTCGTGACATGTATTTCGTTATACTGACTTCCAGGTAGCGCTAACCCCTAGTGAGAACTCAGTGAAATGAAAATGCGACAGATTGACGGTAAGACAACTCACTATACTTCAGTTCCAGCTCAGCGGTCGTAGCGGTGCGGGCCAGAAACTGGTGCAAGAATAACAGTGGCTTTTGTCGCCAGGGAACGGGACTCGAGGAGAAGTCGCTGGTTTTCTTTGTCTATCTCCTTCCGAACGTCCTTGATCTGCTGGTCAAGCACCGCAATGACTTCGGATCGACTCTTGCCAATGTCTACGACTCATCGAAGAACTTGACGAGTTGTGCAGGTTCCGCCCCACCTGCCAGAGTATCTCCCTTGGCAAGGGAATCCATATACGTCGACAGGAAGGCGAAGCTTTGTTGCCTTAGTTGACGCTCGTCCTCTAAGCGCGTATACTCGGCCTGGAGATCACGAAGAACATCACTACTAGTCTCGCGCCGATGGCCAAACAGGTTGGATTTATAGTCGGACAAGTCGTAGTAGTAATCCATGACCAGCAAATCATCTGAACCAATGGTCACAGATGCCCGAATTCCGCTATGCGGCGAAGATAGGAGGGGAAGGTTTGAAATCTCAATGGCCTGCGACTCATTCTAATTGTGTGGTAGTAGTAAGTATGCGAGACGTAGAAGCAGCTGAGGCCAATCACTATGCACGTACTAAAGACTGGGTAAAGTGGAGGGGGAAAAACACGAGTGACTTCAACTACGTCGGTCCAGGAGCTGAAAATCTTTACGGACTTGATGGGAAAGTCAGTTTGCAGAGAGTGTTATCACATTCATCCTGAGTGAGTAGAAAAGGTGGTGTACATGTGCAAGTGTTATAAGTCTCGAGCAAGCTTCGAGTCATTAAATATATTGCATCGCCACAGTGGCGGAACCGTCGAGGTCGAGGCTCGGGGGTAATAAATTATGGAAAGCAGGACAGCCGTGCTCATTTTTGCATGTCACACATCCCTATTGGGCAATAGAACTTCGAACACCCTTAAGATACAATTCCAGTGCTGTACCCTAGAGCGTTAACATTGTCGGCATACAATAATACTAAGGTCTTATACCAAGAAATCTGTCTAATCGTTCTGCTCTAAACTGACAAATGGCTTCAATCCAAATCCTGGCCATCTGCAGTAAAGGTTACAAGAATGCTTGCGCTCGAACTCATCCACTATGCCCTCAATATTCCCGCCCCCAAAGACGTCATCTCCGTCATTTACGGACCTGTCCAAGAAAAAGGTCATCGAAATGAACGAATAGTATATGAAACACGGACGGATGAGTCAAGATCTGAGGGTCTGTTAGAAGTGTCAAACTCCCTAAATTTGTGTCAGTCTTGGTGAAATGGGGTGTTAAGGAGTGCGCATGGTAAATACCTTGATAATCCGAAACAAACGCCAAACCTTCAGTCTGCACATATTGAATATGCTGTGTGAATGCAAGGAAAACGGCTAGATCATAGCCATATTGATCCTCATCGAGAGAAGGCACGTAGTCCATGTTGTGAATGAACTTGGTAAACTCCTGGTTGTCGTCAAACACGATGCGCTCTTCGAGGAGATAGACAGCCGAAACTGTTCCTGCCTTTGTGTTTGATTTATCTCCTGGTTTTGAGCTGGCACTGCGCTGTCCATACCCCAAAGCAACACCAGCATCGACGAAACGCACACGAGGAATCTCAAAGGGCGGAGGTGTTGGTGAAGTGCTGATATGGTGGTCAATGTAATCATAAGTGTAGTTGAGGAGCGACTTTGCCCAGTACATGACGATACTTTCTTTCAGGACATGTTTCAGCTCGTCCACTGACGAATATCGCACGATCTTGAGTGATGCGGCAGCCTGACTCGTTGGCGGGACCCTATAAAATGGTCGTTTAACAACCACGTCATGCTGAGAGCGTGATCCAAGACCGCTAGAAACAATGGGGGATAGAGTGAGCCACCCAGGATGAGCTGTTTTGAAAGCGCCAATTCCTATCATACTGTGGAGGGGAATATCAATCGTGAGTTGGCCGATATGCGAGTCTGAAATGTCAAGTTCAAATGTGCGGTATTTCGGTGTCTTCAGAATTTCAGTGAGCGAACGGGTTGGAATTGGATAATATTCGATATCTTCGTGGTGGCGGTCGAAGACTGTCAAGTTGTTATGAAGTTCATGTGTTGAAAACAACAGTGAATCGCTCACCCTTACTCGATACATTTAGATTTGCGCTGCCTCCATACTTCAATGCCTCTCTCATAGAGTCACGACCAGGGAGGCAAAGTGCATCCAAACCTTTGGACAATAACGGTGCGGCTGCGGCCTTCTTGCGAGGAGGCGATACGGCGCTTGAGCGAGAATCACTCTCTGCTCGAACATGTGTCCGCTTGGCTGAGAGAGAAGGTGCCCGACGATCCTGTGCTAAGTCCGTCCCAGACTTCGTGCTGCTGGTACCTTCCCAGTCATTTGAGTTTGCACCTTCCAGCTCATTCCCATCCTCAAAGTCCTCGATAGTGCTCCCGTTATCGAAATCATTGATACCGGCGTTCCCGTCATCGAAGTCGTTGATACCGGTGTTCCCGTCATCGAAGTCATTGACACTGTTCCCGTCATTGTGAGTCACAGACTGACGATGACGATACTGATAGTAGTTAGTAGTTAGTATGAGTCATTAAGAAGCCGTTACTTACCTCTTCAATGCTCTCTAGCCATTCCTCGTACTCACCCCACTGCACCGCCGGTACAATGACTGACAATGGAAACTGCTTGGATTTAAATGTGGGCGCTTTTTGCCCACGTCGAGAAGGGACTAAACATTGGGAGAAAAAGTAAGGGACGTTAGGCTGGTGGGTAGAGAGATCAACCCAAGCGGCATCCCAGACAGTGAACTCGTTGGTGCGCCATGGAAACCCATTTCCAAAAACAAAGAGTTTGGGAGTGACCGTGTCGTATGCAAGGGCGATGAGTCCAGGTGCGTCAATCCGGGCATCAATGTCCTTCTTGCCTTCACAGATGTTCTGCAAGGAATTCAGATCAGGATTACAGAAAAGCCAACAAACAAACCCCAATGTTTATGCCGCGCCCGGCTTTCCTCTGTGAGTTCCCCTCACGGACTGCTGAAATCTCCAAGGTGATAGTTTCCGCTGGAGGTGGAGCATACGAAAGCTTTGCCCACCGTTCACGCTCTGAGTTATATTGTGCATGGTGGAGAGAGTATCCTGCAGCGCCAGCAACCCTGTGCTGGCCCATGCTCTGTGAATGTTGCCAGGATAATGGCACCAGGATCTCTGGTCCTGGCGCGCTAGTCTGACTGATGCCACTGCCTGACGGTTGAGAGAGTGCCAGTGGAACCACAGGGGGTGGATATATTGTAGCTAGTAAACAAGTCAATGTAAGTCAAATGGTTCTGAATGAGCACTATCCAACAAAAAACTCACATTTCCTCTGCGCGTCATTCACGCTTTGACATATGATTTGAGGATCCGGAAGACGACTCATACCAAGCCTCTGCATGCTCTGGGAAGCGGGCCTCTGCATGCTCTGGGTAAGTGGTGCACGCTGACCTGAGACGTTTGAATAAATTTAATGTCATAATTAGTCAGTGTTGTACTACTCACCTGAAGGTCGGACTGATGATGAAATCTTCTGCCGATATCCTACGTAACATGTTTCACACACGAAGCGACCTGGCTGGCCAACAATCATGTTAGCGACATAATGACATGGGTCATTCTTGACTATGCGCCGACGGCAAGCTGGTCTATCGCAGATATGGTCTTCTTGGGCAACAGCGTCCTCTGTGAATTGGGAGACAAGTTCCATGGTAAGGATCTAAGCGGTTGACTTGGATGGCACCAACTTACAGATACTTTATACTTCTAGTCCGTCTCCAATTCGTTGCGTGCATGTTTGACTTACTGGTATGTACCCTCTACTCTCCTATTTGATTCGTTGTGTGCATGTTTGATCTGCAGGATTTATTGCCAATTAGGGGAGTGGGCAATCCAGCAGTGCGCCGCAGTGGCACCTGAGCATCTGACTGGTCTGGTAACTGTCCTGCAGGATATGTTACGGTGGATTCATCCTGGAGAACAGGTATGTCACTCAGCTACTACCTTCGTCCCGCAGTTCACGATTCTGACTTGGAACGGCCCGAGTCAGGGTCCTGCAGGATTCATTTCCGATGCAATCACCACATAATGGCCTCCTTGGAAATTCACTCGTTATCTCCTGCAGGCTGCCTGCGTCCATCCCTGAGTCAGCTGAGCATCTATTGGACTGAAACTCTCTGAAACTCTGCGTGAGTCGCCCGAGTAACTCCATTTGTTTCTTCTCGTTCTTCATAATACTTATCTATCGGACAGAAACTCTGCCTGAGTCGCCCGAGTCATGGTAACTCATTCGTTTTTATCCGAGACTCTATCCGACTCGGAATCGCACAATCCTGGTGCACTTAAAGAGCCTCAATGCTATGGAACTCACTTGTCTACACTCTGAACATCCTTGCATGCCTAACCAATGGAAGCCGACTCGTACGTGGACTTTTTTTCAATGATGTCAGTCTAACTAACATTGTGCTGGTAGCACCTCTTGAGGAAATTACACCTCACATCCTGCGCTTGTGGAAAGCCCGTCAGACTGACAAGATGATCGTTGAAAACTTGCGGAAGGTTATTGATACATCCCGCTATGGAATAGGGTCAGTTGAGTATTACTAATTGTTATTGTGTCCTGACAGTCTGTGCGCACAGTATTACAAAGTTCAAGGAGATACGTAATGCGATGGGTCCTTCAGCGTACTCGGCAGCAGAACCACTCTATCGAGTCCATCCGTGACACTATGGTGGACCTCCGCGAGGCGTATCCAAATGCCGGTGCACGAGAAATGGTTTCACTTCTCTTTCACGAGAAGGATATGAGTGTATCACGGTATTTGATTTGTTTCTTAACTGACCTGCAGTGAATTTGACCAGAAAATCACAGGAACGTGGTCATTTTCATACTTTGCTGCATATGAGGTGGGCCTAGTGCGTCAGAGGAAAGCCCGTCGGCTTCAGCGCAGGCGATTCTGGGCTGCTGGTGTGAACGACCTGTTCGCTGTCGATCAGCATGACAAATGGCTTCGGTTTGGTCTTGGACTCCACACGGGAATAGAGCCGTTCTCCAGCCGTATTATGTGGATACAGGTTTGGCACTCGAACCGCAACCCTCAACTGATACTCTCGTACTATCTCAACACGATCGAAAAGCTAGGTCGTAAGTTTATTTAAACTGATACCCATTGTGCCATTTCACTCAGCGGTTTATGACAGACATTCCGATGATCACGCAAAGCGACCCAGGATCCGAGAATTACGGAATCGCTAATGTGCACACAATGCTGCGCCAAATGTATGATTTATCGCTGCATGGCACATTGCAACACCGGTGGATGCGCACCAAAAAGAACGTTATGCCCGAAATTGCCTGGTCCCAGTTGCGCCGGCGTTTTACTCCTGGTTTTGAATCACTATTGGACGAAGGCGTGGTGAGCGGTTGGTATGACATTGACAATGTGCTTCAGGTCATGGTGTTTAGATGGGTGTTCGTCCCATGGCTGCAGTGTGAACTAGACAGGTACCAAGACCGTGTCAACAACACCGCAAAGAGACAGGACCGTAACAAGGTATTTTTTTTGGCGTGCCGTTCATGCACACCACCCTCACATTCCAAATGACTAGGTTCTACCTCATGGTGTGCCGAACCTAATCTATGACTCCCCTGAAGACTTTGGGGCAATGGATTTTAAGGTGAGTTTCATTCTTCCTATTAACACATCCTCATACTAATACACACTAGGTAACCGTTGATCAGGACAGCATAGATCATGTACGACGCACATATATCAAATCCGATCATCCCGTATTCGACTTGGTGCCTCAACCCCTCGATCATTATATTCAACATCATTATGATGACCTTGGTCGGCCTCCAGTCACCCGCCAATCAGCTTGGCGCATCTACTTAGATTTGCTTCAGTCTATCCAACTTGCCGAACAGGTGCCACCGCCAATAGTTTATGGTGATTTTGACGAAGACAACTTGCCGCTCCTTGAACATCAGAGGGAGTTGTTGTGTGCTGATGACACTTACATGGGTGGTGTACATGGAGGACTAGGTCTTGGTATGTCTTTGCATGGTACGCCCGAACGAGCCTTTTCTAATTGATCTGTTTCCAACTAGACGCATCTGACCATCGCCGATTGGATTCACTCATAGAGGAGGATGAACCGGATGCATCTTTACTACCTAATGAACAAGTTACTGAAGAGGATGGTTTATTTGCTTGGTTTTCCGATGAGGAGGAGGATGAAACACACGAGTGGTAGTTATTGTAGCAATGACAGTCTATTATCAATTTATCTTGCACGCAGCACTACACTAGCTCCACCACGATACATATATTATTCAAACGAAGCCCTCGCGGTGCACGGAGTCCCAATCTCGCACCTACCCGCTATGGTAATTGTCACAGTGACAAGGTGAGCACGGCTGTCCTGCTTTCCATAATAAATTGGGTAACCGGCGGGTAACTATGTACCTACAGGCTCTGGGCCGGAAGCGTACATACCCTTCCTTGGAAAGTATTTGTTCCCCTCAATCTTTCAGTACAAGAATGGGAATTTTACCTCATCTCGAGTCTCTGTCTCTTGATCTCCAGGAGGGCCGGACTCTGCGAGAGTCCCGCAGGCTGTGCACAACTGAGTCAAATACATGAGAAATAGTGTTAGCGGAAGCAAACGGCAACACAAGCTCACACAGAAATGTTCTCACGCCATCTTCAATCAAAGCCGAGACCGACAAGTGGCCGCGCCCGTACCCTTAGGCTCGTGCACGTTATACGTCGCAATATATAGCACCCTGTCACTTCACCTGGTGTATAGGTAACTGTGCGTCCGTTCTCATACGATGAGCCATGTTGACGATGACTAGATTTTCAAAAACCAATCGGTCCGACATCGAGTTCACAAGCCGAAGCACACCCTATCAAAGCCGTCATTAGGAGAACAAAATATCTTCGCCAGCAACTCACCCAAAAGAAGGTCGCAATCATGAACCTGCACGAGGAGCTTGTATCCGATCTGTGCCGCTTGCCAACTGAAGTCCTATGTCATATTTTTATTCACTGTCTTCCCCAAACTGGCTACATGTTACCCAACTCAAAATCACCTCCTATGTTGCTCACCAGAATATGCCGACGCTGGAGGGAGATTACTACGGACATGCCCTCCTTGTGGTGCAGACTGTCCATGGATATCAACCACGCTACTAGCAGAAACTGGCGGCAGGCTGTCTTCTGCTATGACTCATGGTTCAAGCGAACACGAGGACGTCCGCTTTCCTTGGAAATCATGTGCATCAAAAATGACACCACCGACCTACGAACCCTTTTTCAACCTTACGTCTCCCAGATTTCCTCTCTCAAAATCACGTTTGACAAGGCTGTCGCACCTGAAATCTTGCTAAACGGCCTCCCGGCACTTCAGGAGCTTCGAGTTGACATAAGTCGCGATGTTGTCGTGAAAGATCGTGATACACTATCATGTATATTACCACCCATCTCGCGACTCTTCACTCTCCGTGGTCTCAAGTTGGAAACGCTGTCCCCCTACGACATCGAGCGTTTCTCTCGCCTCAACCCAGTATGGCCCTTGACAAATGTCAATCTCGATATATGCAACCCGCCCACCATCATTGACTTGCTCCGACTATTTCCCAACCTTTCCTCATTAAAAATCTTTATGTTCTCTGGCGGTGGATCGTCCTTTGAGCCGTCTACCTCACTCCACCATTCAATTTTTTTTCATTGCAATCGTTGTCACGAATATCGTATATTCAGTACGAGACAAATTAGTTCACTTGTTCGATGCACTCACGCTCCCCAATTTGCGCGTGCTTCACGTTGAGGGTAGATCCTGGCCTCATGTTGAAGATTTTATTTTGCAGTATGGTAAGTAAATAAACAGCGCTGGATGTTGAGCTGTGTCTCCGTTTTGGTCATGCTAACGGGATACATGACTAGTCACGATGACACGAGTCTAGTGGAAATGCCGTTTGCGCCGGGAACCACACACTTGTACGATACTGATACAAGGATCGCGAGCATTGGTGTTACACTATAAGGAGTATTACTACAATTATTCAAGGCTATCAAGTACTAGTAATGAGTGGTTGTTGCTCTCCGTTATCAATGTCCGCAACCGAAGGGTTGTATTTGCGTGTCAACCGTGCGGTCAACGCGCCGCCCTCCAATTGTTCTACCTCCTCCACGATGGCATACCCCCCTAGCCATGGCAAGACAATAATCCACAGCCAGTAATAGAATCCACACAACTGTAAAGGATCAGTTTCATGTGGGGTCGCGTTGTAAGTAGTGTACACACCGCAAGGATACCAAGTCCCACCACACAGTAACTGAATGGATGTGCTCAGATGTGAGCCCAAAAATGCAACAACATTGGACTTACGTTGCGTGCCAAAAAGACACGTCGCCATGACCAGTTTCTGGTGGTACCCTTGTCGAATAAATTAGTTCTGCTACAAGACGTTGATTCGGAGATAATACCAGGGCATTATGAGGAGAAATACCGCGCTGAGGAGGTAAAGGGAAACATAAATATTCCTCGCACGATTTTTCGAAGATGCAAGACCAGCAAGCATTCGCCGCTTTCGAAGAAGCCACAATCCTACGGCAGTTGCAGCATTGAACACCTGTGACTTGTTCGTCACATAATACGCGACGGTGAAGTAAAATTCCTACTAAATTCGGATAAGAAGACAAGTCTATCAAGAAGTTAAATGCATCCCGAGCTGGGAGGACAACTATCACAAGGACTGTGAGAAAGTACTTCAGACACACGGGTGCCAATGGTGTGCCGAATGGCTTGGTCGATGCAAAAAATGTTGGATACGGAAGCAGCCCCTGTCGGGCAATTTCACGCAATACACGTGTCTGACCAACGGTCTGGCAGAATGAGTTATCATATCATGACAAGCATTTTCCATTGCGTTGCTCACCACGGCGATCTAGAAATGTATTTTGTGAGTAACTCGAGCACGTGAAATACAAAGATCACACACGATGTTTCCGAAGCAACTTAAAGCAACCATGATAGGCAGGGTTTTGGCTGCAAAGCCCTCTCCGAATACACGTTGGAAAAATAAAGCCGCGATGAGTTGTCCAGAATTGCTTATTTCGTCCTTTGGCACTGCTGCCACGTAAGCGACATTGACAAAGAAAAAAAGACATGCGAGTAAAAACAGCGATAGTAAGCCGGCTTTGCGTACTGTGCGGACGGGATCACGCGTGTGGACTTCTCCGATGACATTAAATGCGTTGTGCCAACCAGAGAATGCAAAATTAGTCTTGACTAGGGCAGTAGCCAAAGAATTTGGATTGCTTGTACTACCGCTGAAAGGGGACCGAAAATTGGCAAACGGATCGCGGATGTGAGTGAAACCACCAAGTACGAGGGCGCCCGTGCAGACCAAGCTAAAAGGACAGTCAGTCAGTAGATAACGGATGGTGAAGGGTGTGCTCACAAGACAAGAGAAAGGACCTTTAACACAGTAAGAAAGTTCACGGCTCTTAAAGACCATTTCGTTGACAGAGCGACGACTGCGTGGTCATGTTCCAGATTACACCTTAGCGCAAGAGATATGAGAAACTCACAAGCCATGCCAACGGCACAGACTGCTACAGCAATAATGGTTTGCCTTGCGGGAGTGATAGGGACATCGAAAATTGTAAGTGCATATTGCGCAAATACAATGGAATTTGTTGCGCTAAAACTGATCAGCATAGGAGCGATCCCATGAATATCTCATTCGACATGCAAAACGCAGCACGCACGACAGAAGGACTGAAGTTACAGCAAACATGACTGGGACCAGAAAACTGTGGACGAGGATATGCCTGCTCCAAGTACACAACTTCTGCCCCGGATCTCTTTGGGAACATACTCGCGTATTCACTGTAGACCATGAGACCTCCAAGTGCAAACAATGGAGCCAATAGCCAGAAGACGAAGAACAGGCCGACCGAGCCAACAGAATTCAGTATGACGCCCGGGACAGAATATATTCCTGCGCCGAGCATTTGTCCAAGATTGAGCATAATAGAGGACAGTAGTGTAACCTTGTAACCCAAGGGATTGCTCTGCAGACGACGTGAGTATTTATCGGATACAGGTGAATTGTCGTTACTTTCTCTATTGGCGCTCCCGCTGCCAGTGCTGACACAGTGTTTCCTTCATCTTGGGCATCCTCGCTTTGGGCCAGGACTTCAGAGTCCAGGACGTCGTCGATGTTGGTCATGAGACTACTGACGGTGGGTTGATAGGACTACTAGTACTCAGAGCTGTATCATATATTCAAACACCCACAAGATTCGGGGCGCCAGGTAGCCATCGACTACTATTATGGCGCAATCACCGGCAGTGTCCTCGCGCAGCACGTTGTGAGACAAACCTCAATGCAGTTGATGCAGCACCTGTAGTACTTACGGTAGCTGGCAGTTTGAGTTATAAAACCGAGGGAGTTTTGAAGAACTTCTGCCAACTAGTAGTACAACGTAATAAGTACTGGGTGTATTCGGAAGGCTGAGCGCTGAGCGCTGAACGTTGGACATTGGACGTTGAACTGGTTGAACTTCTATAAGCAGTCGCTTATTTTTAGTGCCACCAGGTTACTTGAAAATTTCCTTATGTAACGAGTTGCAACGTCGATTTGTTCTCTCTCAGATCTCACCATTTGAACTCATTGCATGCATGTTTGTCGCAGCTGGACTTTGTCAATTTCTACTGAGTCCGAGCGATAGACATAAAGAATTGCTTGGATTTATAAGTTAGATGGTACACACTTCACAACACAGTAAGTCGAACAAATGCACATAACCAGAACAGACTCGGATAAATGATGAGTACAGAAAGTGTTGCTGGCGGAAGCAAACGACAACGCCCAACTTCAAGCTCATGCAGAAATGTTCCCACGCATCTTCGAAGTTTCCTTTCTCAGAGACTCTGACCAACGAGTACCCTTAGGCTCGTGCACGTCGTACGTCGCAACATATAGCACCCCGTTACTCCAGCTGGTGTATAGGTAACTGTGCGTTTGTTCCCATATGATGAACCATGTTGACGAAGACCAGATTTCCAAACACCAATCGGTCTGACATCGAGTTCACAAGCCTCACAGTTGAAGCACACCCTATCGGAGCCGTCATTAGAAGAGCAAAATATCTTCGCTAGCAGCTCACCCAAAATAAGGTCGCAATCATGAGACTGCACGAGGTGCTTGTATCCGATCTGTGCCGCTTGCCAACTGAAGTCCTATGTCATATTTTTATTCACTGTCTTCCCCAAGCCGGCTACACGTTACCCAACTCAAAATCACCTCCTATGTTGCTCACCAGAATATGTCGACGCTGGAGGGAGATTGCTACGGACATGCCCTCCTTGTGGTGCAGACTATCCATGGATATCAATCACGCTACTAGCAGAAACTGGCGGCAGGCTGTCTTCTGCTATGACTTATGGTTCAAGCGAACACAAGGACGCCCGCTCTCCTTAGAAATCATGTGCATCAAAAATGACACCACCGACCTACGAACCCTTTTTCAACCTTACGTCTCCCAGATCTCCTCTCTCAAAATCACGTTTGACAAGGCTGTCGCACCTGAAATCTTACTAAACGATCTCCCGGCACTTCAGGAGCTTCGAGTTGACATAAGTCACGATGTTGTCGTGAAAGATCGTAATATACTAGCATGTATTTTACCACCCATCTCGCGACTCTTCACTCTGCGCGGTCTCAAGTTGGAAACACTGTCCCCCTACGACATCGCTCGCCTCAACCCAGCATGGCCCCTGACAAATGTCAATCTCGATATATGCGACCCGTCCACCATCATTGGCTTGCTCCGACTATTTTTCAACCTCTCCTCGTTAAAAATATATATGCTCTTTGACGATGGATCGCCCCTCGAGCCTTTCACCCACTCCACTATCCAATTTTTTTCCATTACATTCGTTGTCACGACTCTCATGCCTTCAGTACGAGACCAATTAGTTCACTTGTTCGATGCACTCACGCTCCCCAATTTGCGCGTGCTTCACGTTGAGGGTAGATCCTGGCCTCGTGTTGAAGATCTTATTTTGCAGTATGGTAAGTAAATGAACACCCGCCCAAGGAGAAGAAGATATGGACAGGAACAAAGTTAGACCGGACGGCCTCAAGTATCATAGTCAAAATGAGAATTCCAGATTCTACGGAGTAGAGAGGGACCTCGGTTCTGTACGGTCCCGATGCTTTGAACAAATTTCACACTCTTTCAGGTCTTTCGTTCATTTGAGACTCTCGACCTCCACTTTTCTGCGCTCTTGCTGCAGCAGCTCCCTCCACCCCTTGTGCACGCAATATTTGTCGTTTCTGCACTCTTGGCCCTGCGATGTGAGATTTCAACAGACTATCGTGAATCACCTCGTATCTATGCTTTCAAAATCTGCCTGGTCGCTTCTGGCCATTAAACTGAAGCGGCGGGCAAAGGTGGATCACGTGAACGTCATTAATATTGTACAGCTGCTGAACAGCATGCCCGGTGATTGCTGACTTGTTTGGATAGTCCACGTGCGCCCCACCTAACCATGTGGCACGGCGCTCGGCGAGTCGGAATGCAGTGAATGAATGCGAAGATCCTGGGAAGGAGAAGGAGAAGAAGAAGGAAAGAAGAAATGATCATAATCGCAGAGTCGGGGACTGAGTGCACACGCACTGAAGGGCAGTGTATTTGATGCGGAAAGCTACTAGTACCAATAGTATAAAGTACAGGACATGACCAAGTCAGGAGTCTTGACCGTAAACAAAAGTGTTCAGTAGACTGCGACCGTCCTTCTCGGAACAAGCTAAAATGGCATCAAGCATGTCATTTTTGTCGTCAGGATGAGCAGCAGCGTTGCCTTGATGCCTGATATGAGCCACCGTACCCCTGGAACTGCATAACATATCAATAGCATCGAGTGATAGCGGCTTCCCAGCCTGCTGAAGATGCTGCAAGGCGTAGGCAACAAATTGCCGGTACTGTCTTGGTACCACGAAGGTCCTCCCACGTTGGGTGTTCCGCGCCAATGGTTTCACGGATAAGTTCTTGCGACTCATCCAAGAGGGCTCGGAGCGCGATGGGATACACAGTCTTCTTCTGTGCCTGAATCAATTAGATGAGAAAAGACAGAACCAATGAGGCATCCTCATACCCGTGTCAAGCGCTTTCGCACAGCTTTCAACTCTGCTTCCTTCTCTGCCAACTGGGCCTTATACATCCTCTTTGTATCCATCAGCTGCGCCTTCTCCTGTTGATCTCGTAGACGCTCTTCGAACATTGTTTCTTGTTCTGCTAACGCCTGGAGGTGCTGTTCTTCGTTGGAGTGGATTGCCGTACTAGTCGCATCCCGAACTTCTGCATCACGCTTGGCCTTATGTTCCACTTCGATTCTACTTGCCTGTGCGTCCCACTCCTCTTTATCTAGAAGAGGTTTGAGCCAAAGGTAAATGGTAGAAAGGTTCTTACAAATACCTTTGAATGCTTGGTCGACTAAAAAGGTGTGTTTCTCGTCCATCTCCCTTATTCGATCAAGAGACCTTTTGTTCAACGCCATAAGATTCTTGAAGTCATTCTCCGCACGTACTACGCGTTCTGGAAATTTTTGAATACGATGGTCTCCATCTGAGGCGGGAATACAGATGGCGGTAAGAGTCCTCTCGCCCAGGGCGTCGGTGACTAAACATACTCAGTGGGCGTTCGCAGTTACTTAGCTCAGGAGGGATGGACTCACAAGGTTCTAGGTTGGAGGCGAAAATTTCCATTGACTCTGGTTTCACGTTCTTCACATGGTGAGATTCAGCGACACGATTCGCTACACTTGTTCTGGCCACCTCTAAAGCCTGGTAAACGGTCATTTGGGGGTCCTGTTTTGTGCTGATGTCTTGTATGTCCTCGCGGTTAGCAAAAGCTGCCTTGATTGTAACCCAGTCTGATGGTAAGTTAGGGCTAGCCATGGTTACTAGTTGTGCTGGTTGTGGAGGACGTAGACTAGGTTGAAGTAGAGACTATGACATGCATCCAACTGGGCCGCATTGGAATACTGGATTTCAAACTCAACGGCTCACCTTATAATCACAAGATATAACATCTATCTCGATTGGAACAGATCGGGGGACAGGCATGTAGCAATTAGTGACCTAGAAAATATATGTAGCCAAGGGCGTCGATTCTCTCTCTTTGCCCTTCGCGGACGATGCCATGTGGTTTTGCTCCTTTGTCATCTCAAGCACCTCCGAGTCAGGGCCAGGAATTTCCATGCCTTCTAATCGTTTGATAGCACCTTGTGCTTGAATTATAAATGCTTCGCGGGCTTGCACTGCCTTCACATATGGTAGTTCGTTCCCGTATGGATGCCTTACCCTTGGCTACTTTCTTAGGCGCAACGGATTGGACAGAGGAAACCGACATGATCGTCACCGTCATTATAATTGTCAAATGTTTCATTATTGTAATCTGCAGTAATACACCAATCAATACAGTTGAACGTATAATTATAGCGGCACAATACCTCGAGCCATTCAAATAACGCACAGAGCGATCTGACATACCCGAGAGAGAATCGTTCCTGAGAAGAATGGCGCAGAAATAGTTGAAGTGTCTGGAGACAAGCAAGAGCCCGGGGGCAAACCATGTAGACGCGGATATCTGGGAAAGTATCGTACCGATCTTCCAATCTTTCGGACGCTGGATGACCTAAGACTCTAGTTGGCTGGAAGTCTTGCATTTTCTCGGTAGCAGTCACTGATGATATTCAAATGGATATGGGAACTCACATTTTTCTTCACCTCTCCAGCATTGCCAGCGCCTCTTTTCAACTTTTCCCTCACCAACAAAGACATTGTAATTATCATTGCCATCGTCGTCGTCATCGTCTTCTTTTGGAGGAGAGGAAGAACAGTGCAGATCGGTTTTCCGTCTCTTGTTCGTTTTTATTTGCGAGAACTCTCGATGGAGGTTTGCTGACGCTACTTAGAACGTGGATTCCGACATAGCGAGCCCAATGTACTGATAAGATATTATCGCGATTCAAAAAAAGTAAAATAAATAATTTAACTGAGGTCCTCGAGCGCTTCGAGACGTGCTATTTGCCTGCGCATTACACATGAGAAAGGTCTTTAGAAACGAAAAACCAACTCACCTATCACGAACAGCCTCTTGCCATCTCTGCAACTTTGCAGTCTCGTTCAGCTGAAACCCATATATCCTTGGTCGATATCTTTCTGCTTTCAACGCGACACTCGCAGTGCTGCCTGTCTCTCCAACACCCTCAGAAATTTCAGGTTCTTCCTTGACTCTCCTACTTTTTCTGCTGGAATCGTTTTCAATACTACGGGAGGTTGGAGTAGGATCAACAGGGCCGGATTTCGGCGGGAGAAGACCTGGGTACACGAGGAACAACAGGTGAGGGAAGGACGTGCCAAAGTAAGCGCCATCAATGGAGCCATGGCGCGACGACTTGGGAGAGTAGACGTCTTCGCATCGACCGCAATACAACTTCACTGATTTTTCATAGGGTGTATCGCTGAGGCCCACCGGAAGTAGTGGCTGAGATTGACAGAGTACTCGCGGACACCGACCAAAATCCACTCGTTTGAATTTCTCAAGCTGAAAGGACGTGAGGAACCTTAGCGGTAATAGCAGACAGACGTTACCATTTTAGCAAGTCCGCGGGCGGTAACAATCCATCGAGCATGGATTAGACCATACAACAAACGGGCCTGGACATCGAGTGCACCACGTAGCTCGTCTTGTATATCATCGTCTGGGAATCGATAGCTCTCAGTCACAACATAACAAGGTGGCTTTCAAGATGTACCAAGATTATCCGTGATTAAATCGAGCGCTTGGGCATAGTTTGAAACTTCGTTGTTGAGGCCAGTGAGATTGAATCTATCTAGGATATAGTCCTCTTCGACTTCACAGAAATATTCGTTTCCCTTGGATGAAAGGAACCAAGAGATCCACTTCAACTGTGTTTAGAATGCAACATGTCCGTCATGACGGCTTTCTCACCGAACTGGAAACCGATGACAGCACAGCTTCAGTTGGGCGTGACGACTGGGAAATAAAGGACTTACTTGGAGTATTCAGAATCTGAGCCCGTGGAAATGTCGTCCACTGCACGTCCAAGCATTGTATCAGCTATGCAGTCAAAAATATTCCTTCAGTGGGGAACTGACTGGCAATATAAAGTAGTAGATGTCAGCGGAACCATGATGCGATTCGAATTTCCAAGAGACAAAACCACCCAGCATCCGCATAAGGAAGAAATTTCTCGCATCACTTTGAACACGGACGAGGTCTCGACGTTGCCTCCTGCAAATCTCTAACAGCCTGCCAATGGGCTCAACTTGAACCCTCGTAGGACCAAAACACCTTCCTTCCAGAAAAATACAGAGCTCATGCCAAAGGACATCGCGATTGATATGCCCACAGACATGCGAAACCAAGAAGGTCATTTCTCGACATTTGACCTTGACTACACTCCGCCAAAGCCATGGGGAATTACATCACTCACCGTTGACTATCCCTACGTCAAGCCGCATCCCAAACGAACCACGGCCTCCTCCAAGATGGAAAACTCCAGAATTTATCTTCTATTATGTGGTCGCTTTGTTTGTGATCCCTTTTATGGCATGGGTACCTATCCACCTGAGTTCATGTATGTGAGATTTTGTCGCAGAAGATTGTCACTAATACTAATGAAACGTCGTCAGCTTCACATCCAAATTACCCATATTATCACCACAGATTGTCACCAGGCTGGATGTTTGGACGCGAAGTTGTGAGTGTCATATCTTGTGGGCATGACGTCTTGGCCGTTTTCTGCCTCTTGATTCATGCAAACAAGATATCAGGAATAGCAAATAATTCCCTGACTTTTATTCTCGCAGGATAACAGTGATACCCAGTATCGGTCATTTCGCAACAACATACTTCCACTCACATTCCTTGTCCTGATCTTCATCGCTCTCAAATACATATACACACGGTCTGCATTGCGCTCTGCCCTAAGTATACCCTCGGATAAGCTTTACTTGATTCCGTTTTTCCTCTTGTTTTCTGCTCTGTACCTTACTGGCCTCCACGGGACGAGCATCTTCAAGATTCTATTCATCCTGACGGCCAATTACTGGATTGCTAAAACATCCAGAGGATCGCGCATGGGACCACTGCTGACCTGGGTTTTTAACGTTTTAATCTTATTCGCCAATGAGATATATAGCGGATATCGGTACGCCAGTTTCCACCCTTCATTAGAAGTTTTGGTACGTCATTCTAGACGTTAATTACGAACAGTTTCTGACTTTTCACCCAGGACGCATTCCAAGGCATGTATCCGCGTTGGCATATAAGCTTCAATATCACTATGCTGCGATTGATATCATTCAACATGGATTACTATTGGGCCTATAATTCTCGTAGAGGAGAGGTGAGCAACTAGGTTCCATATCTGTCTCTATACTTATGCACCTCGAAGAACTTGAGCTCTGCTTCTACCGAAAAGCAGAGAGCCAACACGCCACTCCCTTTAGAAGATTATACATATCGAAACTACATTACTTATGTCCTCTATCCTCCGCTCTACATCGCTGGCCCTATTCTGACATTCAATAATTTCATGTGGCAGGTGCACGACAATTCTCTTCTGTTTCATTTGCCTTCATTTACATTATTTATGCAGTTGCGCTGCCCTATAGATATTCCCATACGCGTCCAAAGCCGTTACTTGGTTCGTTTCCTTGTTAGTCTCCTGACCATGGAGTCTATACTACACTATATGTATGTTGTGGCGATCAAAGATACCAAGGCTTGGCAAGGCTATACACCACTGGAGTTGAGTATGATTGGCTGGTGGAATCTCCTCATTGTTTGGTTTAAAGTGTGTGTTTTTTGGATGCGTTTGGTGTTCGGCTGATCATTTGAGTAGCTGCTTCTGCCATGGCGGTTTTTCCGTCTCTGGTCTTTGGCAAGTGGTATTGATCCACCTGAAAACATGATACGGTGCATGGTCAATAACTACTCTGCTCTTGGATTTTGGCGAAGTTGGCATCGATCATATAATCTCTGGATTGTCCGGTTCGGCTATTGTATTAATGTGCAGGCTTCTTACTCACTAGTATACAGATACATCTACATTCCACTCGGGGGTTCAAAGAATGTTGCACTAACAACCGCGCTTGTTTTCTCATTTGTCGCACTCTGGCATGATCTCTCTTTTCGCTTGCTTGCGTGGGGATGGCTCGTCAGTTTTTTCATCTTACCTGAGTTGCTTGCGAGGTATCTTCTCCCCCAAACAAAGGTTAGTCGAACGCCATCTTCATTGCATTTTCACCTTCTACAGCTCATTTCATTCCCACGATCAGTACGGGCAATTTTCATGGTATCGTCATGTCTGCGCAATAGGAAGCGTATTCAACATGTTGATGATGGTTTCCGCAAACCTTGTTGGATTTGTGATCGGTACGGACGGGATGATGTATATGGTCAACGAGATAGTGGGAACGTGGCAAGGTAGACACCTTCTGTTCTTTGTCGCCGCGTCATATTGGACTATCTAATATTCCATTAGGATTCCGTTTTTTACTCGCGGCAATCTGCATTATCTTCGTGGGAGTGCAGCTTATGTTTGAGTACCGGTGCGTTCTTTCGCCGCAGTGTTTTGCGTTGTGATCGCTCACTCTCGGTTCTCAGAGAAGAAGAGATGCGAAGAGGTGTTTACCGAAGGTGTTGACGATTTGCTTGAGGTCATCGATTGTCATTAGCAATCCTAATTAGTGTCCGACCTGTTCTGCGCCCTGCACCTACAGGAAACGAGGTCTCCAACAAAATGCTTTGTGCCTCCGTCACCTCGATTGAGCTCGTTTCGTTCACAAACCTCGTTCGCTAGGATCAAGTAGAAACCCGTCGTCGCCAAAGACGATCAGTAATTACTTGTGTCGATTGTCAGAAGCACTGAGGACATGCGAGCAGAGACCACTCCCCGTACTGCGAACGACGACAGTGAGGTTGTGTACAAATGTGGATGTAAGCTCCGGCCTTTTACTAAGTGACAAGCTAGGTTTCGAAAGGTTTTGAATGCACCAATACGAAAGTGTAAGCACGCTGGCTTTTCCTCACTAGAATTCCCATAATACTGTCCGCGATACTGAAATATAAGCTTTCAGTATCACTGCCTTTTGGCGTAACAGTTAAGGGACGACAGTCTTGACGTCGTGGGTAGGCAATCCAATCATCTTTCCCACATGTTGACGTCGAGCTACTGTGCTCTGAGCGGCTAGTTCTGATTGGAATAGAAACAATTTTGCGTTGCATTTGCAGTGCTTAGTGTTTATCACCAGAAAATCTGGTGTATATTGCCACTACAGTACATAATAAAAAACACCAGATATTCAGTTGATCATGCAGCTATGGTGCATGACAGGTGAGTGGTCAAAAGCACCAGAAAAGGTGGTGAAGTTCGTCACCTGAAAGGCCTTTTGACAAGATGGTGAAATCGGCAAAAATTCCGGTTATGTTCACCTTGTTTCATGCACCCGTTCGCACGGTGAACACTACTGGATGACGGTGATTGTCACCTTGTAAGTTCGTCATCATCACCAACCCCACGGGTGATCCAACCGGTGAACTTCACCTGCTTTTAGTTTCATAGTGATTATATTAAGTACAGCTCACCAATGGTGAACCTTGTGCCTGAAGTCATCAGTCCTTTGTTCTTCCCGGTGAGTTCCTACAGGTTCTCACGCCGCAGCGGAGGGAGTGCGAGCACTGGCATGACACTTCATCAAACATAATCAGGCAGCTCGAACCTGGATGGGTAATTTGAATGATTCTTTGAATAACGTAGAGCACATTGACGCTTGTAACAATAGTAGTGTTAATGATAACTGTGATGATATCTAGATGCCCTGAGAGTAACAATGTAACTTATAGAAAGAAATGATGATCAAATGAGTGTCTTGTCAAGAGAGCGACGACAATTAAACAAAAGGAATGACCAATATATGTGAATACACTAAACATAACATAATAAAGAGAGGGGGAGTACTCGCTATGCTCGCATACGGAGACTGCTCAGCCGTGCAGCGTGCATTTCTGCTTCCATGTCTAATGATCGCTGCTTGGCTCGCTCGCGGAGAAGGCCCCACTTGACCCACCAGTCGTCGGCTTCATCTTCAGCATCGTATCCCCAAAGTTCTTTGAGCTGCTCCCATTGTTCAGAAGCTTCGCCACCACCGAAAACGCTTTCCCCTTGAGCAGTCTTGGCACGCATGTCCTGATCGCGTTGTTCCTGCTGAGGACCAGCCGGCAGCATTTGGAAATACAGATTGCATTGTTCAGTATGCACAACACTGGCACAGCGATCTTCCCGAAGATCTTGAAAAGCATGTAAAAATGTCGATATTTGGTCCTTATCTCGCAGATGGGAGAAAAGCTTTGCAAATACAGCGGCGTCTTCTACAGCCATTGCGCCGCCCTGCAAGGATCCTGCCTGAAGGAAGTGTTAGCGCAATGCGTCATCCCACGGTCAGGGTTATAACATACTGGAAGTGGATGTGCAGCCTCGCCCATAATTGCCATACGACCGTGTTTATCAACCCAATCTTCTATTGGTGGAACCATCTTAACCTGTACACGGGAGGGTGTGGCAGCCAATTTGGTCATCTTTAGGAGTCTGAGACTTTCGATCAACCAGGATAGATAAACACCACTAGATTGGTTGTACCTCGGTTCGCATTCTCCAAGCTGCCGCCGCATCTCCTTTAAATCGAGGCCTCCTCCCCAGCAATCATCATCGGACAGCCCCTTTTGCCTGGGAGGCACCCATAGATGTAGCGCAAACTCGTCTTTACCGCCCTGCCCAGCAGCTGTTAGATTCGGCACGGCACCTCATGAATATTAGCATACTATACGGAACGCCACAGCCGAGCGATTATTGCCCAGCCAAACAAACATGGTCTCCTAAGCACATCAATTAAAGCCAATCATAATCGTGCAAGTGTGCGACTTACGACAGGTTTTTTGAAGAAGGGTGCCAATTGAGGATCGGCTCTCATAAGTTCTCCCGGGACAGTAGTACTGAGGCAGTTAGGCAACGAGTTTTATTATCAAAGTCCAGGGCAATGCTTACTTGTAGAATAAAGATTGATATGGCGCTCCGTCGAAGACATCCTTACCGACGATTGCTTGTTGCACTACACTCGAGCGGCCATCGGCGCCAACAATCACGTCGGCTAGCAGTGTTTCCCCCGAGGTCAATGTCACGTGGGGGCCATCACCACTTACAGAGGCAACCTTTGTGCCTGCCCGTACCTCAGCGCCCGCTGCTATAGCAGCATCGTACAGGACTTTCCGGAGTCCTTCATGCTGTATGAACAGACGACATTAATGTGAAGCGAGGGCAGGAGATTGTACGTACATGTAGGAAGAGGAAGTCTCCTCCAGTTTCTCGCAGAACCTCTGCTTCCCACAAATGGGTACCAATATACTCGCCAGTTTCATCTGTAGATGTAGTCAGTTATAGAGTAAAGGTGAGGTGCCGATGTACACGAACAAATCTCAACTTCCATAGCACTTGATGTTACGGATACTTGTCGAAGAGCACGCTCGAGGCCCCAATGAAAGAGAACTTTCGAGACATTTGGAGGCAACCGAATGCCTCCATGCGACATCTGTCCAGTGGCGCATTGAGAAAGGGACAACGTAGATGGTTGCGAGATACCGACCTTCGAAACGTCTGCATCGGAGTATTGTTCGAGAACAACTACACGATGACCGACTCGTCTCAGTGCTATCCGCACATGCAAGACCTGCAATTCCACCACCAACGACAATAAATTTTATGGTCAGTTCTGCCTGGGGAGGTTGAGTCAATAGGTTTGCCTGACGTGAGATGTGATATAACACACTTTTCCAGACATTTAAGCCAGCAAAAGTAGTAAAGTCGACGAAAAAGTGTAAGGGCTGTTCGGGAACCCGTCATGGGCAATGCATGCGCATAAATATATGGTTTGAACCTGTTCACCAGTGCCAAAAAAAGAAAAGCAGAGCAGAGATCCTATTTTGCAACCGCCCTCAGCACGTGCACGTGAACGGCGACTTGCACGGAACGAAAAATTCAATTCAGTACACCCTCCGCAAACTCTCGTGGGTCCTTTTGGTAATTTTGATCCCAACTCGAATGCTCGGCGTGAGATGCCGGCATTGGGAGCTGATTCCTTCGGGGGTCCTCATGTAAGAGTTTGTTACAATTGTGCACTTGGAGTGGTTATATAGTACTAATGAAGGACTCACTCATCTTTCAAACCATAAGCAATGGCATTAACCTGGGCGGGTGCTCGAGTCGAACGCAACTTGAACGTATCAAATACTGATTACATGATGTGTGATTACATAATTAACAAGTGGTTAGTCCTTTCAATTGAATTCGTTAATTCGTTTACCTTCTAATAACCAGGAAAATAGGACTAGTCTTGGATCTACAAGTGATGCATCGAAACACAGTTCGTTTCAAGCCCCCAAATTATCGAAGCTTGAAGGCTTCTGTACAGAGACCGCGTCAAAGGACGACAACTTCTTGGTATACTTACCCAACGGATCCGACGGTTTATCCGTTGCGATGATCGTATTGCTTCTGCATTACCAACCATCAAATTTCTAATCTGTTAGCCACCGACTGCGCGTATACAGGTCAAATTTCGAGATCGCTCCAAGTCTGCCGCCGGGCTCTAAATCCGCGGATAGAGATATCGACGTCGATTTCGACTTGCAATATATACTATGAAAAGTTATGAATCCTATATTGATCGCATCTACCCCCAGGTGTGTTGCGTACAGATAAGCCGGCGGCTCAAGTATTAATGACGACAATATAATGTCAGGCTATACAGGCCGCGAACTTGGACAAATTAAACGAAGGGACACACTGACCGCAGTTGGATCGTAGGTCCATATTGCCCTCAGAATTACTGTCAACTCAACCTCCTACTAGTAGCGCATGACTCGTTCTACCCTGATTGTACACTGACATTGTCCAGCCGATCGCACCGCATCATGCTCCATTTGGATAGGCTACCTGGATGGATTGCTTCTGGCCAGGAATTCGAAGGTTCTTGGCTTTACGTTCATGTGAGGCGGGAGCCCACAGCACGGAAGTAAGCCCCTTCACCTCCCTTCACTGATGAGCTTTCCCCGAGTCGCAGCATGTTCTTCAGGTTGTATGTAGGTCATCCCAATCGAGCGCTCAAAATCCGGTTCTGGTCGACAACGCCAGTTACTGAGTCACATAGCTGGCTAATAGTTTCTTCGTGTTTGCGCGTGGAAGCGCTTCTATCCGCATCAGGTGTCGTGGAGAGAAAGGTAATTATATTAATCTGACAGTGATCTAGTACTCAAATTTCACTGCCGTTAAACTTCATCTTAGACTGCTAGTACGGAATAGTGGTCACATAATATAAGCCGCGGCGACCGCACACGAACTGTCACCACATGAGACCATCAAATAACACCCGGCGTCCGCTGGCAGACTAGATATCAAATGCAAAATTCTCAAGAGGCGACCTGTCAGTGCCAAAGGTCAGACCGTGTAAGTATCAGAGTATTTCCTGGACCAATTTCCACGTACTAGTTGCTGATTTATCAATCAGACTACTTCAACGCCGTGACGCAAATACGACGTTCGCTTTTCGCATCTGGGTGTTCAGGGCGTAGCGACACTAGCACTTCTGGGCATTTGCATTTGCTCGAATAGGCGGCCCTTGGCGGTCAAGACCTGTCACTGCGTTTCCTCGTTACCAAGCATTCGCCTTGACTCCCACACTCTGCATTTCTATCTGCTCACGTCAAGGGGTTTAAGCTGATGTATCTACAATAAAGTGAGAGAATACCAAGGACTCATCTGTGTGTCCCACCTTCGCATCTACCTTTGATATACTCACCACCCCTCCCAATTTGGATTCCAGATGAGATACCTGAAGCCGGACGCATGATTGCCTGATAGGTTGATCTATCACGCACAGTGAATATTCGGATGGGCTGGCAGATTCTGATTTGAGGGCAAAATGTAGCAAACCCAAGCATGCTGAATACCCAACATCGCCATGCCACTGATCCCTATTGTCTTACCAGGTTGGATTCCGCTGCCAGTTGCTTGTTCCATAATCAGGGTGAGGTCATTGATCGGGGCGGTGTTTCCTTCCAAGCTGGGTTTGCAAGATTTTGCACACGTTTGCTTGCGGCCACAAGGTCATGTTACTTCAGAATTCATTTAACAAGGAGTAATTACGACATTCATCCGATGAGGCCTGATGAGGCTATAGTCGCGGCGCTGTGTGTTGTGAGTAACTCTGACGAGCGGTAATTGAATGGAGTTCGGGGTACAAGCATCCATCATAATTCCTGCAAATGTGTGAGTGATAAGTAGGACGTGCTTCTTGTTGTATCGAGCTCAACTCTCCAATTACCTTCTTCAGAACTTCCCCACACATCGTGATATCCCATTCTGCACCTTGGGGCACTCGTGTCGCTTCCATTTTCTATGATCGGAAATACCCGTCCGGCGTCCCTCCTGTATCAACATAGTGTCATGGATTTGATACAGCACGCCCAATGAGAAAGAGGGAAAATCTGCCAAATGTAAGCTTAGTCCTGTTTGGTTTGAGGGTGTGAGCTTTACGTTGATGATAATTCGATTATATGATTGACGGGTGCGGTACATGGTAACCCTGCAATCTCCTGCAATATATAGATTCTATCATTCTCTAGGGCGCCTCGCTCGTCATGCTGCATGCACAGAGACTTCTACTTTTTGTAGATTGGAGCGTTTATTTTGTTAATGGATGTCCGATCCTCCCTGGTTGGTTGTCAAGGGTTTTCCAAGACGCGTCGTGACACCCGCCCTAGTAGATGGGCCGTATCCAATGCTAGAGCCAGGGGCAAGTAATTTCTGTGAGTTTCTAGCAACGTGTTTGCAAGCCTATCAATTGGTCTTGGACAGGAGGCAAAAACATTGCCAGAGTCCGTACAATATTTTGAAATCTTTCCAACGAAGGCACATTAATGGAATCGTCATAATCATCTCCCTTGATGGTAAGATGATTACCAGGCACACACGATCAGCTCGCCCATGTAGATGTAATTCAAACAGATTGAGTTGCATGTTGCACAGCAAATTTTTTTTTAACAAGTTTTTAAACGATTTCCCAAATATTGGCCAGTCAACCGAAGATGTCGGTCGGTCTGGACGCTATGGGCGGCCCCGGGCTGCAACTAATAGTTTACCCTCTTACTTAGATCCTTGTTCCCTGTACATGATAGGTTCTGTATTATCAATAAGATCATCGTACGAGACGGTCAAATAAAAGGCGTTCCACCTCCGTTCAAAACTTCGAATATGTAAGTTGGTCATATCTCGCTTAAGCTTGAAGCTCGATCGCCCCAGCATTGCACTTTGTTCATAACTTCCATTCATTGTACAATAATGTCGTCTTTAAACGATAAACTCGCCGCTGCCCTTTCATCCCGAGAAAAGCGGCACATTCGCCGACGTCTCCCTGTCTCAGCCTCTCCAGTGCTCCCTTCTGCGGATTTTACATCCAACGACTATCTCTCTCTGGCTACATCATCGACCCTTCGCACAGCGTTCCAACATGCTCTTTCCACTGCACCTCAAATACTCGGATCAGGTGGTTCTCGGTTGCTTGTACCAACGCCTGCTCATCTCGCCCTCGAAAGTCGACTGGAAAGATTCTTCGGCGCTGAGGAAGGCGTTGTTATTCAACTCAGGTTTCGACGCAAACGTTGCATTCTTTTCCGCCATTCCTCAGCCTGGCGACGTAATTCTATACGATGAACATATCCACGCATCTGTACATGATGGGATGGGTGCTTCGCGGGTAGATTCCTCCAGCCTCATTAAATTTCCACACAATTCGGTCGTTGCGCTCAAGCGGTCGCTGCGAAAATTACTCCACGAACGAGATGATCTACGGGATGGGAGAGCAAGCGCATTCGTTGCTGTGGAAAGTCTATATAGCATGGATGGGACATTCGCTCCCTTACGCGAAATCGTGCAATGTGTCGAAGAGTTGCTGCCAAAGAGGAATGGATATGTGATAGTGGACGAGGCGCATGCAACAGGAATATATGGCCCGCAGGGTCGAGGGATGGTTGCTGCGCTAGGACTTGAGGGACGCGTCTTGGCACGCTTGCATACATTCGGGAAGGCGCTTGCGGGATCAGGAGGTGCGAGTTTTTGTCACTTAAATTGATGAACGATATCCTGAGCATCGATGTAGCTGCGATACTAACCACAGAGCTCATACGGGATTACCTCTTGAATTATGCCCGTCCACTGATATACACCACGACGCTCACGTATGCAAATATCATCGCCGTTGAGTGTGCCTTTGATATGCTGGAGGATGGGAGTGCTGAAGTGGTAAGCTCTGTGTCCCAAATGTCCGTAAAACTGTTAATAACATAGACTCAGCTCGCGCTCCATCTCCTAGATCTATCAAGGTACTTCTTGGAGCTTCTAAGACCTCACCTACAGTCAGCTCCCCCCGAATTGCTCTGCTTGCCCGGCCATCTACGTGCGGATGATCATAAGGATCCCACAAATACTCCCTCCGACGCATCCTTCCCTCCCCCGACACCTATCATCCCTCTCCTCACACCTCATCCACATTCCCTTGCTGCACATCTTGCCTCCCTTTCCCAACCATTGTTTACGAAAGCAATCACATGGCCCACAGTTCCTGTGGGAACATCCCGAGTAAGAGTATGTTTGCACGCAGGGCACACTCGTGACGATGTAAAAAAAACTGGTAGATGGTATTGCCGACTGGTTACAGGCATGGCTCGCAAGAGAAAGAGAAGTAGCAAGACAGTGGCTGGATGTGGCCGAAGGGGAGGGTGTAGGAGCGTGGATGGAATCAAAGTTATAAGATATTGATTTTAGAGGTATAATTTAATTTTGGTCACCTAGAAATGTAGCTTTACACACCACATCAAAATTCCTGTTCTCCTGTCTCGCTCCACTTGTTGCTCCTGCGTTGTTCCTACGCGATTCCTACGCGTGCTTTGCCGCGCGAATGACCGCAAGTATATCATGCTAACTCCTGACGCTAACCCGGTTTCGTGCAGCAAAGGGAGGACGTGGGGAGCAATCTTAGAATGCAGGTTCAAAGCGTACCACCAAAATTGATGAGAACTGAAGAATGCCTTCAGACTGATTCAGTCCTGCAAAGCCTCGATCTCACGAGTACTTCGCGTGAGATAGTCATCATACGAGTCATGATGGAGTGCTGCATATCAAGATAAAAATACAGAAATTGAGCAAGCCGTCCACATCTGCATCCACCATGCTTACCAGCATTTTTGAGTTTAGTGCGAAACCGCGCAATAACTTCTCGGTTGTGTGCTATTGCCGAGAGTTGCGCATGTTTGATGGTACCTACATGGTGTTTAAAGGACGGTAGAGACCCACAAAAATACAAGCCTACCTGAGACATGAATAACGCGGGGGATGATCCTGACATCGTGGACGCTAGTGAGAAGTGTGACTGCACCCCATGCAATTCGATGTTGATCTCGTGCGACACGAATAATACAGAGGTTCGTGATTGGTGAAAAATACTTGACTGCAGCCATTTAAGATGGAAAGCTGGAGTATGATGAAAGATGTACGCACCAGTCAACGACATCCCCACTGCTCCCCATCCAGTGTCGCCAAAGTTTGTCACGACACTGTCACGGAGGGCGTTGTAAATCAACCTCCCGTCGAGAGATCGCGTACTTAGAGGCTCATTTCCAGCGGACACATCCGCCGTATACATGTCAACAAATTCGACAAGGAGCCAGCGATTCTTGTTTGATCACATGGGTGAGCTCGTTACAACCTGTTGAAAACGAGTTTTACCTTGAACCGAACCATGTCTTGCACTGAAGTGCAAACAATCCACAGTCAATATTTAATGAAGGCAGGCCTTGAAGGGAATGGAGAGTGACAAACTCGAAGTTCTCGAGTGTTAGATCATATCACAGTTTGAGTGTGCTCCAGCCTCCGAGGCCAACTCGACTCCGAGACCATAATAGAGCACACGTGACACAACACGTGCGACGCGAACCGTAGCAGTTCGCGTGTTCGCGACCTCCCAACACATGTAATATGTACTTAGTATGTACTTACAATTGAAGGAGGGTATCATACAAATATTGATCTGGTGAGCATAACTTAGACACCGTGATAGTTGATTATGCGATGCACAGATTAAATACTCAATGACGGACATTCAGTATCAAAATATTTCTACGCTCACTCCCAATCATTACGCGGGTAGATATTAACCCACCACTGCGGCGGTCTACCCAGGATATTCGCCAAATAATCTACCTGCTCCTGCCAAGGGATGATTGGGATTTCGTCCTCATCATCAGAGCACACAGATAAGACAACCACCTCTCCATCGACGTCCAAGTACTCAGTAGGCGCGCCATTTGTCTCGGGCTGAAAACAATTTTCGATTGTCAGAGGGTCGATGTCGACGGATCCACAGATGTGTGCGAAGCCCCTCTTCCAGAAATCTTTTTGAGTGGGAGGATCGTAAGGATCCTCAGGAAGGCGGATGTTCTTTCCGAGTTCAGCGAGCCACTCGTCGCTAAGCCAAAAACCGTAGTTTTGTTTGTAACGTTGTCTGGGCGGGTAGGAAAGCTTGAGCTTGTGTGGGCGAGCCGTAAATCTGAAGGGCGCAAGGGGAGGTAGGGTTGACTTCGTTTCAACAACCTGATGTGGTGTTGGCGAGGAATTGTGAGCAAGAAGCAGACTCACCCTTAGATTTTGCATCGATTGACGTAGAAGTTCGGATGCAGACATTGCGATACTTTGCGGTTGGTCGAACAAACAAGAAAATTGAATGTTGTTGTCAGACTCGGAGCCAAAACGAAGGCTCTAAAGAGAATGTACAATACCCACAAAACCGTCACACGCGCGTCTTTAAGTGGGACTACAGATTAGTCATGGTTGTGCCGTGGATCGCATACAAGAACAATGGTCCCTGTTCTGGTCCTAATTGTAGATTGCAGCGTCGGTGCCTCAAATCAAGTGAATGGCGAAACATAACAATGTCGTTTTTCTTCCGCTGGAAGGCTTCCATGCGGGAAAAGCGGGAAAGGTGAGAGGTCGAGTCGTCGATTACTACTTCGCACAGGAGACGGATCACGAAAAAGCGCGCCTTCGCGGAAAACGCATTGCATAGCGAGTATAGATTATTAAATCAAAGTAGTGAAAAAGTAAATATCCTGCTCACTAGTCCTGCTCAGAGTCATAGTCCTCAACTTGAGCCGTAGCTCTAATATCAATAACCAATCTGACCGTACCACTCCAAACACCCTTCGACTCTTCACCACTTCATGATTCCGTGAGTGCATCAAGAATGATAGCCATTGGGTCTTGTGGACGTCTTGGCATTTTACAACTGCGACGTTGACTACTTGGGCTGACTGTGATGGACAAAGTTTTGATGCTGGTATAGGCAAGTGGTTCTAGGGCTGGTAAAGGTGGTTTGTTCTCCTGATGGGACTAAGGGCGCGAGAAACTGTGCGACGTCGGAAGGAAATCAGTCAGTCGGTAATAACCATCAAAAAAGGGGGCCTCAAGTATGTAAGCCACTGAGGCTCAGTCACGAGGCTGTTGAATCAAGCCAAACCCGTGGCGCTGAAAGGGTGTTTGAGCTCTGTGAGAGAATCTGGTCATCGTCAATATGGCTGATCACATCAGTAATAGAATAGAGCCAGCTGAAGTGCACTGGCAGAGTGCTATGAACGGTCCGGGCTCTGCGCCGTGTGGGAACATTAACTTATCCCTCTCTTGGGATTGGATGAGATGTTGCGCATTCCGAAGTCTTCGCATAGACAAACACTGTGAGCACAAAACGCCTCGTGTCAAACAGCTAATGGCTACACTCACCTGTTGCGATTCGAGATGCATCAGACGTTCTTGCACGAGGGCAGTTGAGCTTGTGCATTGATGAGAGTATAGTGTGCAGCATTGAGTCATACGCAATATTGACACTAGCACAAGAGTACAGGTTGACTGTTAGTTTACAGCCGTAGGCGGATCGAGTATAAAGAAGATGGTTGTTCCTTCTACACGATGATACTGTACCGTTAGTATTGAAGATCGTGAGTTCAAAAACGACACCCGCATGAGGGCTACCTCCCACGCAACCAACGGTTGATGTGCCCTTTTTGACGTTGTGGATGTCGACTGCGGATGTCGATGACAGGAGTCGGGGAGGCTCAAACAAAGACGATGGCGTTTGCTCACAGTCGAATTCATGTCCTTTAACTCTACAGGACCTTTAGTTCCACATGCATCAAATCATATATCTCACTGTCGTACCTGAAATCCTTGTTAAACAACCTCAATTTGACGCATGTCGACCTCCAAGTTTTGTTTTGTGATAACTAAAACCAAACCTGAGGTCCAGAAACTCAGAATACTCATGTTACTGACCACCAGGACACAAAGGAGGACAACACGAAGACTGATGAACAAGAGTCAAGTCACTATGAAGATGAAAAAGGCGATCAAAAGACTGACGAAGAAGGCGATACAACTCACTACGAAGATCGATACGAAGACTGATGAAGAAGAATCAACCCACTATGAAGATGAAAACGAGGACAACCCAGGCTGACGAAGGCAATCCAACCCGCTTTGAAGACGAAAAAGACGATGACCCAAAGACTAATGATGATCAGGGCGATGCAAGTCACTATGAGGACGAAAAGGACGACGACAGCAAGACTGACGAACACGAGGCCATTACCAATGACCATCATGAAGATACAAAGGAGAACAAAGATGAGGGCTATACAAGCTACGATGATGAAGACGAAACCTCGGTGTTTGGAGACGCCGAAAATGAATTTGAAGTCGAGTATGATGCAGGGGGTGATGCAGAGGGGCGGTGGTGGTCATCCCCGTTTGTTCAGACGATCCCGTCAGCTTCCAAGCACGACCTACACAAGCGCAGATAGACGTGATGACGATATTGATTTGCCAACCACCTCAGTGGTGGGTGAACTATAGGGATATTTAAATGTATTTTGGTTGTGGGTCAATATGCAATTAACCGTAGTTACTTACAACTATCACGATACATCCTTCGTACGTATCTATTTTACATACACATTCACCTTATCATACACGCTTCATACACGCTTCATACACGTTCTTTTGGTTTTCCGTTTCAACGATCCCTTCATATTCAGCATGCAGAATATCTCTTTCCCTTAGTCTTCTTAACTAAGACTGAGTCTCCCTTCCGCGTCTCTAGTCCGAGCCTCTCGTTTCGTCAGAGGTTATGAGCCCTGGCTCAGACTAGGACTTTCACTCGTTTTCGCTTCCACTCGTTCAACGTCTGAGCCTTCCGATTTTTTCCGAACTGGAACAAGGCCGACCTTTGTCACCGCTTGATCCGCGGATTCTATCTATCCCTCTACCTCCGTCACCACCGTTGACACCCACTCGCCCCTCATCTCATTCCATATTCAAATCGCCTATTCCCCCTGCTCCTTTGTCACCATCGCCGACACACTCTTCATTACCACTCAAGATGTCCAACATCTGGATCCCTTCTTCGTTTCCTCATTCCCCGCTGGATGCAAATGGATCCAATTATTCATTGTGGGTTACCTCTATGGACCTCTGGCTATCTTTATTCAATCTCTGGTGCCTTCTCATTGGTGACGAGAAAGAGCCAGCAGCCCCCGACCTTACTCGCTACTGAATCTGATGCTGCATTTGCGCAACGAGTTGCCACTCATAATGCGAGCTGCAGACTGTTGTATCCTTCCATGAACGACAGAGCATTACGAAGGGTTTCCTCGGCATGGCTGTGCACTCCAGTGATTTAATCCACTTTACGGGCATTTCAGACCCTGCCCTTGTCTGGAAGGCACTCGAAAACAAGTATCTAGGCCACCATTGGTATTCGTTTTACCCGCCTCATGGGTCGCGTTTTCGACCTCCCGAAGGCTTCAGACAGTGATTCACTTGTGCAATCAATCAAGGAGATTACAGATATCAAGGCTCAGTTCAAAGCTATCGAGTCGATAGAGTGGAAGTGCAACGAGTACACTCTAGTACAGGCATTGCTCCGTGCATTACCAGACTTCTATGCCCCGCTCTCGCAGCTTATCCTCCATAGTGCTGACGCAAATGCAGGAAAATTGACGCTCGAAGGTGTCATTAGTCAAATCCGAAACTCTGAACAGTACTACGCGAGTTTCGGATCAGACAATCCACATGCGCATCACACTGCGATGGCCGCCAGGACTTTCAAGTCAAGCAAACCCGTTGAACGCCCGAAGCCAAAGGAACTTGATACGTCAAAGGGAGATAAGTGGGAGCTTTCATGGTGTTCGACATGTGGATCTTGCAAGCGTACAGGCCACATCTGGCACAACTGCCGTGCTCGCCTAGCAAAATCGGACTCGCCCAATACGTCAGCAGTCTATTCCTTCGTCACCCTCACAGGGCACTAACATGTCGACTCTCACATCAGAACAACCTGACAACATCCCGTCTTTCCTTCGTCTTCCCGCGCACTCTGCCAGCCTTTCTAATACGAATGTTATCTCCTTTCAATTCCATGTAGACTCTGCCGCCACTGCACATATGGAATCCAACCACTCCCTCTTCACTCGTTACAGACCTTATAACCCTCCCTTAATCGTGAAACTTGCAAATGACGATACTGTTCTTGCCCCAGGTTGGGGATTCATCACACTAGCACTTGACAATGATGGAAGACATGAATCCATTGAACTCCCTTTCCTTCACGTACCTGACTTACGGTGTACACTGATATCCGTATCTGCTCTAGCGTCACAGAGCATTTTCTTCGAAACGGATGCTGAAGGAGGACGAATGCACCATGCTGACGGAACTGTGATCGCACGTGTGGATTGCTCCGCTGGTCTATACTATCTTCGGGCCACGCATACTCATACAGCTTTCGCCGTCAGGTCTACTCTGACTACGCCTTTACCACTGACTGTATGGCATGCGCGCATGGACCATGCCGCAAATTCCACCTTGCACAATGCTGAAAAGGTTGTCAAGGGACTATCTCTTGATCTTTTAGAGAAGTCTGCAGGTCATGGTGACCATATCGACTGTCCGTCATGCCTAATGGGCAAGCAGAAATGATTGCCATTCCCATCCCATGCTCGGCACCGCGCGACACACATTGCGGAGCTTATTCACACTGATGTCTGGGGACCCGTCAATATTGCAACGCTATCTGGCGAAGCATTTTTCGTTGCTTTTACAGATGATTTTTCACGTTTTTCGACTGTTTACCTCATGAAGCACAAGAGTGAGGTATACTCTCATCTTCAGCGCTATATCGCCTGGATTGAGAACCAGTCAGGACAGCGAGTCAAACGCCTTTGTAGCGACAATGGCGGTGAATACATCTCTAATGCAATCATCGAGTTTCTGCGCAGCAAGGGAATTGAACATCAACTCACGATGCCGTATACAGCTGAACAGAATGGTGTTGCAGAGCGCGGGCACCAGACAATCGCCACTCGAGCATTAAGTGCTCACCACCAAAGCGGCTTTCCTCGTTCATTCTGGGGTCACGCTATCCTCAACTCAGCTTACATCAAAAATTTCCTTCCGTCATCAGCCATTGACAACAGGACACCGTTTGAACTCTTTTATGGCGAATTGCCAGACGTCTCGCACTTACGTCCATTTGGCTGCCTTGCCTATGCTCACATCCCAGACGACAATCGCCACAAATACGAGTTTGTCTCAAGACGGTGTTTCTTATTGGGACATGTCAAGGATGCCGGATACCTCTTATGGGATCCAGCAACACGACAAACAGTGCGCTCTCGGAATGTCCATTTTGATGAAAGTATCTTCTACGGCACACCCAATTCGGTTGTTTCACCACTTGTTGAATTGTACAATCAGTGCACCCTAATGCAACAGTCTACCTCCGCATTGCCACGCCCTTTGCCAACATCAGAAGACACCCCCGAAATTACACTCACAGGACCCAGTACCATTCCAGTGGGAGTACTTCCAGATTCTGCTCCTCTCATCCCCGAACCTTCACAACCATTTCCGCAGTCAAACAACAACATTCTCCCCGTTACCACTACTGAGGATCCAGTAGAAACGGTACCGTCTCCTGAGCCGCGACAGTTCAACACGCCAACAGCATTGACACACGACCGGCAGTTCTGAGATCTGTTGCCATCCCAACCAAAAGTGTTCCAGTACAGCGGCGTTGGACCTATGTCCCAGTTACTGTTGAAGAGGAAATTGATGAAGAACAAAGTAGTGGTACTACCCTAACTCCCAATGTCATTGAACACTCTGCAAGACAGGCATCCTCTATGGACAGCAACAAGATTGATGGACGGAAGCTCCCTCCAAAGACAATAGCTGCAGCTCGCTCGTCCACAGATTTTGGCCATTGGAAAAGTGCGATGACTGAAGAATTAGCCTCGTTGGAAGAGAAAGGTGTGGGTGTTTTAACACCACTCCCACCAGGCAGGAAAGCAGTTGGCTCACGATGGATATACTCGCATAAGTATGACGAAAATGGTCAAATTGCCCGTCATAAGGCCCGTCTCGTTGCACAAGGTTTCTCACAGATCGAGGGTCTAGACTACACCGACACTTTTGCTCCCGTTGCAAATACGACACCGTACGTGCGTTACTCTCCATGGTCGCAAAGTTTGACCTTGAACTTGACCAAATGGACGTGAAAACCGCTTTTCTCAATGGACAACTCGATGAAGAAATCTACATGCGTCAGCCTCCAGGTTTTGAAGACCCTGAGCACCCGGATTGGGTCTGGAAACTTCTCAAGGCCATCTACGGACTCAAGCAAGCTGGTCGTCAATGGAACAAGACCCTTGACGATTTCTTGTGAAAAGAAGGCTTCAATTTTGTTCGTAGTGAAGCAGACTATAGTCTGTACGTCTTGCGCAAGGATGACAAGACCATTTGGCTCCTTGTTTATGTCGACGACATGCTCCTTGCATCAAATTGTCGGGGTTTTCTTGATGGTTTCAAGTTGGAGATGAGCAAACAGTTTTGAAATGAAGGACCTTGGTGAAGCACGGCATTTCTTAGGAATGCATATTACCCATGATCGCTCCAAGAAGTTCCTCACCATCAACCAATCCTCCTTTCTCGAACAAATCCTCAGCGAAGCTCAGATGTTGGATTGCCGACCAGTGTCTACCCCCATGGTCCCAAACATCTCTTTGACGAAGGCATCTGCACCTCTCACTCAATCCGAAGTGCAACAATTTGCGCACATGCCATATGCGCATGTCGTTGGGGAACTTAACTTTGCCATGCGCGTCAGCCGTCCAGATATTGCATACGCAGTATCGACACTGTCAAAATTCTTGAGTAACTGTCACAACCCTTATAACAACTTAACGCAGGGGCAGAGACTAGGACTCAAACAAAAGGTATCACAACAAAAGAAGATATGAGCAGGGACGTCTTAGGATTGCTAGCAGTGAGCTAATACAAAAGAGGTTTGAACTGGAGAACTACTGACTATAATGAGCTACCTATATACATATATTGAAACAGAGACTGAATCTGAGTCTGAACTAACTAGCCAATCATTAAATAGAAAAGGAAATCGTACGATGATCTAAATATAACTACACTATGATGTCATGAAACGTGTAACAGCTGTGCAAGGGTTCTCGAAGGTTCTAGAGTCACGTGACTTAATCGCTTGTGAAAGGAAGTCGAAATTAGGGATGTCGGAGATAACGGTAGTGGGCGCTAATGGAATAGAGAAGTTCGGGAATGTAAAGGATAGGTTCGGGTTAGGGTTTGTGAATGTTATGGGCACAGACGCTGACTGAGCGCTATCGACAGGCGCTTGTGACGGGCGCTTAACGGGTGTCTTACGAGTGTTCAGGAAAGAATAATGATTTGTATTTGGAATTCGTGACAGTAACCCTGGCATAGAGCATTATCACCAACTCCACCATCTTCTTCGCTATATTCGTGGGACAACTCATCATTCTCTGTCCTTTGGTCTATCTGACCAAGGACTCATTGGCTATTCAGATTCTGATTTCGCATCCGACAAAGATGATAGCCGGTCAATTGGTGGCTATGTCTATTATCTTTTCGGTACCCCCATCAGTTGGCGCTCCCAGAAACAGTCAGTTGTAGCCACGTCCTCGACTGAAGCGGAATACATTGCTCTCTTGAATGCCGCACGGGAACAAATCCACCTCACCCAGTTACTACATGACTTCGGACTTGATTCATCACTCATCCTGCCCACTGTTCTATATGGAGACAATAACGGGAGTCGTGCGCTGACGAAAAACCCCCAGTTCCATGATCGCGCGAAACACATTCGCGTTCGATATCACTTCATTCGCGACCTCGTCAATGATGGCACCATCAAAATCCCATACATATCCACACATGATATGGTTGCCGATATCTTCACGAAATCCCTGCCACGAAAACTCTTCCGCAATCATCGCTATTCTCTTGCTCTTCGCTCCTTGTCAAACGAGACCCTGGCTGAATAGTTCTGGCACACGCGTATCTGGTGATATGCGTTTGAGTGGGAGTATCACGATACATCCTTCGTACGTATCTATTTTACATACACATTCACCTTATCATACACGCTTCATACACGCTTCATACACATTCTTTTGGTTCTCCATTTCAACGATCCCTTCATATTCAGCATGCAGAATATCTCTTTCCCCTTAGTCTTCTTAACTAAGACTGAGTCTCCCTTCCGCGTCTCTAGTCCGAGCCTCTCGTTTCGTCAGAACAACCTGCCATTTCTGAGTTGCCTTTAAGTTTCGTCGCCCTACTTCGTTACAAAAGTACCTTCGCATTGTACAATCACCCATGAAACAAAGGATACTCCTCCCCCCCTGGAAATCGTGCGGAAGGCTACTTGGTACTTGGACTTGTGTGTCTGCTTCAATCGAAAGTGTAACGACGATTCAAGGTCGTTTGACTCGTCCATGTTCCTAGAACTGGATTGGGACGATTGATCTTGATATGAGCACTGTGTGGATTGTAGGTCTTGACGTGTACAGCGTTGGACGCAGGATCAATATGCACGGACGACGTATGAAGGGTGTCGTTTCGGTGGAGTGTGGACATCGAGTTGGCTTCAAACAAGGTCGTAAAACGAGACAAATTCTCTGAAGATATCCAATAAAAGAGACAGTATGCAGCTTAGTATCTCAATCAACCTTCCAGCACCAAGTTCGATGATGTGCTGTAGCTAGGTAGAGGATTTGACTGTGCTGTACTATATCATTTGGCAGGTCTATGGTGGGGTTGATCAACTTGATGCATTAGGGCATGGCTTGAATACTGGCTAGATAACTCACCAATGCGCAGCGAATAATTTCACTAAAGCTCAGAGGGCGAGCCTGGGGCGAACCGCGGACATATTATCTGTTCGTGGCACAGCCACAGACCGGATGCATCGATGAGGCCCAGGTTGGTTTTCCATACGACCATCATGAACTTGCAGGACAGTAAGACAAATATATGTCCTGCTTGCCAACCGAGGTTCTGTGCCATTTTTATTTATTTACACACTCCCCGAAACCGCGTACACGTTGCCTGAATCAAATCTCCTCCTATTCTGCTCACCAGAGTATGCCGTCGATGGAGAGAGGTTTCCCTGGATACGCCCTCGTTGTGGTGTGAGTTATCTATAAGTTTCTTCCAGAGAAAATTGCAGCAGTCGTTATTCTATGTACTATGGCTCATGGCTCAAGCGCGCCCGAGGATATCCTCTTTCCCTAGAAATCGGTGGCATGTTTCACGACTCCACCTTCCTACGAACCCTTCTACAACCTTACCTCATCAAATATCCTCTCTCGATGTCACATTGGACCGTACTGTTGCACTCGACATATTGCTAAGCCACCGCTCGCCACTCCCAGGCTGGTACATTCCTAGTCAAGACTACAATCTATCATCTCCACTTTGCGCACTTTCGAGTTGGAAGGAATATTTTGTTCCGCTTCCGACCCCTTACCTCTCCTCAACCCCGTATGGGCCCACCTGTCAAATCTGACAATCGATAAATGCCAGCAACATGTTGTAATGCGCCTGCTCACACTTGCTCCCACCTAAAACCACTCGCCCACGCCACTATCCAATCGTTGTCCATCACAGCTAACTCAAGTAGCACATTGGACCCGGTGGCTCTCGTTCATAATGCACTCACTCTCCCTAATTTATGTCTGCTTAACGTTGGCACGAGATCCTGGGCTGATGAAGAGTTGGAGGGTGTCGGGAGTGGTACGGTCGGATGGGCTATTGGACTCGCATAATCAAGAAGGAAGGACTGTCTTCCTTCTATATGGTCTGACTAGGGGAGACTAATTGGACCCTTGAGGTTCTGTTCAGATCAACCACTATGAGCGGGATACTTTTGACTTTGAATAACCTATACTCGTTACGTACTGCGTTTACAGCGAAGGGATACTTTCTTCTCATCGATGATCCGTCCTGTGGGAAGGAAATTGTAATGGTCGACCTCCACATACAGAAGACGGAATCCATGAACCACCCTACACCACCTCTGTCTCTATTTCACTTGCCACAATTGAGAAGGGTCTAGAAAGGGCAGTTTCAGTGACTCGAATTTCATTGGCTCGTATCCGCCTATCCTCTTACTTTTGTGCGTTGCCACTTCTATTTTGTCTATCTTAACATGGCGGCTCACCTCGTGTTAGGGTTGCCTTATCTTGTTCTTTGGCAGATTAGCAGATCTTTATGGACGAAAAAAGGCGTTTATGCCTGGTACCCTTCGCCAGATTGCCTTTTCTCTCGGTTGTAGCTTTGTAAAAGGTTGGCGTGCCTTCCGGTCGTTCGCGTGTTCCGTCCATTCACAATGTAATCATTGATGTTCTTACTCTTGTCATCTTGCGTGGCCTCCAAGGTGTTGGAGGCGCCGCTACAATACCATCGGTAGTAAGTTCTCCTGAGATATTTTTGATGCAAAAGTACTCACTTAATTTCTCAGCTCGGTATCCTAGCGCATGCGTTCCCTCCGTCAAGGGCACGTTCAATGGCTGGAGTTTCCGGTATGTTTTCATTCGATATTGACTTCCCTTATCGGAACTCGTCAAACGTGACGAGTGGATCGGCGCTTCCCTCATCACAGTTGGGTTGGTTTTGATTGTATTCGTACTTGCTCAAGGAGAAATTGCTTCGGATGGCTGGAAAACCCCATGTAAGAATGTCACCAAACCATACTGATCATGTGCTAAAACCATCAACAGATATTATCGCGCTCCTTATCGTCGGGGTTATCAAGCTTGCGCCATTCCTGGTTCAGGAGGGGAAGCTGGAACGGATCATTGACAAAGATCTATCAAAAGCGGCACCTATGTGGACACCGCCACCACTTATGAGGCTCTTGCTCTAGGCTCGGGCAAAGGGACAGATGGCCGTTATCCTTGTCATCGCACTCTTAAATCGGAGTGCTTTCATTGGCTGAAGCTTCTGGGTTCAGGTGTGTTCATGTTCTGTTTTCCCCGGGAACGATGGCCATTCGTAACTAGCACATACTAGGAAAACATAAGTTTGGTTATTCAGTTGCGACCCATGACGAATACTGGATTCCTCTCTCTCGAACCTTCCACTGTCTAGTTTCTGGGATACGAGAGAAGTAATGTCTAAGGAGCTTACTCGTTCACCAGTCCGTCAAGATCTCAACCTTGAGAAGGCCAAGCATCATGATTCGGACGTACAGCGCAGTCTTTTGCGTTCTATCTTCATCATCATCACCTGCATCGCTGCAATGGTGGTCAATGTATGCCCTCATCGTAATCATATTCTGTGACATTCTTTATGACGGCTTGCCATTCGTTATCAATCGCAGACCGCTAATACCAGTTCTGTCTCTATCTCGCTCCCAGCTATTGAAAAGGACCTGAATATCACGGAAGTACAGTTGCAGTGGCTCGTATCTGCCTATTCGCTCAGTTCGGTACGTCATTCTTTCTCTTCGTCTTTCTGCGTCCCGACTTGATTCCCACTTAGGGCTGCCTTCTCTTGTTCTTTGGCAGATTGGCGGATGTCTGGTCGGAAAAAGGCGTTCATGATCGGTACTATCTGTCGAGTCGTATTTTCTCTCGGTAATAGCTTTGCACAGAGTGAGTGCCACCTATCTGTCGCTCAGTTCCATTTACACTGTCATCACAAGTGGTATTACCCTCATCATTTTGCGTGCCTTCCAAGGCCTAGGTACCGCCGCTACAATACCGTCTGCAGTGAGTATTTTGTATACATTGAACTGGAATTCTCATGCAGTTTGTCAGCTTGGTATCCTGGCGCATGCATTCCCTCCGTCTAGAATCCGTTCAATAGCTTTCGCAACATTTTTAGCGGGTGCTCCTGTCGGCGGCGCATTTGGAATGACCATCGGTGGTGTCCTCACACAAATATCATCGTACGTCATAAGTTGTTCATGTAAGACGTTGAATTTTTGATGTCCTCATAAAGGACGCACTGGCGCTCCCCATTCTATTTGGTTGCAGTAATGTCTGCTCTAACGGGTATTTCCGGTATGATTTCATTCGATGCAGATGTGACTTCGACGGAAGCTGTCGACTGGATCGGTGCTTCCCTCGTTACCATTGGTTTGGTCCTGATTGTATTTGTACTTGGTCAAGGAGAAGTTGCTTCTCAAGGCTGGAAAACTCCATGTAAGACTTCTTCTATGTCACGTATTGCTAAATTTCATAATCATTGCCAGATATTATTATCCTTCTAATCGTCGGGATTGTCATGGTTTTGCTGTTCCTGCTTTGGGAGCGATACTTGGAGCAAGCTATAGATGATCCATCAAGAGCACCGTCCGCATGGTCACCACCGCCATTGATGAGGCTCTCGCTTTGGACGCGAGAAAAGGGCCGGATGGCTGCTATTCTTGCCATTGCATTCCTGAATTGGTTTGGTTTCATGAGCTGGAGCTTCTGGGTTCAGGTACGTTCATGTTTCTCTGCCTGGAGGAACGAGGTCGCTGACTACGCTCCGTTCAAGTTGTACTATCAGAACTACCTTTTGCTTACACCTATGCAAACTATGCTCCGGTTCATTCCATTGTTCGTTGTCGGCTGTTTATGCAACGTTCGTTGGCAAATTGCCTTTGGTCATCTTTGCAGGTATGGCTATGTGCGAGGAATATCATAGCATGTAGCGCTGACTTGTCGTCCAGTCAGCGGAACGCTACTGACAGCATCTGCCGCCATCCTGTTTGCGCTGATTGACCCGACCGCAACGTATTGGGCGTTTGGCTTCCCGGCCACGGTTATTGTCGTATTCGGGGCTGATTTTGTGTACTCCTCTGGTACAATTTTCATCGCCAAGATCACGCTTCCACACGAGCGCAGCGTGTCTGGAGCACTGTTTCAAACTGTGACACAGGCAAGCGGCGTTAAACCAACTGATACTGCCTTGTTCCAAGATCAAATTTTGGGGATAGCTCGGCATTGCAGTCGGACTTGCTGTATCCACGCTTGTGTCCAACATCGTGGTTAAAAACGAGTCTGCTGACGTTGGCGTCACTGTCAACTCTGCTGGAACCAACGCGCCCCGTTCCGCACATCTTAAGGGTTATAGATCTGCGCAGTGGACTTGCGCTTCATTTGCGCTTATGGGTGAGTACTACTAATTCGGCCTGCGTTGAGAATGTCTTGCCAGTGCTGACAATTTTTATTGTCACGGTTAATAGCTGCGCTGCTGGCAGCACTTTCCCTTCACGGTGTTGGGATTGTTGGAGTCAAGAAAATTACCAAGCATGTTGACATTGATCAGACAATAGCCATGGGGTCCGAGTCCGAGGACGGCTAAATACACCCATTTTTAAAAATATCTAGCAGCGACACATGCTGCTATGGTCCCACCCCATCCACTCTTTGCTCAATCGTACCCTCATTCCCGAATCAACATGCAATTCAACATTGGAGTGTCACCACGATGCTCCATACTACCTATATTCCTCTCTAGCATTACATTTTTCTGTCCTTACCCATAGTATTGAATCCAAATCCTTTTCCCCCGACAATGTACTCCACATCAGGAAACCCATAGCCTAGCAAAAGTGACTGTAGCACAACGCTTCTTTCTAAACGACTGTAGCAACCCTATGATAGCGTCCTGTAGTATCGCTTAAGAATAAAGGCTTCGTTGGTTCCATCAGAGACGGTTCCAAGAATTGGGACCAGGCAAATTTACCCTGCAAATTTACCGTGAATGACAGTGTCAATTTCACACCCTCGAAAACATAGTGTCAATTTGGGTGAATTTGGGTCTACTGGACCCAGAACACCTGAAAAGCTTAAATATGATATACTGGACAATCCCGACAGCTCAGACGCTTGAAAGATTCGCACAGCTTATTGCAGCTCTAGTATCTACATAGTTGAAATAAGGTTAGTCGTGCTGGTGGCCTGAAAATCGTGGAGCGAGGGCCAGAGACAGGAGCTGTCTCGACGTGGAAATGGATTCTACGAAGCACAAGCCGTCGATGTCAATAATCATCAACCCGAGAAAAGAAAAAAGGTTCAGAAACTTGATACACATATCCTGTCAACCTTCGATGATGACTGGTACCTTGATGCTGATGAAGACGAAAATGCTCAGAAGGGTGGTGCTAAGATGCACCCATTGCTTCGCAAGATTTCGAAGCCTTGTCGTCTGGCAAGCGATCCTACTGCTACCAAAATTGTGCGGTGCATTGCTAGCCATGGGTGTAATGTGACATGGGCATGGCCAAGAGCTCGACAACGTATAATGAAGCACGCTGTCCATGAGGGTCCAAGCATGGCGAAAGAGTGGCGGAAAGAAGCAAGAGAGTATATGGCGTTCCAGGCAACAGGAGCGAAAGAAAAAGTCGCAGAAGCAGCATTGGACTCGGATTCTAACGAACATGTTCTTGCATCGGAGGTAACAGAACGGCCAATGAAGAAAGCGAGAATGGAGTTGTCTCGATATTCTCTCAGACCAGCCTGTGCAGTTTGAGCCAACCGCTCCCGTGAGTCACGGACCTCCATCCAAGCTGACGACACCAATGGATGACGAGTGGGAGATATGGATAATGGGAGTCATGCAGAGTAGATCACAGTCAATTAGGTGAAATTCACCTGCAAATTATTGGCGTCAAAAAGCTGGAGCTTTCGGGGGCTCTGCCCCCGAACCCCCATCAGTAAATTTGCGTGAATTTCGTGTCATTTGACATTCACACCTGTAAATTTGGCCTCTGCGAGGGTCATGCTAATTTGCCCGTCAACCAGACGCTACACCCTTCCCGGAAACCTACATCAGACCATGGCTATCCAGCCTAGATCAGGCTAGCGACGTTGAGATACCCACTACGCCCATCCAAGCAAGACATCGATAATCCTATACCTATCAGGAATGACGGACGCTACTCATGCTATCACGGACTCGTATATGCCCCCTTTGTATTCATCCGATCGCACCTCACGCGTTCCAGAATCCGCAGGAACCCACAAATCCAAATCCAACATTTACCGTAAAGAAGTTCTAGCATGCAGTCAGCCAGCGAGGCTTGGTATGACTCAACATTAGTCTCGGATACCCTCCAGTTCTGTCAGGTTCTGCCACCCTCCTTTCGTGTGAATTCTGTCGTGGACCGAGGATCTGTCTGAGGATGGGAGAGCAGTGTATGATGACGACCAGCTTTTATATCCTGCATGTAGTACTTTTGGGCACGATTCTAATCGGTTTGGCAAGACTCTTATCCTAGGAGATGGGCGACTACAGCGGGTGCTAAGAACGTGGTCCGCCTCGCGACGCTCTGCTGGACGCTCTGGCTTGGGCTTTGCTTATTCAAGGCCAGTCGCTATACTGAGAATTTTTGGGCTCGGTTCAGGTTCGGACCGGAAAAAAAACCGAACCGTCCCACAGAGAACGCCGGTTCTGGGTTCAGTGATTTCATAGAACCGAACCATCGGTTCGGTTCTTGGTTCGTCCAGGGCTCTGAACCGGACCGCGACAGCACTACCTGAAGCTGAGGAAGCTGGGGGCTGATGCACTGACTCCTGGTCACACATGGTTATTTCAGTCATTGTGGTTCCATCAGCGGTTATCCCCACTCAGCCACTACCGCTTGGGGCGATCCGAAAAGAAAAGATATGGTTTCCCACTGTTGGGTAGTTCTAGTAAAACACGGACAAGTCACGACTGGTCATACATGGTTCTTTCGGTCCTTGTATCCTGACAGAAGTCGGTCCCACGAGTCTTCCTCCTCGTATACTATTGGTCTTACCTCATGGGACTCGCTTGTGCTGAATGGTGACACAGATCCCAGCGAGACAGATATCCACTGGCGCTAAAAATTCATTATAAAGACTGAGGATCTTGCACTTGTATGTTCCTCATCTCGACATTCACAATATGAATCCGACGACCCCTATTATGTTTCCCACTGTCACCCACACGACCACTCTTGACTGCGAGCCCTCACAATTCATTTTACCTGACCTCATCAATGATTGCCATTATGCCTTGCGAAAGAACCCTCACTGTTATGCAGTGTCCCGCGCATCTGATCAATGGCTTATTGACGTAGCGCGACTTACAGGGCACGAGCTCCGAGAGTATATCGAAATGGACTCAGGCACATTCGTTGCCTTTCTCTATCCTGATGCAGATGCTTTCCATCTCCGAGTCTGCTGTGACTTCATAAACTGGATATTCGTTATAGACGACTGGATGGAGAACGGTGTCGTCGATGCACGGGAAGCGCGTGAATGCTATATTTCTGCATTGCGCGATCCCATCAATTTTAACACGGAGCAGCTTGGTGCAAATATGTGCAAGTCGTGAGACTATCTTTTTACATCACATACACTGTTTCTAAAAGCCGTTATGCGGTTAGGTTTTTCAGCCGCTTTAGGGAGACTGCTGGCCCCGGCTGCACAGAGCGGTTTATCCACGGAAGCGAAACGTTCTTCGCTGCTGCGGCTAAGCAGGTGGACGACCGTGCCAAAGGAAATATGTATGATCTAAAATCTTACATCGCCCTGAGGCGAGATGTAGTCGGGATGCAGTCCTGCCTTGCACTCATCGAATTCGTAGCTGGAATTGATCTTCCCGATGAAGTTATGTCGCATCCAGTTGTTAAGTCCTTGGAGTGCGCGACCACCGATCATGTTGCTTGGAATGACGTAATTCTGTTTTATCATTGAACACTGGGGCGCCGCTGACATGACTGCGGACAGGATATTTTGTCATACAACAAGGAGCAATCTCGCGGAGACGAACACTGGGAAAACATGGTTGCTGTGCTCATGCACGATCGAGGACTAGACCTGCAAGGCGCCATGGACTACACTGGCCAGATGTGCAAAGATGCCATCCGGCGCTTCGAATCTAACCACGCTATCCTCCCTTCGTGGGGAGAAGAAGTTGACAGGCAGATGGCTATCTACGTCAAAGGGATGCAGAACTGGATGATCGGCTCACTTCACTGGCACTTTGAGTCCGCCCGCTATTTTGGCAAGGATGGACATGCTGTCAAGCACGACCGAATCGTCAAGCTGCTTCCCAAGAGGCTCTTATAGAGCCTGACACTTAGCGCATGGCTTCCGGAGGTGAGATCGGTTTCACTTCTTTCATGCACTACGTAATTCTTATAACTCGCTTCGTAGAACATTAGTACATGATTCACGTCTCACGCAGACCTGAAAGTTTTTCTTCGGTTGCATAATACATGACATCCCGCCTTCCTTGCTTTGTCCTTCGTGGTTTCAAGTTCTCAGTCAGTCAGCTCCTTGCGTGTAACACTTCCCGTCCTTATTTTGTATCACCACTCTATGTACAAAGAATAGTTGTACGAATCAAAGTTGCTCTTTTGTGCCAGGACCGATTTGAAGAGCTGCGTGTTATTAAATAAGTATTCACTTTAACTTGACACTCGGAAAGGAAAGTTCCACGGAGGCCAGCGCTGCTACCGTTAGTGGCGTTGTGCCAGCCTGAGGAGCTTAATAAAACTATTCTCTGGGGGTGAACAATTGTGCCGCATAGTGCACGCTCTCGTTGCTGCGGGAAATATTACATCAAGGCTAATGTGACGTTTATCAACTAGGGTCGCAGGGATACTGGAGACACTCAAGCGGGTAGAACAACGTCACAACTCACGAAGCTAGACGAGCAAAGGTGGGCTGTTCTCGGCAAACCTGATCTTGCTTTATCAATAATCATTGACCTTGCAGTGGCTTGCGCAAGATTGAGGTGGAGATTCGGGAGCGACAGCATAAAATCCACCAGACACAAACCGAGATTGAGCAACTTCGTGCGAACCTTGCAGCTTCGGAGGCTGACATTTGCTATCCTCATAGTTACGCCTAGCTTCCCAACGATCTTCCACCATACCAAATGGCCTCACCATGGGCATATTCTGACAATTATGTTTCCCAATTTTATGCAGATTATCAGATTTCCAATTTTAATTTTCCTCCCAAGGCTTGCTTCGGTCGGCTACTGCATATTTGAGGTATTTCCGCTTTGGCACAGGGCGCAGTTCGAAAAACTAATGTACCTCTTGGCATGCTCACCCTGAATAGCTTCCGCCTGTTGAGTTGAGATATTTGTCCAAAGCCTCTTGCAAGTTCCAGGTTCGAAGCTATAACATCATTCTTCATTACATAGTATACTAAACCTCACCTCAATCCTACAGATTTCCTCCGAGTCTGTCTAGGAGTTCGCAGTCGTCTGACTGTCCTCGCAACTTCCCGAAGCCCTAGCGCCCATAATCAATGTGAGCCAATACCTGATGACAACATGTACGAAATGTCAAGCTCTCAAGGGCCATTTCGCTTCCATGCTCAGGTCGATACGTTGCCCGAGGAACTATCAGATCCGCCGATTAGATGTTGACGTCGTCCCGTTGGATTCTTGATCAAAGAAGTTCGTAACCCCCTATTACGGAATTAACACTAAACTCTACTGGCGGCCATCCTGTCAGTATGTCGACCTAGCGAATAAGATGGATGGGACCGTGACACTTGTCGGCTTTAGAAGAATATTTCAACAAATTCAACTGGGTTCAGGCCCATGAGCCTGGCTCAAGGCCTCTCAAGGCCCAGGTGAGTAAGATGCATGGGGCCATGAGACTTATCGACTTCTATCATGATTGATTGATCTTCCATCCCTGATGGGCCATTGTTAAATAGCGCTAATCAAAAAGGTACCAATATTAATGAAGTCCTCTGTATGTCAAATCGTATAAATACAATAGCGCCACTCCAACCACATATGTATGAAGGAAAAGATGCAAATGACGAAACATGTCCAATATCATGATAGGGTCTACATATAACCCCAAAGGATGCACTCTGTGTTGGAGTCCGAGAGATCCAAGACGAGGAAGACCGACGGATCCGAGATAGTATTAGAGAGTGGGGGAAGGTTAAGGTTCGGAGAAGGCGCGGAGGAGAGCAACGTTATTATGTAAATCATGTCCCTATATAACATTATTGCTTACGACCTAGTGGTTTCGCTACTCATGCCAAGAGATATGACCAATGTAATGTTAATGAGTACTGAGCGCTTTAGGGTTAGTAGAATGAGCGGTGGCTACCACAAGAACTTGTGTTTCCCACCCCCAGATTGGGAGCTCTACTGCTGTGGAATGTCAAAGACCCCCTTTATAAGGCTAACTAACATGCATCTTGGGCCCGACTATAATCCCTCCCCATGCTCTTCACTCATATTCTCGCTTTAGGGATACCGTGTATTATTGCCCTGGTTGTCGCTTCGGGTCTGACTCGCAGACGTGTCTACCCATTTCCTCTGCCGCCTGGCCCTCGTTCATTGCCATTATTGGGTAACGCGCTGCAATTGGATACCAAACGACCTTGGCTCACATATACTGCATGGGGAAAGACATATGGTTGGTAGCAGACCGTTGAATGGCCTCTTTTCCAAGCTCTTGAATTCAATCTCATACCTGATCATAGGAAAAATGATTTACTGTCGCATACTTGGGATCGACTTGATCATCATAAACTCAGAAACCATCGCGCGGGAGTTGCTGGACAAGCATAGATCTGCGAATTACTCTACTCGCCCCGTTATTCGCACCAACGAATTGTATGGATTACTGGTTTCCATTCATTTTGTTCTTCATCCACTAATGATGCAGATCTGGACTGGATTTCAATACTGGACTCCTTCCGTATGGGGAGACTTTACGACAGCATCGCAAGATCTTCCATCAAGTCCTCAGGGCCGAAGTCTCGGTCTCATACCACGAGATGCACTCTCGCCACGCAAATGAACTAGTCATCAATCTCTTAAATGTCACTAGTGACTTGCACCGACACACTCGAGAGTTTGTACCTAACTCGGTGGTGTCGTGATGTATGGTTTAGTTGACAATAAATCCTTGTGACAGATACACGGCGTCCCTAGTTATGGCCGTGACGTACGGATACCTTGCTCATGAAGACATATTTCTTACCCGCGTCAACGAACTCATTGATATTACCAAATATATTCTTGCTCCAGAGAGGGCTGCCATGTTCACAGCCTTTCCTTTCCGTGAGTGCCTCTGTCGACGACATAATTTTGAATATTCAGCATAAGGTTGCAGTCGAAAAGTTGCCATCTTGGTGCTTCCCTGGAGGATTTGCACTGATGGGGCGCTGTAGAGAATTGTGTCAACAGCTTTTGAACGAGCCCTTTGGCGAAGTGAAGGCACAAATGGTACGTTTATGCAGGGTTGTGGATGGGAAATTTCGCCTGATCTGTTTGCGTGAAGGCAAATGGTACTGCTTCACACTCATTAATCACTAACTTTCTCAGTCAAGCTCGCGACGACGCTGACGAAGATACGATGAAGGCTGTTGCATTGATGGGATTCATGGGTAAGAGTTTTTTTAGCCAGGACAGAATTCATCCATTGACACGACAAATACGGCATCTTAGCTGGCCTGGACACCGTGAGTCGCTACTTAAGCGGTCCTGATTCTCACTTCAATGTCCGTAGACTACATCCGCATTGCAGACATTCCTGCTGGCTATGGTGCTCTATCCTGACGTCCAAGCCCAGGCTCGTGCAGAAATTGATCAAGTTGTGAGGCATGATAAAATGCCGTGCCTTGATGATAGGGCGTCACTGCCCTACCTTGATGCCGTTCTCCACGAGGTCCTGAGATGGTATCCTCCCGTCCCCCTAGGTCAGTCCACACAAATACAACTCCGAATAATTGACCCCTTGCACAGGAGTTCCACATGCAACATCAAATGATGATATTTACGACGGGTACTTTATACCCAAAGGTTCGAAATCGCATGGGTAGAGGTTGCTGTTGACTCATCTATAGTTCGATCAGGTGCGATAGTAATGGTTAATCAGTGGTATGTCACGGTGGTGTCTATCTGACAGCGGCTTGAGCTGAGTATGGCTCAGGGCACTATCTCGGGATGAAGACATGTTTCCCGATGCATCACGCTTTGATCCTAGTCGCCATCTAACAGTAGAAGGGAAACTGAAGGACCCTTTCGTCAACCATTTTGCCTTTGGTCATGGCAGGTGAATATTCACAATTGCTATCATTTTTAATTATTCACTGACTCTTGCAGGCGTGTTTGTCCTGGTAGGTTGATTCATGGTTGATTTGGCAGTGTCGAGGATGATAAATCCCCGTGGCAGGTCGTTGGTTTGCAGAGAACAGTCTTTAGACTGCAGCTGCTGCCATACTCGCCGTCTTGCGCATCGATCACGCCAAAGATTCAAATGGAGACAGGATTGAGGTGAAGCCAGAGTTCAGCACCGGCATGGCGATGTAAGTGGCCTAGTATGTATTCAAGAACCTGCAACTGACTCCACCGAAGTCACCCTGAACCATTTCAATGCTGGTTTGAAAGCGTGAACACAGTGAGAGAAGGACATCTTCGAGAGATGATGGATTCGAAGTAGGCTTCATCTGTACTTGTGATGGTCTGTCATATGATAACACGATTGTATGTACAACGGCGCAGAGTACACTGGAGGGCAAGGTTTTGCGGCCCCTGTCTCTGTCTCTGATGAATGACTTGAAGACAATTGCTTTCGATGCCATCGACTCTTTGGAAACCAGTTCCGTTTCCAAAATCTCCTGACCCGGCGTAACCAGGTTGCACACCGTTGGTCGGTTCATGGGCCCTTCCCTTTTGCAACGTTGGTTCTACCTGAAAATCGGTCGACAGTAATCCATGCACTTGTATTACAACTTACATAGATTTAGATCAATATTTATTTTCTCGTTCCTCAGTTACGGTGTGTAGTCGAACGAGCTTGGTTGTGTGACGTTTACTTCTTTTCCGCCAGCACAGTCATCTCCGGGTCCCCGAATGTGATGGTGAGGGTTGCGCGTACACAGAGCCTTCCCTGTAACGCGCTAGCAAAGTCATGTAAGCATGGCTGTAAGAAGATGAGCGAGTGTCAAGCGAATAAAGCCAGCCAGCGGTGAACGTTTGAACGTGCAAGTGCGGCATTGCCAAACACACGCAAATACGCTTCCTTCACCGTTGCTCGTTATTTCTCCATCCAAATTGATCTAATATACAGTCCTATGCACATGGCTGAGGCACAAATCGAAGAAGCTGAAATATTAAGTATTCACTTACCTTGATGTTCACTTGACACTCAGAAAGGAATGTTTCACGGAGGCCGACGCTGCTGCTGTCAGTGGCCTTGTGCCAGCCTGTTTCTTGCCAAGTTGCCCTTGACACGAAAGCTCAATTATCTTACCTTCCGTTTCAGTCTGTCACAAGTCAACTGCCAGAGGAGCAACCCATCATATCCTTACAGCAAGACCAAATAAACCGCTCCGGCATCAGCCATTTCCCAGCTGCGTTCCTTCATTCATTCCGAGTCATGTCGGAGGCTCGGAGGCTCGTTATGGACAACGCCCCGGCCAGATAACGTCGCGCGATCTCGGGAAGCGAAATGGCCCTTTACGCGTGACGTTTCGTACATATCGTCATCAGGTATTGGCTCACATTACTTATGGGCGCTAGGCCTTCGGGAAGTGGATTGCAGACTGTTGGGCGGACGAGGAAATCTGTGGGATTGAGGTGAGGTCCAATATACTATGTAATGCTGAAGAATGATATTGTAGCTTCGAACCTGGAACTTGGGAATTATCAGGTCCACCGATTAAATCATCTCATCAGATTCTTGATCATGTATGATAAAAGGTTCGTAACCCCCTATTACGGAATTAACACTAAGGCGGCCGTCCTATCAGTATGCAGTATGTCATCGACCTAGCGAATAGGATGGACGGGACCGTGACACTCATCGACTTCCTCGGCTTTGGACGAATATTTCAACAAATCCAACTGGGGTAGGGCCCATGAGCCTGGCTCAAGGCCTGGGTAAGTAAGATGCATGGCACCGTGACGCTTCTTCTATCATGATTGATTGACCTTCACATCGATCCATCCGAATTCTGCTGAGTCCGAAACAAACACTCATATCAGAGCACCAACCTAGTACTATTTAGATCAAGCAAGGTTTCTTCCGACGCAGGTGGCAACTCCGAGTCTACTTTGGAATGTTAACAAGGCACTACAAACTCCGCAGTACTCGAGATTCACCGGTGATTGTATTACACCGTGATTACATCGAAGGTTAGCGACCGCCGATGTTTGCTGTCAAAGACTGACTTATCGCCGCATCTGCATCAAGGGCGGGGATGCAAATTCAAGAATAACGTTGCGGATACGTTCTAAAGAGAAACCTACTGACGTGGACGGTGGGAGTAGTTGGGAAGTAGTCCCAGCTATGCAGCGAAATGAATATGCATCTGGCTTGTGAGGTGAGTGAGTTGGTTCAGGCTGCTAGATGCATTTGTCTGGAAAAAGTGATAATAGTGCACGTGCGGTACTAGCAGACGTGTTGACATAATGTTCCGCAGTGGACAGAGCTCCAGGTATCCTGCTCTTCGAACCACCACACTTGGATTCGTCAGTCAAGATCCTATGTACATCCATATCATTCTTCCACCCCCCAGCTCATGGCATCCCCATTATAGATATCTACAACTTGAAAAAATTTCGCCGTCTGCGCCTCCATTCCACACTTATTGTACAGTTGATTTAATCTCAACACGCAGTTCGCCGAATCTGTATTCGTCGTTGCAGACGTCCCCCTTGCCTGTGAAAAAGCAGTCACTGGGATTTTAACGGGTGAGCACGTGCTCAATTCCTGTTGACTCGCTATCTTGATATGTCAAGGGCAACGGAAATGAAAGGGAAGGTCAAGTGATGCGCGAGACGAGTAAGGTCTCAGCAACCGAGGAACTTTGGGTGGTAGGTCGAAATGATCATCGCCTCTTTACAAACATCAGAACAACCTGCACTATTTAGGTACTACAAGATATACTAATCCTGTCCTGTGCAATTCCTCGGCAACTCACCTATACTGATAATCCATTCTCGTACTATGCTCTCCTCGATGCGGGTGGGATTCCAGGAGAAGGGCCACCTTTGTAACGCATACGGATTCTTAAGCTTCTGGGGTTGGTGAGGACGAACATGATATTTTTGCAATCAGCTGTAATATTAATGATGATATACTACCTGTCTAGATACATATGTAATTCTATGGAATTCGCTGGTTTCCGAACTGCATCAGATTATTGAGGTGCTTTACGGTCTCCAGTTTCGTTAAGCTTAGACGAATTGAACCACTGGGATGTGAGTCACGCCGGAATCAATTCATTTCGAATTGTGCGGAGCTGAGCTAGTAAAAGCTCACTTACTGCTTGCTGGTGAGGCTCCTCACGAGTTACATTACTCTGTGAACATCGATCCATCATCTATGTTGTTTTGAATTCTGCTGAGTCCGAAACAAACTTTCATGTAACTTGAAGAGCACTAACCTACCATTTAGGTCAAGCAAGGTTTCTGCCAACGCAGGCGGCAATTCCGACTCGGAGTCTACTTTGGAATGTTAACAGGGCACTACACACTCCGCAGTACTCAAGATTCACCGGTGATTGCATTACATTGAAGGTTACGAAGACAAAGCGGTTGGTCCGCCTATCTGATTGACAAACTTGCCATATGGATCACGAACCATTCAAGTCACACGTATCAAGAAGCAGCACTGAACCCTGGAACGGTGAACTTGATCCTGGGTATCTGTATCTGACAAGTCCTCTTTTTCTTACAACATCGGTCTGCCTAATAGGAATCGCTTGTGTCGAATAGTGATTGAAAATATCTCCCATGACACGGATCCAAGCGAGACAGACATCCGCTGGCGCTAAACAAATCACTATAAAGACTGACGATCTTGTACCCATAGGTTCCTCATCTCGACATTCACAATATGAATCCGACGACCCCTACTATGTTTCCCATTATCACCCACACGATCACTCCCGACTCCGAGCCCTCACAATACGTTTTGCCTGACCTCATCAATGATTGCCACTATCCCTTGCGAAAGAGCCCTCTGTGATGCGGCATCCCGCGCATCTGTTCAATGGCTTATTGACGTAGCGCAACTTGTAGAGCCCGAGATCACAGAGTATATTGATATGGACGGAAACGCACTCGCTGCAGTTTGCTATCCTGATGCAGATGCATTCCATCTCCAAGTGTGCTCTGATGTCGTCAACTGGATGTTCATTATAGATGACTGGATGGAGTATGGTGTCGTCGATGTACGGGAGGCGCACGAATCCTGTATTTCTGCATTGCGCGATCCCAACAATTTTGACGCGGAACAGCTTGGTGGAAAGATGTGCAAATCGTACGACTATTTTGTCCATCGCACACACTTTCTAAAAGTCGTCATGCGGTCAGGTTTTTCAGCCGCTTCAAGGAGACTGCCGGTCCCGGCAGCACAGAGCGGTTTATCTACACAAGCGAACTATTCTTCGCTGCTGTAGCTAGGCAAATGGACAACCGTGCCAAAGGACATATGTATAATCTGGAATCTTACATCGCCTTTAGGCGAGATCAAAGTGGGACGAAGATATCCTTCACCCTTTCCGAATTTGCAGCTCGAATTGATCTTCCCGACGACGTTGTGTCGCATCCAGTTATCAAGGCCTTGGAGGATGCAACCAGTGATTATGTCTCCTGGTCTAATGTAAGTCTGTTCTGTCATTGAACACTGGGGCGCCGCTGACATTACCGCTGACAGGATATTTTTTCATACAACAAGGAGCAATCTCGCGGTACCGCACCCTGGGAAAACATAGTTGCCGTGCTCATGCACGAACGAGGTCTAGACCTGCAAGGCGCCATGGACTACGCTAGCCAGATGTGCAAAGATGCCATCCAGCGCTTTGACTCCAACCGTGCTATCCTCCCCTCGTGGGAAGAAGAGGTCGACAGGCAGGTGGCTATCTACGTCGAAGGACTGCAGAACTGGATTGTCGGCTCACTTCACTGGTACCATGATTCCCCCCGCTATGCTGTCATGCCGGACCGAATTGTGAAGCTACTTCCTAAAAGGCACTTGTAGAGCCTAATAACACATAGTGCGTGACTTTTGGAGGTGGGATCGGGTTTACTTCTTTCACGCACTACGCAATTCTCACTACTAGCTTAGCAGAACGTTAGTACATGATTCACGTCTCACACAGACCTGAAAGTTTTGCTTTGGTTGCATAATACGTGGCATCCTGCTTTCCATGCTTTGTCCTCCGTGGTTTCAATTTCTCGTTCAGCTTCTTGCGTGTAACACTTCCCGTCCGTCTTTTGTATCACTACTGTATGTACATAGAAGGGTCTCGTATCCCTGTGCGAATCAAAGCTGTGCCAATTTGCGTGCTATTTGAAATTTCAGATCGACCAATTGAAGATTAACGATTTTCATTGACTGACTACGATAAAAGACATGGTGAGGTAATGAGGGTTAGAATTGGAATAAGGTTTAGCCTACTGTTTAGGAAGATGGGTGACGAGAATTTAGCGTCTAAGACTGGCCCCAACAACTAGCCAAATCTTTGAATTTCTGCAGAAGGGGTCCATACGATGATCGTGATCAACTTAGATTCTCGGTTGCACCTTTGCGAGCCATAGAAGTTCATTCAGAACGTTCCCGCAGGTCGTGAAGTATCACGCCAATGGGCGGCTGGTGTGCACACCACCGAGGAGAACAACCATTCCCCGGAAGCATTACACAGCGCTCTGGCCTCCGATGAAGCGATCATGATTTCAAAGCTTCCATACATCCCGATCTAGCATTGACAAAGAGAGCCACCGGAGAACAATGGAAAATAAAAGACCACTGAACAAAGGGGGGAAGAGTCTGAAAGGTCAAAGTGGATGAGAGGGAATCGGTTACCCATGATGCAGTTGTATATGATCCCCCATGTCCTAAACTCAACTGTCTCCTATCAGGAGGAGAGCCGCGCCCTATGAACGCTTGGAGAGGATGGTAACGTGGATGGTGGGAGAGATCGAGGGAGCAGAAAGACGCCAGGATGTCGAAGGAGGAGATGACATTCACCGTGGAGGTGAACACGGCGGGGACACACACAAAAGGCGTGGAGTGGACATGGTATCCAGTAAAGGCCGCCCACCAGGCGCAGGCGGCGAGGTAGATTTCGGATGTGATAACTTGGGTGTTGGAGGTAGGAAGCGGGTGTGTAGAGAAGGAAACGGGCGTGTTGGAGGGGTGGGTGTTGAAACCGGCGCGTGCTTCGGATGCGATGAGGGCTTTGATAGTGTCTATACTATATAGCGGCGGAGTCTACAAGTCATCATTAATCAATTTGGAAACTCACAGGAATTCTACTCGTTCTTGGCATGCTAATTTCCACATGTTGACTTCTCTATCCCAGTGTAGAGCGGGTGTGTAGTCGACCTGTGAACAAGTTTGGTTGGGCGACATTTACTTACTTCTCCTCTGCCTGCACAGTCATCTCCTCCGAAGGCGATGGTAAGGGTTGTGCATGCAAAGAGCCTTCCTTGTGCGCTAGGGAAAGCACAACATGTATGTGACCGTTACTAAGAAGATAAGAAGGAGTGCAGTTTGCCAGGGCCCAGCTTGTAAATATTAAAATAAAAGCCAGAGGTGCACCAGTGGACTTTGCATATGTGACTGCAAGGCGTTGCCAAACACATACAGATACATTTCGTTGCTCATTAATTGATGCATCGACGATTCGATGGAATCATGACAGCTACTTATAAGTTACTGATTGGTGCAGAGTTTATTGTATTACCTGACTTCTTCGGCGATTGGCGCTGCCCAACGCGACTGGACCCTCACTTTATCCGCACTTCGGAATACGCATGACTGGCTCTTCTAAAAAATTCTGTTCGTCTCAGACTCTCAACCCTAACTGTCTCTACTACTCATCGTACGACTGAGTTTATACCTCGCTTTCTTTTAATCTGACTGGACCCTCCTTTCCAAAAGCACGCGATGGTCCGAGTCAATACGGCACCCGCTAGCAAGACTGGCATAAGTATAAAGACTGACATATTCAGAGCCCTTGTCTCATAACTCGCATCTCCCATTTCTCCGTTCACAACACGAGTCCAACAACACCCATGGCTTCTACCACAACCTGCACCGTCACTTTTTCTGACTCCGAACCCACAGAGTTCATTATACCTGACTTCTTCAGTGATTTCCCTTATCCAATGCGACTGAACCCTCACTGTTATCCGGTATCTCGGGCTTCTGATCAATGGCTTTGTAGCGAAGGCCATCTAGTAGAGCCCAAGACTACCATATATACGGTCTTGCGCGCAGGTTACCTCGCTTCAGCTACTTACCCTGATGCGGATGCTTTCCATCTCAGGGTCTGCGCGGACTGGCTGGGCTGGTCGTTCATAGTAGACGACTGGCTCGAGTTCGAGAGGTTCGATGTCAATGATGCGTGGGGAATACGCGATAGCTGCATGTCTGCGTTCCGCGATCCCGTCAACTTCCAGACAGAAAGATATAGTGCAAAGATGTGCAAATCGTGCGTCTATTTTATGCATCGGGTACACATTCTAACCATCTTACGCTTTTAGATTCGTCTCTCGATTTAAGGAGACTAGCGGTCCTGGCTGCGCAAAGCGCTTTATCGAATCCAATGACGTGTGGTTTATCCTTGCGGCAAAGGAGATGGACAACCGCCTCAAGGGACATGTCAATAATGTCGAATCTTACATTGAAATGAGGCGTATATTGAGCGGCCTCAAGCCTTCCTTTGCCCTTATCGAATTCGCCGGTCAGATTGATCTTCCTGACGAAGTGGTCTCGCATCCGGTCATCATGGCCCTGGAGGAGGCTGCCATTGACTGGGTTGCTTGGTCAAATGTAACCCCTCATTTTGTCGTCGAAGTTGGGGCACCACTGACATCGCTGCTGACAGGATATTTTCTCCTATAACGTAGAGCAGGCTCGCCATAGCACAAGCAATTTAGTTGTGCTGGTTATGATGCATCAAGGTCTCGACCTGCAAGGTGCTGTTGACTACTGCGGCCGGCTATGCAAGACCTCCATCCAGCGCTTTGAAGAACACCGTGCTATCCTCCCCTCCTGGGGAGAAGAAGTCGACAAAGAGGTGGCTATCTACGTCCAAGGACTGCAAAACTGGATGTCCGGTTCGCTGCAATGGTCCTTCGAGAACGCCCGCTATTTCGGGAAGGATGCGCACGTTGTCAAGCGGGACAGGACCGTCAAGCTGCTTCCCAAGCGGCCCTTGTGAAATCCATAGCTATTATTCTATGTGAGACTGTTTTCACTTCTTTCCTGCATTTCACGATTCTCATTGCGATGACTGCCATCATAGAAAGCTACATCATTATTCATGTCTTGCTATGTGTCAAGCTGCCTACCGAATGCGCATTATGTTTTGCCTTTCTTCCTAGTACTCAGAACGTTTTTCATTCTCGCTGTTGTGTGTATAATAGTACCAGTTGTTCCTTCTATTTAGAATCATACATATGATACTTGTATCGTAACAACGTGTGGCACCCGTCCTGCGAGCATGTAAGGTTAAACTCGACGAACCTCACGTGACAAAACCGTATGCTCACCCGAAGTGGTCGAACAAGCATAGCTTCCGTCTTGACTCTTGTTATATTCGTTAAAATATTTGTCCAAAGCCTCAAGTTCCAGGTTCGAAGGTACAACATCATTCTTCAACGTTACATACTAAAACCTCACACCACAGATTTCCTCGTCTGCTCAGGAGTTTGCAGTCCTCGCACTGACTTCCCGAAGGCCTAGCGCCTACAATTCATGCCAGCCAATACCTGACGGCGACATGTACGAAACGTGAAGGGCCATTTCGCTTCCCGAGATCGACATTATCAGGTCGGAAGGTTGTTCGAGGAACTATCCGATCCGCCGATTAGATATCGATGTCATCATGTATGATAAGAGGTTCGTTATAAGCCTCTTATTACAGAAATGAGAACACTAAGCACTTTGTACAAGGACTGGCGGCCGTCGTATCAGTATGCAGTATGGCATCAACCTAGCGAATAAGATGGATGGGACCGTGACATTTAGCGGCTTTAGACGAATATTTCAACAAATCCAGCTGGCTTCAGGCCCACGAGCCTGGCTCAAGGCCCAGGGTGAGTAAGATGCATTGGACGCCACTTATCATTGATCAACTTCTATCGGGATCGATCAATCTTCTATTCCTGATGCCATTGTTACTATTATAAGAACACTGGCAGACTTTCTCTAATTGAATCTTGGTTCGCGCCAATCAGAAAGGCACCAATAAAGTCTTCCTGCACGTCGAATCATATGGATACAACCGCGCCACACCAAATTGTACATGTGTACTACGAAGGAAAGGATGCACACTAAGTCAAGATTCACCGGCACCCGTGATTTCATAATACCGTGATTACATTGAAGGACCTCAGTGATGGTTGCTGTCGAAGACTCACTCATCACCATCAAGGGCTGGGGTGCAAATTCAAGAATATCGTTGCGGATGCATTCTAATGAGAAACCTTCTGGCGTGGACGGTGGGAGTAGTTGGGAAGTAGTCCCAGCTATGCAGAGACCTGGATATGCATCTGGCTCGTGAGGTGCGTTAGTTGGTTCAGGCTGCCAGATGCATTTGTCAGGAAAAAGTGATAATAGTGCACTTTCAGTGCTAGCAGACGTCACTGTGGTGGCATAATGTTCCGCAGCGGACGGAGCTCCAGGTATCTTGCTCTTCGAAGCACCGCACTTGGACCCGTCAGTCAAGACCCTACGTACGTCCGTGTCATTCTTCCAATCACCAGCTCATGACATTCCATGATTCCTGGCGTATAACTCGAAACAATTTCGTCGTCTACGCTTCCGTTCCGGTTCCGCACTTATTGTCAAAAAGCAGTCATTGTGGGATTTTAACGGGTGAGCCCGTGCTCAATTTTTGTTGGCTTGCTATCTTGATATGTCAGGGGCAACGGAAATGAAGTCAAGTGATGCACGAGATGAGAAAAGCTCGCTACATTTACCAAGCTAACGATCTCGGCGACCGAGGAATTTTACGTGGTAGGTCAGATGATCATTGCCTCTTTAATTACAAACATCAGAACAACCTGCACCATTTGGGCACTACAGGTGATACTAATCTTCTCCTGTGCAATTCCTCGGCGACTCACCTATCCTGATAATCCATTTTGGTACTATGCTCTCCTCAATGCGGGTGGGATTCCAGGATAACGGCCACCTTTGTAACGAATGCGGATTCTCAAGTTTCCAACGTTTGGGGTTTGTGAGGACGAACACGACATTTTTGCAATCAGCTATAATATCAATGATGATATATTACCTGTCCAGACCCATATGCAATTCTAACATTACGGCCACCAGTTTCGTTAAGCTTAGACGAATTGAACCACCAGGATGTGAGTCGCGCCTGAATCAATTCGTTTCGAATTGAGCGCTGGTAAAAGCTTACTTACAGACTGTCTGTGAGGCTCCTCACAAATTCTATTGCTCTGTGACGGTTTCTGACCGACCAGATAGTTGAACCGTAACCAGTGCCACAACATCGTCTATGGTCCTGCAAGGTCCTATCGAAATAGAAACGACCGTCTTCCTTCGCGTAAGGTCTGCCTAGGGGGAGGCTCTGGTTATGCTACCTGTGTTGGAAATCAACCAACAACGTACTAAGTAGTAAGTACCATATAGTTTCACATTTTTTGTTTCGGACTTTACGCTAGCAGTTACCTTCAACATACTTACTATATATGGCAACTCCGCTCACGACACCTGTCTGTTCATACTCGACTGGGGACTTACGAAGTCCTTACTATCTGTTTAGACGCATACCATCTTTTAACCTGGCGCTAAAAGAAGACACAAAGCGGTTAATCCACCTGTATGATTGGCAAACTTGCCATATGGATCACGAACCATTCAAGTCACACGTACTATCGAGAAGCAGCACTGGTCCCTGGAACGGTGAACTCCACCCTGGGTGTCCAATGAGTCTTCTTTCTCGTATAAAATTTATCTTGCCTAATCGGAATGCTTGTGCTGAATGGTGATTGAAAAAAAGGTTCGATATCATCTTCCATGACACGGATCTGAGCGAGACAGACATCCACTGGCACTATAAAGGCTCACGATTTTACACCTATATTTCCTCATCTCAACGTTCACAATATGAATCCGACGACCCCTGTTATGTTTCCCACTGTCACCCACACGACCCATCCTGACTCTGAGCCCTCACAATTCATTTTACCTGACCTTGTCAATGATTGCCACTATCCCTTGCGAAAGAACCCTCACTGTTATGCAGTGTCCCGCGCATCTGATCAATGGCTTACTGATGTAGCGCAACTTGTAGAGCCCGAGGTCAGAGAGTATCTTGATGCGGACATAGGCGGATGTGCTGCCGTTTGCCATCCTGATGCAGATGCTTTCCATCTCCAAGTCTGCGCTGAATTCCTTAACTGGGCATTCGTTATAGACGACTGGATGGAGTGTGGTGTTGTCGATGTACGGGAAGCGCATGAATCCTGTATTCTTGCACTCCACGATCCCATCAATTTTGAGACGGAGCAACTTGGTGCAAAGATGTGCAAATCGTATGTCTATTTTTTCCATCATATAGCACTTTCTTAAACTCGTTATGCGGTTAGGTTTTTCAGCCGCTTTAAGGAGACTGCTGGCCCCGGCTGCACAGAGCGGTTCATCCGCGGAAGCGAATTGTTCTTCGCTGCTGTGGCTAAGCATCTGGACGACCGTGCGAAAGGAAATATGTATGATCTGCCATCTTACATTGCCCTGAGGAAAGATCTAGTCGCGATGAAGATCTGCAGTGCCTTGATTGAATTCGCAGGTCGAATTGATCTTCCGGACGAAGTTGTTTCGCATCCAGTTTTCCAGGCCTTAGAGGATGCGGCCAACGATCACGTTTCTTGGTGTAATGTTAGTATGTTCCGTCATTGAACACTGGGCGCCGCTGACATTACCGGCAACAGGATATTTTTTCATACAACAAAGAGCAATCTCGCGGTAGCGCACCCTGGGAAAACATAGTTTCCGTGCTCATGCACGATCGAGGACTAGACCTGCAAGGCGCCATGGACTACGCTGGCCAGATGTGCAAAGATGCCATTCAGCGCTTTGAATCCAACCGTGTTGTCCTCCCCTCATGGGGAGAAGAGGTTGACAGGCAGGTGGCTATCCACATCGACGGGCTGCAGAACTGGATGGTCGGTTCACTTCACTGGCACTTGAATTGCATCCGCTATTTTGGCAAGGATGGACATGCTGTCAAGTTGGACCGAATCGTCAAGCTGCTTCCCAAAAGGCCCTTGTAGAGCCTAATACCTAGTGCATGGCTTTTGAAGGTGAGATCGGGTTTACTTCTTTCACGCACTGCGCAATTCTTACGACTAGCTTAGTAGAACGGCTCACACAGACTTGAAAGTCTTGCTTCGGTTGCATTTTTTTAAATCCAATTTTCATGTCCTATGGAGAGTTTAACGATTGTCATTGACTGACTACGATAAAAGACATGGGGTATGAGGGTTAGAGTTAGAATAAGGTTTAGCCTGCTGTTTAGGAAGATGGGTGACGAGAATTTAGCGTCAAAAACTGGCCCCAACAACCAGCTAAATCTCTGAATTTCCGCAGAAGGGGCCCATACGATGCTTGCGATCAACTTAGATTATCGGTTACACCTTTGCGAACCATACAGATCCATTCAGAACGTTCTGAAGCATCGTGCCAATGAGCGGCTGGTGTGCACGACGAGTTGGCTGAGACTCAGAGTATTCAGAGCACTCAATCATCATGCCAATCATTTCACGCACGATGACCTTGTCGTTTGAGCAATTGTCGTTCTATTTCAAAGAATTCGTCCAAAGCCTCAAGCTCCATGTTTGAACCTACATCATTCCTCAGCGTTACATAGCATACTAAACCTCACTTCAACACCACAGATTTCCTCGTCCACCCAGGAGTCTCAAATTGATATTACGGTTGTCGCATCACCCAAGATTCCATTCTCGCCTTCGAGAATGAGATCAAGAAGTTCATCGATTACGCCGATTTTTGTGATCCTACGTGCGCATTGTTGACTCGTAATTGGCTTTTTGAAGGAGTTGCGCCTCCGTCAGCTGGATTACAATTGCTGTGTCGACTTGGTCTTAGGGCCTGAGGATTCGGTGGATGAAGACTCGGAGGGGGAGGGAGAAGGGTTAGCTGATGAAAAGAAGGACGATACAAAGACTGAAGAAGATGAGGGCGATATAACTGACCACGAAGACATAAAGGAGGACGACACGAAGACTGATGAACAAGAGTCGAGTCACTATGAAGACGAAAAAGACGACCCACAGACTGACGAAGAAGGCGACACAACTCACTACGAAGATGAAAAGATGAGGATACGAAGACTGATGAAGGCGATGCGACTCACTTCGAAGATGAAAAAGAAGACGACCAGAAGACTGATGGAAATCAGGGCAATGCAAGTCACTATGAAGACGAAAAGGTCGACGACAGCAAAGCTGATGAACACGAGGCCGTCACCAATGACCATCATGAATATACAAAGGAGGACGAAGTTACACAAGCCACGATGATGAAGATGAAACCTGTGTTTGGAGACACCGACAATGAATTTGAAGTTGAATATGATGCAGAGGTGGTAGCCATCTCTGTTTGTTCAGACGAACCCGTTAGCTGCCAAGAACGACCTACACAAGCGCAAATGGACATTATGACGACGTTGCCTGACCAGCCACGTCAGTGGTGTGTAAGCTATAGGGACATTCAAATGTACTTTGCCAATTTCCGGTCGATATGCAGGAATATAACCTTAATTACTTACAAGCTCCCATTTCCTAGTTGCGTTTCGTCACCCCGCTTCGATATTAAGGTACCTTCGCATTATCCGATCACCCATGAGACAAAGGATGTTCCTCCCCCGTGGGTATCGTGCGGAAGGCTACTTGGCACTTGGCACTTGGAGCCGTGCGTGTGCTTCTAGGGTTGAGCAAGGGTGGACCCGCGGGTCGCTGGAGCCACACTGTACCCATACCCACACACCGCACCCGCTACGGGTGTACACCGACCCGCCAATTCTACGGGCATGAGCGATGTTTGCGGTATACCGTGGTTTTTTCAGACCCGCGGGTCGTATAGTATTTTCAAGTCCTGGAGACGGAAAACACCGATTCTCATCTACATTTTTGTGCTGCGCAGGGGAAGAAGTGGCAAACACGACAATTCACGCGCACAGCAACATGATTAGTGTCAAAAAATGCATAGACAGGTAAACGGCAATTATTCTTGAGTTTTTCTGTATTGAATTGGTAAGGCACTGACATAGTATGGTAGGATCAGCAGAGGTCTTACGAAGTTCCGATGGCTCGGGCGATGATGACGGTGATGTCGAAGACAATTTTGACAAGCATGATTGAATGGAAGACTCGTCAGCCTTCTTTAAGCGGCGCACAATCTACTGAAACATCAGCATAACCAGCGCAGTAGGTTGTCACCTCGAATCGACATTGCTACTCAATGAACCTGCGGTCGAAGCTTCGAAAATATGGGTGGATGTAGATTTGATGCTCTGGGGACGAGTGACATGGTGACGACAGCTCCGGATCCGGCTCGGGGTGTTTGAAAATTTGACCCTCGCACCCTCGGACAAGCTGAGGGTTCCACATGGTCTAGTGTAGGGGGCAGAAAGGAATTGGCCTCGTGGCAATTGGCAAGATGGCAGAACGGCAATTGGCAGAATGGCAGAAGTCGGCAAAAAGTATTGTGAGCATTTTTCCTACTACGGCAAAAATAGCTTCGACCACTACATCGAGGCTACACCTTCTGACATCAAAAGTGCATCAATATTCTCTTTTGCTTACATCAACTCCTTGTCAGTCATTGATTCCGGACCCGCAAGATAGTCTTGGTCATCAGAGTCTACTGCGAGGGGAGGAATCTTCAATCCATGCAACCGATTTTCATCGAGTCCATGTTTAGGACAAGTATATGTGTGTGTGTTTTCGACAAACAGGCTTCCCAGCTTTGGAGTCCATCTTGTAGTACAGGAAGTATGCATAGCTTACAAGAAGTGATTCAAACGTGTGAACTGACAAATTGCATCATTTGACGGTCTGAGATAAAAAGTAGTGCTTGATATTGGCCGTGTGAGGTACAATATTAATTGAATTCAATGGACAGTAGTTACATTTGAAAAAGTTGTTTTTCGAGTTGTTTCTGACTGGGAAAAAGTGGTCAGACATGATTTTTCGGACATGATGGCCCTTGGGTTCTGGGGCCATGGTAATTGCCAACTTGTACACCAAGATACATTCAACCATATGTCAAATTTCTATTGTTTGTTAGTAGGAACAAGTACTAGGAGGTACTAGGTTATTGTAGTTCTGACGACTTCTGCCAACCACCTTCGACCTACTGCCATCAATTGCCACTGGCAGAAATATTTCATTCTGCCAACAACACTATCCACACCCATCCAACACCGCAAACCGCCACGGGAAAGTACGGTGTACGTGCGGGTCCCCATAACCTACACCATACCCATACCCGCCACACCCGTCAGCGATACACCGCGGTTTTACCCGTACCCGTGCTCCACCCTATGTACTTCAATCGGAAGTGTAATGATGATTTGGTTGTTTGTCGACAACCATGTGCCTAGAACTGGATTGGGACGATTGATCTTGATATGAGCACTACGTGTATTGTATTGTAGGTCTTGACGTCTACAGCGTTAGACGCAGCATCAATATGCACGGACAACGTATGAAGGATGACGTTTCGGTGAACATCGAGTTGGCTTCGAACAAGGTGATAAAATGAGACAAATTCCCCGAGAATATGCAAGCACTCCGTATAAGAGACGGTATGCGGCCATAAATTAGTCAGTATCTTAACCAACCTTTGAGCACCAACATCAGGGGGAATGGTGGGTTTGGGACAGATGTGATGTGGTGGTGGACGTGGTGCGGGGTGCAGTGGTGTGTGATAGAGTGACAAGGTGCACACGACGAGGTGCGGCGATGGGGTGGATGTGACGAGGCGAATAAGACGAAGAGGTGAATGCAAGTACAACAAGAGGCGAGTTGTGTGAGAGCTCCAATCCAGCGAAAGACGACCAGCGCAATTCACCCAAGCGCAAACTTCAGCGTACTATCCGCTTCTCCAATAGAAACGATCTGCGAAGCACCCAGGCCCATTCCTTGCCCACCCACACCCATGCTGCGTCTCCTATACCATAAGTCTGTGCCCCGATCCTAACCTGCACCCCTCCTAAAACGTCCATACTCATACTCTGCGGCACACCATCATCACCCACACCCTCACTGCCCCCTGTCTCGCCCCCTTCAAGCATCGCAAATGGGAAACTTGTCCATTTACCTGGTAGAGTAGGTGTGTGTGTATATAAGGTAGGCCCTCATGGGAGTCAGGATGCGGATGCGGGTCTTGGTGCTGTTGGGATGCGTGTGGAGGTTGGTTTTGAATTGTAGGGGTGGTGGGTTCTCGTGTCTCGTTATATCCTCAGTTCCATACCCGTCTCTTATAAGGGGGAGTGCCGTGCCCCATGAATGCGCGGAGAAGCTCGGAGAGGATGGTAAAAAGAGGGGTGGGGTGCGTTGGAAGGTGGATGGGTGTAGGTGTTTGGGGTGAGTGTATCGGCGGTGGTTGTGGAGTGGGCATTGAATGTGATGGTGGGAGGGTTGGGTTGAGGGCGTTCGATTAGATGCCCACGAAGGTTAAGGAAGGCGTTTGTGTAAGCATTGATGTCGTAGGAGGGTAGAAAAGGTAGAAAGAAGCTGGGGCGTCGAAGGGGGGGATGGGGTTCAATGTGGAGGGGAACATGGCGGCATGCACACAAAGGACGTAGAGTGGGCATGGTGTCCCATAAAGACCGTCCACCAAGGGCAGGCGGCGAGGTAGATCTCAAAGGTGGTAACTTGTGCGTTGGAGGTAGGAAGCGGGTATGTAGAGACGGAAACGGGTGTTAGAGGGGAAACGGGCGCGTGCTTCGGATGCGACGAGGGCTTCGGTGATATTTATGCCATAGCGGCAGAGTCTACAAGTTGTCCATGTCAACTCTTGACACGCTGATGTTGACCTCTCGATCCCGGTGTGGTAGTCGAACAAGTTCAGTTGGGCGACGTTTACTTTCTTCTCCTCCGCCTCCACAGTCATCTCTGAACGTGATGATAAGGGTTGCGCGTACACAGAGCCTTCCCTGTACGCGCTAGCTAGCTAGCAAAGTCATGTAAGCATGGCTGTGACCGTCAGTAAGAACGTTAAGAAGCGAGTGAATAAACCCAGCCAGTGGTGAACGTTCCCAGTCAAAAGTGGAAAATCTACTTACAGAGATCGTATAAATGTATTTAGCTAGAATCGTGTCACGTAGTAGGGGGCAAAACTTTAATTTTGCCGGTTATAACCGGCAAAACGGGTGGCAAAACTCTAGGCGCTATGTGTCCGACATTCCTAATGATGGCATCAATGTTGCCTCGTCCCATCTGTCACCCTCGCCATTGTAATTAACCACCTCAACCTCAGCTAGAACAGTCTGTGGTATTACTCCTTGTTCGACCTCGATCCAACTCGTCAAAATCAAAGCATTTCCCTCGAGTACTTCAATGTAATGCTCTGAACTTCTTCTGTCCTTTTCAACTCTTCGAGAGCTGCAAATTCAGCAGCAATATCGTCAGGTGAGACACTCTCTGGACCAGCAAGAAGGTCATCTGCATCGAGAGACTTGGTCGAGAGCGGAGGTGCCCACGCGAAGGATGCTTCAAGATCCTGTGCAGTCTCGACAGCAGTGCCAACCTCTTCACGAGTGTGCATGCGACGACGGGTGGACTTCCCAGCCTCTGCAGTTTTTACGGCGCTGTCACGGTGGTATCGAAGGTTCGCACGAATTTTGTCGAGGTCGTGTGGATTGTGTTGTGCCGAAGTCAGAGAATGTGCACTCTACTTCACCTGCATGCCTTACGATTGAGATGATTGTCACAGAGACGGCCTTGAGTGGGTGGATTTCGCAATTGATTGGAAGGTTTTTCCATCGAGAAAGGCCGTCCGCTTAACCGCCAGCGAACGGTGTTAGTGACTGATTATAAGCCTGCAGGTCATCCGAGAGTTTTCTCGTCCCATTTCCAGCGTTTTGCAATGTCAAGTGCGACCTTCACCATGAATTCGAATGACCTGTCATTGGCTACCTGCATAACAGCAAGTTTCCAACACATTGGGTGAAGAAAGAGAGCGAGTGAGTGAACTTCCGTATTCATGGCGTGAAAGCGGTGGTTGAAAACAGATCTCGCATGCAGCCAAAAGCCAACATGGTAGCCCTGTTCGCAAGTCAACTGGGACATTTTCTTGGCGCAGCGAAGAAGTTCTAGCATGCAGTCAGCCAGCGAGGCTTGGCGTGACTCAACATTGCCAATCGCATCGACAATAAACTTGACTGTTGTCACAATCTACTCAAGAGGTCTCCAGTAGGGGGGGGGGGTCATTTATTACCGTGTTTATAACCTCAAATGCAACAGGAGCTAGACCATTGGTTTCCTCTGTCCTGTCATGTTCTCAAGTGCGAGAAATACAGGAGGGTCAACTGCAAGTGAGCCATACAGGCTCCTCCGTAGCAGATCCTCCCATCCATCCAGGAGAAGGGTAAGACACTTTTGTTCCTTCAGTCGGTTTATCTCCTCTTGTTGGACACGGACAGCTTCTCCGTTGAGCAGATGACAAGATGGCACGTAAGGGATGGTATATGATATGACGGGCGGACTAGGTTGATGAACTCGTGGAAAAACACATCGTCACCAACACGGAAGGGAATGTTAGCATGAATGAGAAAGCTATGACTCTCAAAGTTGGATGACACGACACACCGGAGCAGCTTTGCATTTGCTAGACTATTTTGTTCTGTACTCAAGGGTTGAAATTTTGAAACGTTGATCAATACTATATTCATCCAAGTTTGAAATCTGAAGCTTTGCGATTCTTGATGGGAATCACGGGAACTTCCAGAAGCAGATTGAAAATTCGAAGCAGCCAAAGTAAGAATAGCATTTCATTTTCATAGCGCTTTCGGTAAGTTGTTGTCACGACCTCACCTCAGTGTTGCCGCACTGTTTGCATTTCCAGTTATAACGATGCGGGCAGCGGGCTGTTGTCAACTCGTTCCAGGCGCTCGAAATTGTCATTGATCAGTTATGCATATGCGAGGGGGCGCCCTCCAGCATGCACCATCTTACTTTAGGGACGTGTTCTCTTGAATTCAAACTGTGTTATCAGAGATATAAATTACATCTCCGCAAGAGTCTCGGATACCAGTTCTGCCAAGTTCCGCACCGTGAGTTCTGCCGATGACCAGGCACAACCAGTCCTGCCAACAACACTAATTGATTCGATTCAGTACCTGCCACCTCTACTGCTGGAGCTTTCCATTACAGCACTTCTCGAGAAGGCGACTCTCCGGACGCAGATGATATATTTCCAGATCAGAACAGCAATGTCTTCTTCGTGGAGAAGCTTCTGACATCGTTTGACCGTTCCCAACTCGTCAAGGCCGTGAGTTATTATCTCGGATTGCTACTGACTCTTTTTATCAGGCGAATGCGACTGTTATTGCGTCGCTTCCCACAGCCTAGCCGCAGCACTCGTGACTACGACCGCACAACCAACTATGTGAGACTTCCAAACGCTTGTTGTGTCCTTTGCAGTATTATTGCATTGTCACGGTTTCTTCACCTTCACTCACACTTATGTGCACTACTGCTTTGTTGCTTTCTATTTTCAGGTTCTCGTACTCACACAATGTCCGTTCGCCCGTCACATACCATCCTGTAGCTCGTACTGTACATTGTCAAATTCTGTTAATCATAATATCGCATAAGATTGCACTGTATCCTTGTACCAGATTGAGCACATGTAGAAGAAAGAAACTACGAGGATATTGTCAGCGTTGAACGGCTCGATTCCTCAAGATTCTTTCGATCTACAATCCACAATGCGACTGCATTTTTTCCAAGGATATTGGTGGATCTAGATCTCGTTGTCCCTATTTTCGTATACTTTCCACTTGGCAAGTTGCAGGTTTTGACGGGTTGAATTCTCAGCCATAACCGTAATACATTTTCGAAGTCATTTGTTTTTGTCCAATACGGTCCCCTATACACCTTACTTCACAAGGTAACAAGGTTTTATCCGCACTTCGTCCATCAGGCCCCTATTGAGAGACTCTGGTTATGCTACCTGTATTGGACATCAACCGACAACGCACTGTAGCTTGAAGTTTCACTTTTTCTTTCGTTTGGACCTTGCGCTCGCCAACTTCAACATACTTACTATATATGGTAACTCCAAACTCATTCGTCTCGTTTTCCATCTTTCCCCCAGTCTGTTCGAACTACTCGACTGGGGACTTATGAAGTCGTTATCTGTTTAGACCCATGCCGTCTTTTAAAAACCTGGCCCTGAACTAAGACACAAAGCGGTTGGTCCACCTGTCTGATTGGCAAACTTGCCATATGGGTCACGAACGTTTCAAGTCACACGTATCAAGAAGCAGGGCTGGACGTGAACTCGGCGACCCTGCGTGTCCGTCCGACGAGTTGTCCTTCTCGTATAACATTGGTCTTGCCTAATGGGAGTCGCACCTATGACTCCCACTTAGCGACGGTAATTACAGGCAATAACACATGGGTATCGCACCTATATGATAAGAATCCGGGCCATTGTCTTATAGGTGCGATACCCGTGCGTTATCGCCTGTAATTACTGTTGTTAAGTGGGAGTCACAGGTGGGGAAATGGTGGTTGAAAAAACTTCAATATCCGCTTTTGCCAATCCGAGCGAGACAGACATCCGCTGGCACAGAAAATTCATTATAAAGACTGACGATCTTGCAACTATATGTTCCTCATCTCAACGTTCACAATCTGAATCCGACAACCCCTATTATGTCTCTCACTGTCACTGTCACCCACACGACCACTCCTGACTCCCACACGACCACTCCTGACTCCCACACGACCACTGACTCCCACACGACCACTCCTGACTCCGAGCCCTCACAATTCATTTTACCTGATCTCATCAATCAATTCCAGTATCCCTTCCGAAAGAGCCCTCACAGTTATACGGTGACCCGCGCATCTGCTCGATGGCTTGCTGATGTAGCGAAACTTGTGGAGCCCGAGATCAGGGGGTATATTGAGATGGACACAGGCACATTTGTTGCCCTGATCTATCCTGACGCAGATGTTTTCCATCTCCAAGTCTGCGCTGAATCCATTAACTGGGCATTCGTTATAGACGACTCGATGGAGTGTGGTGTTGTCACTCCACAGGAAGCGCTTGAATCCTGTATTCCTGCACTCCGCGATCCCATCAATTTTGAGACGGATCTGCTTGCTGCAAAGATGTGCAAATCGTACGACTTTCTTTTTACATCGCATACACTCTTTCTGAAAGTCGTTATGCGGTTAGGTTTGCCAACCGCTTTAATGAGAATGCCGGCCCTGGCTGCAGAGAGCGGTATATCCACGGAAAGGAGTTGTACTTCACTGCTGTGGCTAAGCAGCTGGAAGACCGCGCCAATGGAACTACGTATGATCTAGAATCTTACATTGTCCAGAGGCGAGGTATAGTAGGGATGAAGCCCTACTTTGCCCTCATCGAATTCGTGTCTGGAATTGATCTTCCCGACGAAGTTGTAGCGCATCCGGTTTTCGACGCCATAGATTGCGCGGCTACCGATCATGTTGGTTGGGCCAATGTAATTCTGTTTTGTCGTTGAACGCTGGGGTGCCGCTGACATTACCCCCAACAGGATATTTTCTCGTACAACAAGGAGCAATCTACCGGTGGCGCACCCTGGGAAAACCTAGTTGCCGTGCTCATGCACGTTCGAGGACTAGACGTGCAAAGCGCCATAGACTGCGCTGGCCAGATGTGCAAAGATGCCATCCAGCGCTTTGAATCAAACCGTGCCTCCCTCCCCTCATGGGGAGAAGAGGTTGACAGGGTAGTGGATATCTACGTCGAAGGGCTGAAGAGGTGGATGGTCGGCTCACTTTACTGGCACTTGAGTTGTGTCCGCTATGTTGGCAATGATCTACATACTGTCCAGCGGGACCGAATCGTCAGGCTGCTTCCCAAAAGGCCTTTGGCTTCTGGAGGTGAGATCGGTTTTACTTCTTTCATGCACTGCGCAATTCTTACAGCTGGCTTGTAGAACATTAATACACGATTCACGTCTCACACAGACCTGAATGTTATGCTTCGGTTGCATAATGTGACATCCCGCCTTCCTTGCTTTGGCCTTCGTGGTTTCAACTTCGCGTTCAGCTCCATGCGGGTAACACTTCCCGTCCGTCTTTTGTATCACCACTGTGTATACCTAGAAGAGTCCTATATCCTTGTACGAATCAAAGGCAGGCGTGCTATTTGAAATTCCAGATCGACTAATAAAATGATTAACGATTTTCAACAACATCACGGTTATCGCATCACCCAAGATTTTATTCTCACCTTTGAGAACGCGAGATCAACAAGTTCATCGATCCTACCGATTTTTGTGATCCCACGTGAGCGTCGTTGACTCGTAATTGGCTTTTGTAGGAGGTGCGCCTCCGTCAGTTGGATTACAAGTGTCGTGTCGACCCGGTCTGAGAGGCTGAGGATTCAGCGGATGAAGACTCGGAGGGGGAGGGAGAAGGGTTGGTTGATGAAAAGGAGGGCGATCCAAAGATTGATGAAGATGAGGGCGGTCGAACTGAGCACGAAGACGCAAAGGAGGATGACACGAAGACTGATGAACCAGAGTCAAGTCACTATGAAGACGAAAATGATGATCCAAAGACTGACGAGAAAGACGATACAACTCACTACGAAGATAAAAAGGACGATGATACAATGACTGATGAAGAAGAATCAACTTATTATGAAGACGAAAGGAGGACGGCTTAAAGACTGACGAAGACGAGGGCGATCCAGCTCGCTTTGAAGACGAAAAAGACGACGACTCAAAGACTAATGAAGATCAGGGCAATGCAAGTCACTACGAAGATGAAAAAGACGATGATAACAAGACTGACGAACACGAGGCCATCACCAATGACCATCATGAAGATGCAAAGGAGGACGAAGATGAGGGCTATACAAGCCACGATGATGAAGATGGTGTTTAAAGATGCCGATAATGAATTTGAAGTCAAGTACGATGCAGAGGTGGTGATGGCCATCTCCGTTTGTTCAGACGATCTCGTCAGCTTCCAAGCACGACCTACGCAAGCGCAAATGGACATGATGACGACGTTGCTTGGTCAATTGCCTCAGTGGTGGGTGAGCTATAGGGACATTTAAATGTACCCCGGTTGTGAGTCAATGTGCAGGAACATAACCTTAATTACTTACAAGCTGCCATTTCCGAGTTGCATTTTGTCACCCCGCTTCGTTACAAAAGTACCTTCGCATTGTCCAACCATACATGAAATAAATTATGTGCCTCCCTTGGATATCGTGCGGAAGGCTACTTGGTAATTGGAGTCGTGTGTCTGCTTCGATCGGAAGTGTAATGACGATTTCAAAGTCGTTTGGCTCGTCCATGTACCTAAATGTGTGAAGAACTGAATTGGGACGATTGATCTTGATATGAGCACTACGTGTATTGGACGCAGCATCGACATGCACGGACGATAATCGAATTGGCTTCGAACATATTCTCTGAGGATATGCAAGCACTCCGTATCAGAGACCGTATATGGTCGCGAATTAGTCAGTATCTCAACGAACATTTAAGCACCAAGTTCGATGCCAGCCTGTAGACGATTTGACTGTGCTGTACTATTTCATTTGCCAGATCTATGATGGAGCTGATCAGTGCATTAGGCGCATGGCTTGAATATTGGCCAAATAACTCACCGATGCGCAGCGAATAATTTCACTAGATGTAAGAAAGCTCAGAGGGCACCGCGGATGCATTCAAGTTACATAATCTGTTCGTAGCACAGCCACAGACCGGCATGATGAGGCCCAGGTTGGTTTTCCTTCCATGCGACCGTCATAAACTTGCACGACAGTGAGACTAGTGGTCTCGTATCCTGCTTGCCAACCGAAGTCCTGTGCCATATTTTTATTTACGCTCTCCCCGAAACCGTCTGCGGTACAAATTATCTATAACATGGAAAAACTTGCAGTGGTTCCTCTGCTATGACTCTGGCAGGACAGATCAGGTCGGGAGTGCCAAGGGTCCTGGCTCGTAGTCGGTAGTCCTGCGGCGTGTCGTAGTCGGTCCTCGATAGATAGAGCCGCCTCTTCCCGCCATAGAGGTTTGGCCTGGGTTTCCCTTGCAGTCCGTGCCCGTTCCAATGTCATAGCGGCGGAGTCTACAAGGCATGAGCGGTATGTAACATAAATAAAATTAGGAGACTGACAGAATTTCTACTCGTTGTTGACTGGTTAACTTCCAGATCCTGGTGTGGAGTGGGTGTGTAGTCGAACGAGTTTGGTTGGGAGAAGGTGGCTGGGGTTGTGTTAGATGGTGGTATTATTGAAGGAGAGCTCAGAGAACACGCCTTGTTATGGGTATCTGTTGGATTGGTTGTATTTGTTAAGGTATACGCTGTATTTGTCGTCTTTGGAGGGAGAAAAGCCCGATTGGGGATGAATTCGTGAGAGAAGTATGTAGAAAAGGAGGTGGGATTTGGAGGGAATTCGGGTAAATGATCTAATGGGATTGAAGCGAAGAGTCAAAGTCGAGTAGCGTGAATGACTTGACCTGGCTCCGTCGACGGCTTTCACTCCGTGGTCACGACTTGTTTTGTGCGGCTGTCGACGTCGTTAACATATACGTGTGCTGCTCGTGGGCCCTGCGATTTGTCTGCTTAAAGAAATATATATCTTAATTGACCACAAATAAATCCTGGCCAGCACATACACACACATCTGAAAATCGATGCATTGGCAATTTGCGCCTAGACGATTCGGAAATGCACTCAAGGCTCTGGGATTTCACACCGAAGCTAGAACTTGGCCAGAACATATTGATATCATGTGCGTACACAAATGTGTCTCGGAATATCATACTACAAGTGATTGCTGCTGTGGTAGCTACTCAGTAGCTATCATCTATCCTCAAGCACGAATACATCACCCTCCAATTTGTCCCTCAACTGGCATATGAACGTATTGCTTATTTAAGCATTTCTCCACAACCTGATGTCGTGACTCGTGTACTTATACTGTTCAGGACTGGTCCAATGCGCAAATGCAGGCTGAGGAAGGTGTTGCTTAGTGGGCGGATGTAGTTGGAGTTGGTCTTGCGAGAGCCAGTGATATGACTTTGTTCAGGGTGTTGGAGTGGGGCAGGATGGAGGTTCGTATTAGATATTTTACGGGATCGCTCAATATGTCTAGGTGCTACCGCATCTTCCTTTAATCAAGCCTTAGGCCTGTAGATCGTGCGACGTTATCGAGTCGAAACGTTGCTCGAGGAACTATCAGATCCGCCGATTAGATATCGATGTCATCTCGTCAGATTCTTGATCATGTATGATAAGAGGTTCGTAACCCTCTATTACGGAATCGAGAACATTAACCTCTTCCAAGTACTGGCGGCCGTCCCATCAGTATGCAGTAGGACATCAACCTTACGAGTAAGATGCATGGGACCGTGACACTTCTCAACGCCTTCGTGGGGTAAGGTCCATGAGCCTGACTCAAGGCCTGGCATGTCAGTAGCTCAGACTGCCACATGCATCTGTCAACCGATTACTCACAGTGGTGCGAACGTGCTCAGAATAGGTATGCGCGAGGAGGCACGAGGGCGGTGAACTTCAACTCAAGAATGACCCTTACCAAGCGGTGGTTGAGGTCTTTGCCACTCATGTAATTGATGCATGCAAGGACTTGTGTTTCCCACCTTGTTATCTACTTTGGAATGTTAACAGGGCACTACACATTCAAGATTCACCGGTGATTTTATAACATCGTGATTATATTGAAGGTTAATGAGGGTTGCTATCAGATACTCGCTTATCAGGTCTGGGACGCAGATTCAAAAATAACATTGCGGATGCATTCTAAACTTGGAGAGGGACCTTCTAGTACACGGCGAAATGGATATGCATCTGGCTCGTGGGGTGCATCAGTTGACTCGGTAGGCTGCCAGATGCATCTATCAGGAAAAAGTGGTAATAGCGTACGTTCAGTGCTAGCAGACGTGGTGGCATAGTGTTCCGCAAGGAGTTCCAGGTATCTTGCTCTTCGACCCGGAAGCGCCACACTTGAGGCCGTCAGGATTCTACGTACCATTCTTCCATTCCCCAGCCCATAGCACTCAGGGTCCCATCGTAGATGTCTACAACTTGAAACAATTTCGCCATCTGCGCCTCCATTTCGCACTTAATTATTGCACAGTTGACTTGATCTCCACTCGCAGCTCGCCGAATCTGAGTTTGTCGATGTTGCAGACGTTGGAATGGGGCACGGGGTTTGCCGGTTTGTCAGCAGCTAGCATGACACACGGATGTAGTAGCTAGGGAGCATCCGAGGCCGGCACCACTCCAACGTCCCTATTGCCTGTCAAAAAAGCAGTGACTAGGATTTCACACGCGGGTGAACCAGTGCTTGATTTTTTGTTACTATCTTGATATGTCGAGGGCAATGGAAATGAAGGGGAAGATCAAGTGATGCCCGAGATGAGTACTTAAAGCTCGCAACACTTACCAAGCTGAAGGTCTCGGCGATCGAAGTATTTTAGATGGTAGGTCAAATGATCGTTGCCACTTTATAAACATCAGAATTTCTACAGGACAACCTGCACCATTTAGGCACTACAGGAGATACTAATCTCAGGCTTGTCCTGTGCAATTCCTCGGCAACCCATCCATCCTGATAACCCAATTCGGTACCGTGCTCCCCTCGTTGGGGGTGGGATTCCAGGAGAAGAGCCGCCTTCGTAACGAATGTGGATTCTCAAGTTTCTGACTTGGATTATATTGTTTTTGGGATTGGTGAGGGCGAACATGATAATTTTGCAATCAGTTGTAATATTGACGATGACATCCTACCTGTCCAGACTAATATGTAATTCTATAGAGCTCGTTGGTTCCCGAACTTCACCAGATTATTGAGGTGCTTTACAGTTACCAGTTTCGTTAAGCTTTGATGAATTGAACCACTGGGGTGTGAGTCACACCGGAATTAATTCGGTTCGAACTGTGTGGAGCCGAGCTGGTTAAAGCTCGCTTGCTCACGAGTTCCATTGCTCTGACGGAGTCAGACCAACAAAACTGATAACAGTGCCTGGTATATGGGGGTCACAAGTGAGTGGAAAATCAAACAGTAACCACTGAACATTGATTATCCATAGTCCTGACAGGTCCCGTTGAAATGGACACGACCGTCTTCCTTCTCCTAGGGTCAGCCTGGGGGGAGGCCCAGGCTATGTTACCTGGCGGCCGCATCAGAGGACTGGTGAGAAAGTTACATACCATTAATATGTGTATAACATGACCTTTATTTCCGTCACTAAAAGCAATATAAAAGCATGGTGAGCCCCACGGTGGGGCTCACCATGCTTTTATATTGCTTTTAGTGACGGAAATAAAGGTCATGCATCAACGTAACGCACCCTAGGACTCAGATCGCTTCGATATTTTCTCCCATAACACGGATCCGAGCGAGACAGACATCCACTGGCACTAAAAATTCGCTATAAAGACTGACGATCTTGCGCTTACATTTTCTTCTTTTCAACGGTCACAATATGAATCCGACGACCCCTCAGGCTATTATGTTTCCCACTGTCACCCACACGACCACTCCTGACTCCGAGCCCTCACAATTCATTTTACCTGACCTCATGAATGATTGCAACTATCCCTTGCGAAAGAACCCTCACTGTTATGCGATATCCCGCGCATCTGATCAATGGCTTCCTGACGTGGCGCAGCTTGTAGAGCCTGAGATCAGGGGGTATCTTGATATGGACACAGGCACATTAGTCGCCGTCTGTTATCCTGGTGCAGATGCTTTCCATCTGCAAGTCTGCGTTGAATCCATCAACTGGGCATTCATCATGGATGACCGGATGGAGTGTGGTGTCATCGATGGACGGGGAGCACTTGAATCCTGTATTTCTGCATTGCGCGATCCCATCAATTTTGACACGGAACAGCTTGGTGCAAAGATGTGCAAATCGTACAACTATTTTTTCCATCGCATACACTCTTTCTAAAAGTCGTTATTCCGCTAGGTTTTTCAGCCGCTTCAGGAAAACTGCCGGCCCCGGCTGCACAGAGCGGTTTAGTCCACAGAACCGAATTGTTCCTGGCCGCTGTGGCTAAGCAGGTGGACGACCGTGCCAAAGGAAATATGTATCATCTGGAATCTTACACCACCCTGAGGCGAGATCTAGTCGGGGTTAAGCCCTGCTTTGCCCTCATCGAATTCGTAGCTGGTATTGACCTTCCCGACGAAGTCGTGTCGCATCCAGTTGTCAAGGCCTTGGAGGACGCGACCAACGATCATGTTGCTTGGGCTGACGTAATTCTGTTCTGTCATTGAACGCTGGGGTGCCACTGACATTACTGCCGACAGGATATTTTGTCATACAACAAGGAGCAATCTCGTGGTGACGAACACTGGGAAAACATAGTTGCTGTGCTCATGCACGATCGAGGACTAGACCTGCAAAGCGCCATGGACTATGCTGGCCAGATGTGCAAAGATGCCATCCGGCGCTTTGAATCAAACCGTTCTATCCTCCCTTCGTGGGGAGAAGAGGTTGACAGGCAGGTGGCTATCTACGTCGAAGGGCTGCAGAACTGGATGATCGGATCACTTCACTGGCATTTTGATACCGTCCGCTATTTTGGCAAGGATGGACATGCTGTCAAGCGGGACCGAATCGTCAAGCTTCTTCCCAAGAGGTCCTCGTAGAGCCTAGCACTTAGTGCATGGCTTCCAGAAGTGAGATTAATTTCACTTCTTTTATGCACTACGCAATTCTTATGACTAGCTTAGTAGAACATTGGTACATGAATCACGTCTCACGTAGACTTGAAAGTTTTTCTTCGGTTGCATGATACGTGACATCCCGCCTTCCTTTGTCTTTCGTGGTTTCTACTTCTCATTCAGCTCCTTGCGTGCAACACTTCCCGTCCGTCTTTTGTATCACCATTATATGTACATTGGATAGTCTCGTATCCTCGCACAAATCAGATTTATGCCAGAATCGATTTGAAGATCAGCGTGATATTTGAAAATTCAGGATTATGACAGCTACTATCAAATATAACGAGGTAATGAAAATTAGCGGACCCAACGAGCCAAATCTCTAAATTTCTGCAGAAGAGCTCGTGATGAACTTAGATTCTTGGTTGCACCTTTGCGAACCATAGAAGTTCATTCAGGACGTTCCCGTAGGTCGTGATGTACTGCGCTGGGCGGCTGGTGTGCACGCCACCGAGGAAAACAACCGTTCTGAGTCCCCGGAAGTATTACTGCACAGCACTCGCCTTTGACGAAACGATCGTGATTTCAAAGCTTCCGTACATCCCGAATCCCGATCTAGCATCGACCACGAGAGCCACAAGTTGACATTCGAACAATTGTCGGTCTTATTCAAAGAATCTGTCCAGAGCCTCAAGTTCCAGGTTCGAACCTACAACACCATTTTAAATCGCGAACAATATTACGGTTATCGCATCATCCAAGATTTCATTCTCACCTTCGAGAACGAGATCAAGAAGTTCATCGATCCCGCCGATTTTTGTGATCCCACGTGCGCGTCGTTGACTCGTAATTGACTTTTGAAGGAGTTGCGCCTCCGTCAGCTGGGTCACAAGGGCTGTGTCGACCCGGTATTGGAGCCTGAGGATTTTGGGGATGAAGACTCGGAGGGGGAGGGAGAAGGGTTTGCTGATGAAAAGGAAGACGATACAAAAGACTGACGAAGATGTGGACGGTCCAATCAACCACGAAGACACAAAGGAGGATAAGACGAAGAGTGATGAAGAAGAATTGAGTAACCATGAAGACGAAGATGATGATCCAAAGACTGATGAAGAAGGCGATATAACTCACTACAAAGATGAAAAAGACCACGATGCAAAGACTGATGAAGAATAATCAACTTACTATGAAGACGAAAGGAGGATGACCTAAAGACTGACGAAGGCGAGGGCGATCCAGCTCGCTTTGAAGACGAAAAAGACGACTCAAAGACTAATGAAGATCAAGGCGATGCAAATCACTACGAAGACGAAAAAGACGACGACAGCAAAACTTGCGAACACGAGGCCATCACCAATGACCATCATGAAGATGCAAAGGAGGATGAAGATGAGGGCTATACAAGCCACGATGATGGAGACGAAACCTCGGTGTTCCGAGATGCCGATAATGAATTTGAAGTCAAGTACGATGCAGAAGAGATGGTGGTGGTCATCTCCGTTTGTTCAGATGATCCCGTCAGCTTCCAAGCACGACCTACACAAACGCAAATGGACATGATGACGACGTTGCTTGGTCAATTGCCTCAGTGGGTGAGCTATAGGACATCTAAATGTACCCCGGTTGTGAGTCAATGTTACTTACAAGCTGCCATTTCCGAGTTGCATTTCGTCACCCCGCTTCGTTACAAAAGTACCTTCGCATTGTCTCACACATGAGATAAAGTATGTGCCTCCCGTGGATATCGTGCGGAAGACTATTTGGTACTTGGAGCCGTGTATCCGCTTTGATCGGAAGTGTAATGACGATTTCAAGGTCGTTTGGCTGGTCCATTAATTATACCTAAATGTGTGAAGAACTGTATTGGGACGACGTGCACTGACGACAATCGAGTTGGCTTCGAACAAGGTCGTAAAATCTCTGAGGATATGCAAGCACTCTGTATAAGAGACAGTATGCAGCGGCCAGCCGCGAATTAGTCAGTACCTCAATGAACCTTTTGAGCACCAAGTTCGATAATGCTAGGTAGAGGATTTGACTGTACTATTTTGTTTGCCAAATCTATGATGGGGTACATCAGTGCATTAGGCGCATAGCTTGAATATTGGCCAGATAACTCACCAATGCACAGCGAATAATTTCACTACATGAAAGAAAGCACGGCACCACGGATGCATTCAAGTTTTCATGGCACAGCCACAGACCGGATGCTGATGAGGCCCTGGTTTTCCTTCCACACGACTTCCACGACAGTGAGACTAGTAGTCTCGTATCTTGCTTGCCAACCGAAGTCCTGTGCCTATTTTTATTTACACACTCCCCGAAACCGCCTGCACGTTGCTCAAATCAAATTCACCTCCTGTTCTGCTCACCAGAGTGTGCCGTCGATTGAGGGAGGTTTCCGTGGATATGCCCTCGTTGTGGTGCAGAATTCGACTGGAAAAACTTGCAGTAGCGGTGGTTCTTCTGTTATGATTCATGGCTCAAGCGCACGCGAGGATATCCCCTTTCCCTGGAAGTTACCATGCGGCGCGAACAAGAGTCCATCACTCTAACTTACAGCCTTACATCTATCAAATCTCCTCTCTCAATGTCATATTGTGTCGTCCTGTCGCACTGGACACATTGTTAAACAACCTCCCGGCAGCCCTGGAGCTTCGAATTGGCCCAATCTATGAGTATATTCCTTTTATGGGAGAATCGGAGCACTATACACTACAATCTATCTCACCCATCAGATGCATCATCTCCCAGCTCTTCACTCTACGCACCCCTCGAGCTCAAAGGAATAAATTGTGTTGCCTCCGACCGCATACTTCTGTCCTCAACCCCGTATGGGTCCGCCTGTCAAATCTGACAATCGAAAGAGGCCAGCAACACATTGTAATGTGCTTGCTCAATGCACTCACTCTCCCTAATTTACGTCTGCTTAATGTTGGCTGGAAATTTTGGACTGGTGAAGAGTTGAAAGATGTTGGGAGTGGTACGGTCGGATGGGCTATTGGAATCTGGAGGTTCTGGTCAGGTTGACCACTATGAGCAGGATACTTTGTGTCTTTGAATGACCTGTGTGACTCGTTATTACGTACTGTGTTTGCCGTGAAGGGATAATTTCCCGTTATCCATGATCCGTCCTGTGCGAAGCAATGATCGACCTCCCCACACGGAAGACGTAATCAGTGAAACTTACTGCCAAGTTTGCCTTGTTGTCGTTCCGAGCGCAAGTCAAAACCAGGATGTGCCACACATCGAACACAGCACAGTCAAAAAAAAATCCGTAAAATTGCACGTACAACACACTCATGAAATAAAAACGACCAGTCACGACATAATATATATATACCATTATGAACTCTCCACGATCCAAAATTTGAATGAAAACAATGACAAGAGTTTGTCGATAACAAGATGGACGCGGATGTGGCTTGTCTCATAGACGGGAAGGTCCCGAGTCTAGTGACGTGGACGTAGTAACATGCGAATTTGAGTGGAGTTGTATCTAACATGCGGGGTGGCGCTCATATTACCAACGCGGGTTAAAACAACGTTGGCGAATGCGAGTTATGCGTAGATGACGACCGTGGCTGTGGCGATATATGTGCAAATGACGATCGTGTTGTGCGTATATGCAAGCGGGTGGGTACAAGGATGTCGGTAAATGGATATGCATGTTTAACAGTGCATATGGGAGGATGTTGGCACCATGTGGAAGACGTACAACAGCGAGGTGGCAGCGTACATCGAGGTAGCAGCATACAACAACGAGGTGGTAGCGTACAACGAGGGCAGGGGCACAACGAGGTACAAAGCCCATGTGGGAATAATCGATCAATCTGATACAGCGGTTGAGGTGAGACGGGCCTAACGCGCCCGGTCCGGCGATGGCTAGTCATGCGCACGTATATGGCGCACGAGCTCGAAGCTTCTGATGAGCTTCAAACGAGCACACAGGCTCGCTGGTATAACCAAAAATCCTATAATCCTGATACGGATCAGGAGAAATTATCGCTACATTGATATTGAGTTGAGTCGTGGGTATGGGGGGATGGTAGGTTTTGGGGCAGGTGACGCGGTGCGGGGTGCGGTGGTGTGTGATAGAGTGACCAGGTGTGGCAATGAGGTGAATGTGATGAGGTGAATAAGACGAAGAGGTGAATGCAAGTACAACAAGGGAAATGATAAAAGAGGCGGCCGCGTGAGAGCTCCAATCCAGCGAACGACGACCAGCGCAATTTACCCAAGCGCAAACCTCAGCGTACTGTCCGCTTCTCCAATGGAAACAGGTTGCGAAGCACCCAGGCCCATTCCTTGCCCACCCGCACCCATGCTCATGCCCATGCCTGCACCTCCCATACCATGATTCTGTGCCCCGATCCCAACCCCATCCTGTGCCCCTACCATACCCTGCGCCCCTCCCAGAATGCTCATATTCATACTCTGCGGTACACCATCACCACCCATGCCCTCACTGCCCCCCTGCGCACCTTGCGCTCCAAGTTCATACCACCCGGTGCCTCCCGTCCCATCCCCTTCAAGCATCGCGAATAGGAAACTTGTCCATTCGCCTGGTACAGAGTGGGCGTGAGTGTGTGTATGAGGTGGGTCTTCGTGGGGGTTGGGATGCGGATGCGGTTCTTCGTGTTGTTGCGGTGCGTGCGGGGGTTGGTGCTCGGTGAGTTGTAGGGGTGGTGGGTTCTCGTGCCTCGCTATATCCTCTTTACGCAGCTGCTCCATACCCGTACCCAAGCTCTCTCCACATGCATAGGCTGCCCATGATGCAGATGCATATGATTTTCCCCATGTCCTAAACTCAACCGTCTCCTCTCTCCACCCTTTCCATACACCTGCACACACCCCCACCTCCCCCACTCGCTCAGCCGTCTCCTATCAGGAGGAGTGCCACGCCCCATGAATGCGCGGGGAGGCTCGGAGAGGATGGTAACGTGGAGAGAGGAAAGGGGTGGAGTGCGTGGGAAGGTAGGCGGGTGTATTTGTGGCGGTGTCGAGGATGGCGTTTGGGGTGAGTGTATTGGCGGTGGTGTTTGGGGGGTGGACGTTGGATGTAATGGTGGGGAGGTTGGTGTTGAGAGTGTTTGATTAGACGCGGGCGTTAAAGAAGGCGTTTGTGTAGGCGTTGATGTCGTGGGAGGAGTTGAGGGAGCAGGAAGTCGCTGGGCCGTTGAAGGAGGAGATGGGGTTCGACGTGGAGGGGAACACGATGGGGACGCACATAAAGGGCGTGGAGTCGGCATTGTATCCAATAAAGACCGCCCACCAAGCGGAGGTGGGGAAGTAGATCTCGGAGGTGACGTGGCCTGTTTCTGCGGTGTCGGCGCTACTGACGCTACCGGCGGCAAAATCGATGGAACTGTCGGAACCGTAGGGGTCACAATCGCTGGGACACAAGGTGTCGCAATCCCCTTAGCACCTTCAACATCCATCAAAAACAAGCTGTCCTCGCCCTCCGCATCTTCTTCGTCATCATCATAATCGTCATCATAGTCGGCGCTAAGGTCACATTCATCCAAGTCCTCATCTTCATCCTCTTCGTCGTCCATATCAAAATCGACAGCTTCGAGTTCTGCGGACTTGTAGGTATAACTTGCACGTTCGAGGTAAGAAGCGGGTGTGTAGAGACGGAAACGGGTGTTGGAGGGGTGTGTGTTGGGAGAGGGGAAACGGGTGCGTGCTTCGGATGCGACGAGGGCTTTAATAGTGTCTATGCCATAGCGGCGGAGTCTACAAGGTGTGAGCGGTATGTAACAAAAATAAAATTAGGAGACTGACAGGAATTCTACTCGTTCCTGACATGCTAACTTCCAGATGTTGACTTCTCGATCACGGTGCGGAGCGGGTGTATAGTCGAACGAGTTTGGTTGGGAGAAGGTGGCTGGTGTTGTGTTAGATGGTGGTATTAATGAAGAAGAGAGCATACCTTGTTGGGGGTATCCGTTGGATTGGTTGTATCCATTGGTATACTCTTGGTTAGGGAATGTATTTGAAAAGGTATTGTCTTGGGAGGGAGAAAAGCTAGGTTGGGGGATGAACTCGTGAGAGAAGCCAGGGGGGAAGGAGGTAGGATTTGAGGGGAATGGATTTGACCCGAAAGGACCGGGTTGGGATGATCCGAAGGGGATGGCATTTGAAGAGAAGGGGTTCATATCTGTACCAGTGGGAAATGTGGCGTTTGACTGAAAGTCTGGAGAGTTGGTATAAGGTGGGTCATGTGGGGGGAATTCGGGTAAAGGATCTAATGGAATTAAAGAGTCAAGGTCGAGTGGCGTCGACAACTTGCTCTCTACTGGTTTGGGCTCCGTCGATGGCTCTGGCTCCGTCGACTCCGTCATCAACTTTGGTTCCGTGGTCGACTTGGATTCGTCATCCTTGGGCGCTAAAATACTGGGTTGATCGGTGAGTACGTTACGAAGTGATTCTTGAGTTGTAACTGGTTGTAGAGGTAGATCGACGATTGTGGGTGCAAGAGGTGGAATGTGGCGTGGCTTGGGCACGTTTTGAGCACGGGTTCTGGTTCGTACTTGGCGCATGCGTCGACGCACCTCCCCGACGTTACCATGCCCAATACTCGTATTATCATTCTCTTTACGTCTCTTTCTCCGATGATGTGCCTCTATATGAGGGAGTAGAAGACTGTCCGAGTCAAGCGCTAAACGCTGACGTTTGAGTGCTCTGAGTGCACGTGGGGTGAGCTCGTCATTCTCGCTGGTAGAATTATCTTCTTCTTCTTCTTCTTCTTCTATTATTTCAGGGTTATTCAAAGGACGTCGTTTGGTCGTGTGGTGATGGTGATGAGGGTGTTGTGCTATTCGGGTTGAACGGCGAAGGACGATGTCAACGGCAGCCATAGAACGAGCAAACAACGAGTCTGCAGCTCCGGTAAACAGAACAATTCGATCAGGAAATAGAAATTGCAAAATGAATCAAACAACAACAGAACCAGCGGGAACACTCACAAATCAACGGATCACGTAAGCGTGCACGGACCATATCACGTGAACTTCACGTGTAGTTGTTTATTCACTCGAGTCAGTGACTGTCAGTCTCGTTTATGGCGACATCTTCAGTCATTAGCCGTTTGACGCCTGTGCTCACAACGATCTACACTCGAGTCATACTCGTTTTATGGCGACATCTTAATCTGACCGAGGTCGATAGTTGTTTGACGCTTGTGCTCACAACGTTTGTCTATCAGGAAAGACTTTGGAATGAAAGGGGTGTTCCCATGTGACACAGAGCCGATCAGTCATCGGGTGAACCTTTGCGCTTGAGCCCCTTTTCTTGTTATAAACTAATTTTGGTTCCTATCAAGGACCTTCGCCAGCATATGTCCCCATCATGAATAGTCTCGCATCTAGCTTGCCAACTGAGGTCCTATGCAATATTTTCTTCCTCTCTCCCCCCTACACCGGCCACTTGACGCCCGAACCACAATCATCTCCTATGCTGCTTACCAGAATATGCCGTCGATGGAGAGAGATTTCTGAGGATATTCCCTCGTTGTGGTGCAAATGATCAATAAGACTCGACGAGACAAACATACAACAGTCGGTCTACTGCTATGACTCATGGCTGAAGCGCACACAAGGACATTGCCTCTCCCTAAAAATCGCATGCTTCAAATACAGCTGCTCCTCCTTACGATCCCTTCTTTAGCCTTACACCGATCAAATTTCCTCTCTCGATATCATGTTTGGCAACTTTGTCGAATACGAAATCGTGCTAAATGACCTTCCGGTACTTTAGGAGCTTCGAGTTGATATGCCGGTCATTCCTGGTATTCGCAGGTGCACTCTGCCCCATCTCTAAACTCTCCACTTTACGCACTCTTGAGTTCAAAGGAATGGCCGATTTCGACTTCGACTTCTTACCTGTTCTTAACCCCATATGGGCCCTCCTGTCAAATCTGACACTCGACTCATACGAGCAAGGCGCTGCAATGCGCTTGCTCCGTCTATCTCCCGACCTCTCCTCATTAACAAATATCACTCTTCGGCTTTGCATGTCGCCTAGAACCATCCACTCGCACTAACATCCAATCCTTGTCCATCAAAGCTAGCCAAGGTTGGTTTCGTATCTGTTCAAGGCAGGCTTTACGAGACCCCTCGGTTACTTTTCTTAATGTACTCACACTCCCCAATCTACGTGTGCTTGATGTTGGCACGAGATCCTGGACAGGTGAACAGCTGAGCGGTGTTAGGAGTGGTACGGTCGGAATGGCGATTAATATTGAAGCTTTAGTTAAAGATTGAACTTTTGGGATTGGAATAGTATGCAGGATGGATTTTGGTTTTGGATAACCTATACCCGCCACGTTTACGGTTTATGCTGTGTTTCTCGCAAAGGTATACTTTTTCGTTATCCATCATCCGTTCTGTGTAAAGTAATGGTCGACTCCCGCATGCGGAAGATGCAATGCACCCCAACATCTCCCACTCACTCACATCCATCCCTCAATGTTTAATATGGTACTAGTCTTCAATGACCCGAGGTGGTGGCCAATAATCAATTCCTTTTTTTTCAGCTATTGGATAGGTTCGTCGAATCGAGATGTCTCGATCTAACATTAACTTGCGATTTCACAGTTACCGCCGGCATCATTGTGGTATACGATTGGGGTGAGTACAACGGTGTTCGAAAACCGCTGATACCCTCATGGTATTTCCAGTGCTGACATTCGGACAAGAGGTAGGTCGATATTATCGCTAGAGCAGCCAACTCGCTAAGATGGTGTTATAGACTGGGTGAGTGACAGAGTCCTATATCAGAAGAAAAGCAATAGAATACTATGAATTTGGGGCAGAGGCTACGCTGGTCTTTCATGTCTGTGCTGTATCTCATTGTACGTATCTCATGCTATAGCATGGTTGGCAAGTTGTGCTGACTGCAAAATGTTCTAGATACGCTACATTGGAATACCATATTATGTGTATGTTTTCGAGGCCAACAAGTTGGTGCTGTGCTAATCAGCCGTCTCTCACGACCAGCATCATGGTTCTATGTCTCATATGCAGTGGCAAGCTGAAATTATTCGGAACGTCTGGCAATCAATCCAGTCCTGATGCCAATACTAACATACGAGAATCAGTATAAGTCACCCAGAAAACTGATTCCACGTCACAGTCGTACTGCGGCAGCGTTTAGCAATGCGACTGCAAAATATGAGTCAGATGTGTATCAGGGTCCTTGTAAATTTAATGCTCTGCTCAATGTTCATCCTGCTGAGCACGACCGTCAGAGTAAAGCGCTGAACGAGATACAGACATGCACGCATACATACACCCGTTGGTATCAGTCGCTCCTAGGGTAAGCAGGTGATCACTTTGAAAGTTTTTCCGTCACTTCGGGTAATAATATGTTACTGTTGTGCCAGGTAGTAGTACGTGTCTAAGCTCAGACGGCTGATAGACGAAACATTATACTCGCCCACGGAATACTTGGTCATCATCTGGACGCAAAGGAAGAAGAATAAGTGACCTTTATTCATGGAAGCCCAGATGGCTGATAGTACACGATCGCACCTGAGCGCGGGGAAAAAAATTGCAGACCCATCCGAGCTTATAGCGATAGACTAGCATGTCCATGCAAGGACTATCCTCTATCTGGGCAGAGGGAAAAATAAGTGAAAGTAATCGTAGTAGCCAGAGGGCTGATAGCATATCAGTCCTGTTATATATCATGCAGGGCCGACGCGAATCATCCATCTAGGGTAGACGAATGTTAATGGAATGCTCCGACAAACATCCGGTGGCCATTGGAGTAGCACGTTATTCTGAGCTCAGACAGCTGATGCAACGTTAATTCGTGGCGCATAATGGTAAGGTCCGGTCTTTGTCTCATGATAGGTTAAAAATGCGCCCTATCATGTACTTATCAACCAAATTGGGGAAATTTAGCGCCTGATCAGTCAGTGACACCCAACATCGTCAGAGCTGGAAAGGCACTGGAGACATCGTTCGGGGGTAAGTGAACTCCGAGGGCGAACGGAAGTCATAAAACCAGATAAATAACTTGACTGCAAAAAAGTCGGCCAGAATTGGGTCAGGGGACGGATTCATATTGTTATCATCTGCTACATATCTGCACGGTTTTGCTACTATGCGACAAAGAAGACCAATAGGGAGATTTGACCAGGAAAATGTTATCCGTGAACTATCTGATTCTAAAAATAAGTCGCACAAAGAGACGCAGCAACACTTGCCTGGACCTTAGCATATTGAAGTAGTACTTGTTTTTGGTACCCGCCGCACGGGTTCCTTGTGATCGGACATGTACAATTTATGTAAACTGCCCATGTTGGTTCAATCCCAATGGTGTTTATGACGTCGAACTCACTGACGAGGAAACCATAAGCATACCAATTGACGAAGTTTGCGAGGACATCCAGGAAATGGACACTCTGGGGCCAAAATCTGCGGCGGACTCTGGGGCCAAAGTCTGGGGCCTCTGTTTGTTTCAATCGGAGTTTCAACATCATGCGGCTGACATACCACGTGATCACCGCCGTCAGCCACACCGATGCTGAGGCAAGTCACGTGATTCTTTCGTCATTTTTCGTACCGGGACGACGGTTTAATCAGCCTATCGTGCATGCACAACATGCACGATCTGATATCTAAAGCTAGCGTTGTATGTCCAGAAGATGAACCTACTTTGTTATGTTTTATTATTCGTTATCGCCTCAATTTCTGTGGTTGTGATATTTTGCATGTATCTCTGTCAGCCACCACCACAGCCACCCTGCCATTACCACACCAACGCGATCTCTGTCACTCACCACTATGTCAATATCAGCCATGATGCCACCTGACCTGGATATCAGCAACCTGTTGACCTCACTCCAAGGGCATCCAACACTCGCCCATATCTCATTTGTTGACCTTGCAAGTTTCATGCGCCATGCTAACTTACTAAAGGATGATATCCTCCAGCCACAGCCACATAATGTCTCCATCATGCATCCCCCTGATGTTCTCTTGCAGAGTATTACGCACTTTCTTGCAGCCTCCCTCAACATCTTGCCTGACGCAGTTGACATACTATGGTCTATTACAAAGGATATTGTATGGGTGATGCCAAGCAACGCTGAGACCAATGCAAGTGATGAAGCCGCATTCAGGGTGCATGGTCATAAATTAGGACTGATTGATAGTCTATTATGTAACGAGGAACGAGTGTAGGAATAGAGTTAAGTCTTTGCGCAAGCGTCGGAGGCAGTACGAACCTTCTGACTTCGTACTGCAACGTCGCGCCGTATCGTCTCAGTCGTCCTCAACGACGACGTTCTTCCTCCTTCTCTTTTTCTCCGTTCTTCCTACTCTTGCTACTACTCTTAGAAACACTCAGTCAATTTCTCCAAAACACACTCTTAGCAAACACTCTCCGAATTCACCCGGCCTACCATGCAACGCATCTTAGCAGACCCAGCGCTGGAAGCGCAGCCCAATTTCGAGTCAGCAGCATACGCAGGATGGCTCAACGCCCTTGTGGCAGGGGGCACGGCCAGAGAAGATGCACTCGAGCAAATGGCTGAAGGCTGGAGACTCGAGCGCCAGGAACGCATTATCCTTTGGCAGCAACAGAATGAGGAAGATGCTCGCACCCTGCAAGAACAGTTAGAGCGCGAGAGAGCTGAAAAAGAGGCCGAGGAACAGCTAGAGAGGCGCGAAGCTGAGAAGAAAAAGCCCAAGATCAACGATTTTGATGAAGGGGCTCTCGTTGCAGACGTTATCATACCTCGCCCATCCCAGTATGCTATCCAAAGGATCAAGAACATGGAGTATGTAGAATTGTGGTACTTTAGCCCTGACGGTTGCCACGAGGCTTCCACCACCTCTAGGTCCACGTCAGACTCAGATGACGCTTTTGGCTTCGCCAAAGTGGATGGTGTAGTTGCCCTCAAGACGATCGCGTCTTTCAAAGCCTCTCAGAAGGCTCTACAGGATCATGACCTATCTTGGCGGCAGTTTGACCTCGCAAAGACCAGCTTTCTTGTGCACATTGAAAAGAACAACTGGCCACAAAAGCATCAGCAGGCTTTAGCATTATTTTTCACGCTCATTACCAACCATGAGCATCGCATGCGGCCACAAGGAGAAAAGGCTCTGCTTCGCTACGCAGGATTTGTGCGCCGTGAATGGCATGATCGCTTAGCGCAAGACCAAGGGTTCAACATTGGTTTATTCAATAATGCCCTATACAACTCGATATCTGACGACGTATGGGAGGCTGAACGAGATGAGGGTCTCAAAATGGTGCGTAGTGCGTCACCCACCAACATTCGATCACTGACCAATTTCTTTCATATATTCAATCTCACTTCGGAAACGGACCCTGCTGGCTGTCTAAATGCTTTCACTCTTGGCTATCCCTGCTTTCGGGGTACAATTCCCATCTGCTTCCCACGTGCTAACACATATATGACTTCGTCTTCTGTCTTCCGCTCTCCCTTGCTTGCGCTCGCTATGCTGCCGCTCTATCTACCCTCATGCTGACACAAACTCCTGTGCTCCCGCTTTCCTGTGTCCCTCTCAAACAACTTAACCGCTGCTTCGCTTATGCCCACACTGCTTTCGCACATCCCTGTATACCATGGTTTAACCAAATCTTTGCTTTCGTATAATTGTTCGAACCCTGGCTTACTCGAATCCTTTCATGCTTGCTCTATCTCACTCAGTTGCAAAACTCGCTTGCAGTTCCCAACACTTCCTTCCGTTCTCGGGGGAGAGACATGAGTTCCAGCCGAAACGGGCATGCAGAGACGGTACCTCTTGTGAATGATGGCCGCTATCACCCGTACCGCCCTGCTAACCAAATGGCAAAGAAACCACAGAAGTTGCAGCAGTTTTTTCCAGCGGGCGCAGGCCAAACCAGCCCATCAGCCTGCGCCCTATGCCTCGGCCGGTTCCGTCACCCCATCCACAAATGCGCATCCGAGTTCCTATGGGACAAACGAACCAAGACTCGATGTCGTCGAAACGCAGAGGGTCACTTGGTCAATCCAGAGGGCCTCGAAATCTGCTACGACTGGCAGAGACCCAAGGGATGCACCAACCCCTCTCGAACTCATGTGCACGAATGTTCAGGATGCGGAGCAAAGGATCACGGAGCTCAAGACTGCCCTCAAAGCGAGAGCATCTAACGCTATCACTCCCTATAGGCCTGAGGCCTGGCTGCAGTTTCTCATTTCTTCAAATCTCATACGTAAATATGCACATATTCCGAATGGTTTTCGCTTTGGTTTCATGGGCAGCGTCCCAACCATATCTCAAACTTATACCCCACCTAATAACCCCTCACTACATGCACATTTTGACGCCTTTACTGCCATTCTGGACCGTGAATATTCCACTGGTCGTTATATCGGACCTATATCTAAATCAGAGACTGAAGAACTCATTGGTCCTTTTCAGACAGCCCCACTCTCCATGGTTCCTAAGCCGGGAAAGCCAGGAAGATTCCGTCTCGTACAAAACCTCTCATTCCCCGCTTCGTCCATCAGCTACAGTATCATCCATTAATTCCTCTATCGACTCTAACTTATATCCATGCACGTGGGGCACAGCATCAACAATCTGTCTACTCATCTGGTCTCTCCCCCCAGGATCTCAGGCAGCTGTTCGTGACGTGGCTGAAGCCTACCGCACAGTACCTCTTCATCCTTCTCAATGGCCAGGCTCGGTCATCAGGACAGGAGAAGACAGCTTTGCAATTGATTCTAGCTTTGTTTCGGGTTCTCGGCATCAGCGGGAACCTATGGCGAGGTTGCAGATGCTGGTGCAGACATATTCCGATCACAAGGAATTGGTCCTGTATCCAAATGGATGGATGATCACCTATTCATTCGGATTCTGCGAGAGCACCTTGCCAGCTACAACAACCTGCGCAAATCTCGTGCTGCTATCATTGCACGAAATGGTGGCATGCTTATTGAAGGAGGTTGAAAATGGTATCGTGGTTCAACCATGCCTGACGGCAGAATTGAAGAGTTTGACGAAGACTGTTCATTTCCCATCATTGATCTCTCAACAGCCTCCCCCGCGATCGCCAGAAGATGCTCGCTTCACATTTTGCTTTGACGACATCAACCGCCTATCCAAAATTCTTGGAATACCCTGGGAACTGGCAAAGGACATCCTTTTCTCGTCATGTGCCCCTTTTATCGGTTTCCTTTGGGACATCGAGTCGCGTTCTATCTCGATCCCACAGAGCAAGAAGGAGAAGTATGTGGCAGCTATCAGGGAATGGGAGATTCGGTCTTCGCACACACTACGGGAAGTCCAGGAGCTTTATGGGAAACTCTTACATGCTTCTCTGGTCCTCCCAGCGGGAAGAGCTTACCCTCGTTTCTCTCGAAACCATGCTATCCATCTTTCACGACCGTCCACACATGCCTCGTTCCCCCCCCAAGCACACAGGTGATGACCTCCGGTGGTGGAAAGCCAGCCTCTCTCAATCACTCGTCTCTCGGCCAATCCCAGGGCCCGTCGAAGTCATTGACCCCTCGGCTTACTCAGACGCTAGCTCAGGCACTGGCATCGTGATTTGGATCAACGGCAGATGGCGAGCGTGGCTTCTCCTCCCAGGCTGGAAAGCCGAGGACAGAGACATTGGCTGGGCAGAAGCTGTCGGTATGGAATTCCTCATTATTGCACTCCTCGGTTCATGCCCAACGGGCAGCTGCATTAAAATATTCGGGGACAATCGAGGAGTTGTCGAAGGGTGGTGGAAAGGGCGTAGCCGCAACAGAGCCACCAATACTGTCTTCAAAAGGATCCATGAGCTCACTGCATCCGCACAATGCACTTTCCTCACACGCTATGTACCCAGTAACTACAACCCAGCAGACGCTCCGTCCAGGGGAATCTACCCTCCCTCAGACCTACTGCTTCCCCCAATTAGCATTCCCCAGCCACTCCAACCCTTCATCACAAACTTCGACGATCCCGCTATCCCTTCTGAGTGCCATGCACGCAGCAAGAACGTCAAAGCGCTCCCACATGTCAATGACCGAGCCCGCTCGCGAGAATCAGCTGAGCACCTCAACGACGAGCTCCGTCGCCAAGGAGAAGAGCTCTTTAAAGCGACGCAAGCTTATTGCGGCTTATCCTGCTAATCTCAGCCCTCGGGTTTCCGTCCTAAGACCCCATTGTGCAGCTAAGGACAGGCTCCGTCTATGGCGACCAGCCACTGATGACGAATCATTATCTTCCCTTCCTCACGCCGATGCACAGCGCATTCAAGATGTCATGATCCACGCATGGGCCGGCAGCACCCAGGAGGCATATGGAAGTGGCATCCTTGCCTACCATGTATACTGTGACTCAAATTCCATCAACGAAGCCATGCGTGCACCAGCGTCTTCTGAACTCATTTCAGCTTTTATTTCAGACTTAGCCGGATCATATTCAGGGAAAACTATATCAAGTTATGTCCACGGTATTCGTGCATGGCACATCTTACATGGAAAATCATGGTCCTTAGATGACGACAAAATAGATGCCATGCTAAGAGCAGCCAAGAACCTCACGCCCTCGTCATCAAGAAGGAAGAAAAGACCACCTTACACTGTGGCTTTCATAACTAGCATCTTGCAGAAACTAGACCCCAACAACCCTCTCGATGCCGCAGTGGGTAGCTGTCTCACAACAGCCTTTTATTCAATGGCCAGAGCTGGAGAATTCACGGTCCGAACCCTTTCATCATTCGATCCCTCCATTCATGTCAAACGATCCGACATTCGCCATGAAACAGACCGCAATGGGCTCGCGACTACAGTTTTTCATTTGCCCCGCACGAAAACATCGCAAAATGGGGAGGATGTTTTCTGGGCGAAACAAGAGGGCCCTACTGATCCTGAGGCAGCATTATCCAACCATCTCAACATCAACAACCCCCACTTCGATATCGCACTCTTTTCCTATAAGTTCGGCGAGGCACACCGTCCTTTGACAAAAACGAAGTTCATCACACGGCTCGCTCGCGCTGCAAAGGATGCTGGCCTTGACCCGTTGTAAGGCCACGCTATCAGAATAGGCGCCACCTTGGAATACCTCCTCCGAAACATCCCATTCGAAGTCGTCAAGACGATGGGAAGATGGGCCAGTGATGCCTTCCAGATCTATCTTCGAGATCACGCTCAGATTCTCGCACCATACCTTCAAGCAACACCTGCCATTCAAGATGAATTCCTGCGGCACACAATGCCCCGCATTCGGTGACGGGTTCTTCATGTAAGCATCCATCCTCCTCCTAGTTCTATGGGTATCTTCGGTTCGCTCGATGCGTCGTCGAACTCCTAGACATTTGGGAACCGCAGCTCACCTTTTATCTGGCAGGACACGCAACTCGGGACCGGGAGGCGCTGCGCGCCTTCGCCCAAATCGCTCAGAAATAGGATATGTCGAGGATCGCGAACATCGAGTATTCATAGCACGGTAGTCGAGACAATGTTAATGTGATTCTCCAAGCAGAACTGCTCCAAGTGACTCGCAAAGATTGATAGTCTATTATGTAACGAGGAACGAGTGTAGGAATAGAGTTAAGTCTTTGCGCAAGCGTCGGAGGCAGTACGAACCTTCTGACTTCGTACTGCAAACGTCGCGCCGTATCGTCTCAGTCGTCCTCAACGACGACGTTCTTCCTCCTTCTCTTTTCCCCACCCACCGCTCCCTTTTCAAACACGCGATGGTTCGTATCAACACTCAAGCATCGCTCATCGCTCTCCCTCTTCGGTGGTCCGGACTGCGCCCGATCCCTGTCATGAGTAGTTCGCGATGGTTTTTCTTTTCCCTCCCACCCTCGCAGCTCACCTTTTATCTGGCAGGACACGCAACTCAGGACCGGGAGGCGCTGCGCGCCTTCGCCCAAATCGCTCAGAAATAGGATATGTCGAGGATCGCGAACATCGAGTATTCATAGCACGGTAGTCGAGACAATGTTAATGTGATTCTCCAAGCAGAACTGCTCCAAGTGACTCGCAAAGAGTACGTTTTTTGATGCATATTGTGACCATTCTCACACGCCAGGCAGCAAAACGCACATTATACCCCCCTACCAAGGTTTGCATCAACCCTGACTGCACTGCATGGCAGCGTGGATCGCTGCTGAAGAAAGAAGAATACCAGCGTGTTGTTCTATTTACTCACAGTGAGGGTGCACGTCCTGGATGGACAGTTCATCTGAGGTGCCGAGGTATGTCTATATTATCATGATAGTGCTCGACTGATTGTTCATTGATGACGAAGCCTGCAACACGAATTATCAGTCTAACTACAGCGTCAAGGGCCAGCTGCGAACATACTACGCAGGCATACCCCAATTCATCCAGGTCTCTGATCATCAGTTCGTTGAGCTCGAGCTTGCAATGCAATGGATGGATCTGACGCAGATTGCGTATGTAACTCTCTTCACCTCTCATGTTATTGTTCATGTTCTCTACAGTGTTTCGGCCACAAATTGTGCACACTTGTATGGGATTGCCCATGCTCGTCGCAGTCGCACCGACAACGTTGATGACTGGCAGTTTGGGAGTTCTCTAACCACTGAACAAGTCTGGGATTTGTTCACCCTGCTTGCCCTCCTTGATTATCTTCAACCACGAGATGAGCATCTTATTGTGCCGCATGACGGTGACCAGAAACATCGCTTTACGACTGCAATGTATGCACGCAACAGCCGGATTGTTCTTGAAGGCCAAGACGAACTCCCTCATGCTTGCTGTGCATGCATGCGCATTTTTGAGTCACCGGATGGCACACTGCGCCGTACTGAGGTCATTGTTACAGACGGTGTGACGGTTGGGCGCCCCTGCTGTGCCGTCCCACGGTGCAAGAACCCCCTGGAGAATAATAGGCACTGATTCTGTGCAGCGGAACATCATGCCCTCGAGACTGTCTGTGCTGTTGATGGTTGCGATCAGCCGGTCATGGTTGACACTGAGACGGGAAAGAATCGTAAGGCATGCAAGGACCCAGTTCATCTGCTCATGGAAACCGCCAACATCAATTCATCACGCAGTGGAAAGAGCAAGACACAGCGTCAGAAGCTTGCCAGGTTGAATGATGCCATAGGCACACAAGTGGACGAGGACATCACCCTTCAGGATGTTGAAGAGTGGTATGAGCATGATGTACCCTCCGGTGCAGTTTGATTGTTACAAGCGCCTACAACAACCTCGACTGGAGTGTCGGATACCATCATGTCATCTCAGGCTGTTGCTGATGGGTGCAGCGCCAAGGACACGCCACCTAAAATCAAGGCTACCTTCCGTCATCAGCGTACGAACAACGAACAACTTGTTGTTCGCCCATGTGGAGTTATCTGTGGCCGTGGCACAATGTACCACCATGAGGCCGTCTCAAACGTGCTGGTAAGTTCAAGTCTTGCTGTCGGAGAACTCATGCTGACCAGGGTTTCACAAGATCATGATTGAGAAAATGTTTACCCTCCCGCGTGCTCGTAAACCCCAGCATATGATTTACGACTCCAATTGTAATGCATTGCATGAAGTGGAGAGTCGCAATATCACATTCTTTGAGGGGATGGGTATGTGTGTAGATGCCTTCCATCACAAAACGAAGCACAAGGCTAGCGATACGCTCTGCCGTGAGTGCTGTGACATGAAGGCATACCCTGAACTCCTCGATGACAATGGGAAGTACTATTTCAACTCGTCAATCGCAGAGCAAACGAATGTTTGGTTTGGTGGTTTTCATAACATTTGTCGAGAGATGACGCCGGTCAAGTATGATTTTTTCCTTGATGAGATGATCCTCTGTCGAAACCATATGACCGTTGCTACCCTTCAGACACAAGGCAAACTCCCCCACCATTCACCTGTCTTGTAGTTATCTCTTGATGTTTTCTGTATCATAGCACAATGGCAGTCATTTACGCAACAGCATGGACTTCCCTTTCTACAGTCCTTATGCAACAGCATGGTATGGACTTCCCTTTCTTCAGTCCTTACCTGCAGCGCAACAGCATGGACTTCCCTTTCTTCAGTCCTTACCTGCAGAGCATCATAAGATGTGCAAGACCTTTGTGCGCACGGCATGGACTTCCCTTTCTTCAGTCCTTACCTGCAGAGCATCATAAGATGTGCGAGACCTTTGTATGGGATCTGAATGGTAGGCCTCTTGCCTAGAGAGACACAACTTCAAAGCTCATATTGCCAGTGTGGACGGCGACTTTGTTTGCATGTGCTACATAATACAAGTGTGTAGGTGACAGAACCGACAAATCAAGGTGTGAAATGCATAAGGCTGTGATAATATAATGAATAAATCAAGTAGCAGAACAAATCAATGAGTAAGTGAAGGAGGAGCATGACAAAAAATCATGTGCGCCCGCTGTGTTTCTTGCTGACCTCACCCAAGGCATGGCGCCGTGCAGCCAGGTAGTTTGACCAGAGGCCATCTTGAGTCCGCCCTGCTTGCTTGTGCATCTTGAGGATGGTTGGATCCGTCTCCAACCAAGCCTTGCGGTTCTGGTGATAAGTCGCCCCGAACGAAGGGGGCATTGCCAAAGATGAGACTAAACAGTACCTCCTGACTAAAGCGAGCACAGAGGCTTGGAAGGTTCATTTGCTGAAAACCTACTGCCATATCAATCGTGTACATGGCGTGTGGCCAGCCTCGCCGCTTGGCAAGGTTGTATATGGGAACATGCACAGGAATGACCCCAGGAGCAGCAGACTGAGAGAGGGCAATGGACACTGATGATGTTGATGGTGGGGGTGTTGGCGACAGTGAGATAACACTACGAGAATCAAAATCATCTGACTTGAGGGCTGGTTGCCGTGTGGGCTTGATGGTGACCGATGCTGATGGTGGGGGTATTGGTGATAGTGAAATAGCATGACGAGAGTCAAAATCGTCTCCCTCGGAGTTGACATAGGACCACTTGAGTGGAGTTGTTGGCGACGGCAAGACAGTGCAACGAGAGTTGAAATCATCTTCCTGTAGACCAGTCAGATCTAAATGCCAGCGACGTACTCGCGTTGGGGTGGGTGTCTCCTGCTCTTGACTTGAGCTTTGATGCCAGCGACGCTTGCCTAGTAAGGGTGTTCCTAGTGATGGTGTTAGCTCCTCCTGCTTGATGGTCTTGACATCAGACGTCGGGGTGGGTGTCTCCTGTTCTTGACTCGAGCTTTGGTGCCAGTGACGCTGTCTTAATAACCGAGGGTCTTATATAAATACGTGTAAGAATGTAATGACACCACAATTACACTGGATAAGACTTCTTGCCAGTCCTCGATTAACACGGTCTACGACTTTTCTTCTTTCGTGGTAGATAACGTGTGAGTTCTTGGGAGGCTCGCTAAACCAATCAGTCAGATTAACTTAGCCCGAGCTTTATTATCTCTGATTGAAACTATGGGATTGTCTAGGATATACCGTCTAGACACTTGAACTGGTTTCCTGAATATATGGTTAACTGTTGGGAAGCTGGTCTCAAATGTGACTATGTGGACCAAAGCTCGTGTTGGTCAATATACAAATACCTGGTGAGAACTGCTGGTCTCACAAATAACAACAATGACAATAAAACATGACAATACACAATGACCAAAGCTCGTGTTGGTCAGTATACAAATACCTGGTGAGAACGCTGGTCTCACAAATAACAACAGTGACCAAAGCTCGTGTTGGTCAGTAAACACTACGTGGTGAGAACACTGGTCTCACAAAACTGGGTTTCTATTGCGAGAAACTTATGTAATCTCAAGGGAAACACTTTCCCTGCACTTGCCTGGACAGTTCTTACAAAGGAAATGGGCTTTGTAAGCAGCAATTTGTTCAGACTGAAGCTTCTTAGGTGAGAGTTCAATTTGCTCAAGTGGGAGATTCTTGAATGCAACAAGTGGGAGATCTATTTTTTTGGGGGAGAATGGGCTCTCCTTATATACATTTGATGTGGGAATATTATGTAAGTAAAAAGGTGATGTAATGACTTCAGAATGTGAGAAGAATATTCCAAAAACTGGAGCAGAATGTTCTAGCAGGTGCAAAAGAACATTCCAGAATATTCATGGTGGGATAATGACATCATTCTGAGTCACTCTGAGTCATTATGAGTCATTATGAGTCATTATGAGTCATTGGAATGTTCTAGCAAATTCCATGGAACATGACATCATTATGACATCACTATGATATCATATCTTTCAACCGAAAATACCTGCAGGAGTGTAGGTGAAGTCCTATGACATCATTATGACATCATACCCTGTAGGTACAATTTTATGAAGCATCTGATTAGTCAGAGCATCCTAATAGAAAAGTAAAGTAAAGAAACACTAGAGAAAACAACTCAGAAATAATGGAACAAATAATAGTACACAATACACGGGCTTTTTAGATAGGTTTTTGTTAGGCTTTGAACTTTTCTCTATGGGTTTCTCTAGCCAAAGTGAATAAGCCAAAGGAAAGGCAATACCTTAACCTTCAATTTGCTTCTCATATCAACTAGGTCATTATGTGATTCCCATCTCACATATGACTTTCTTCAAAACATGGTGGATTCATGAATCACTGAGGGAAAACTGAAACTATTGGACCAAGGTTTGATACCAAGGTATGGGTTGACTAGTCTGAGGACTAAGCTAACAGACTTTGTCTTTTAGGGGGATACCTAGTAATCATGTCCATGCATGATTCCCAAATCATGCAGGATGACGCTTGCCTAGTAAGGGTGTTAGCAGCTCCTGCTTGATGATCTTGACCTCAGATGATTGCTGCTGCTTCTTCGTGCGCACACTATCATGCTCAGCCTTTCATGTTGAACCGCATGTGGGAGGGGCGATTCAACTGCTTTGAGGACTTGAACAGTTCATCGAACTCCCTACACTGAGTGACACCATGGCGTCGGATGAAGATATGACAGCCCGATTCAAGAGTGAGGGTGTGGCTAAGGGATGATGGGGTCCACCGCATGAAGCTCTCCTCAAAGATATCGATCTTCTGGATGTCATCACCAAGGGATTGGACCAGGGATGGATCATCGGCAAGCTGATAATGAGGAAAGTAGGGGCAGTGCACAATCCATTGCATCGTGACCGGTGTGTCATCCTAAACTCACGGTGAGCACAACTTGTGAAAATAAACATGAAGACAAGCTTACCCTGTCAAACCAGTATAACACAAATCTTTGCTTTGAAGCACGCTCCATCTCCTTTCAGCATTCAGTGATACGCTTGTTCATTATTTCCTCTTGAGCGCGTGCATTGAGGTCGCCAGCCCACAATGGGTCAAGCTGATCAGTCACACGAGCAGCCTTGGAAAGCTTGTGAACTGGGAACATCCATGTGGACAAGGCAGCATCGTCACTTGGTCGCAGAGGGTGAGATGATGGTGGGGGTGTACGAGCGGGAGATGGTGGAGGTAGTTGAGATGGGTTTGGAACGGTAAGGAGGTCATGGAATGATGGGAAGGGAGCTGGTTGTCCACCGGTGGCAGCCATTGATGCTTCAAGTGCCTGTTGAAGCTCGCGATGTCCATAACTCGTTTCCGCCTCAGCATCCTCTAGGTAAAATCCATTGACATCTAGCGGTTGCACATCCATACGCTGATTATGTGTCTCTACACCATGAATCGGACATCCTCCATTTTCCGTGCAATGGCTGAGGCACATCCCTTGCGGACACCACAGTGCACTGACTTTGCGGCAAAAAGGGCCAGCGCATTGACCCCCCCACTTCCTTGGCTTCTTGCCATTCCACTGAGGGTGAGAAGTCGAAGTTGAAGGCTGAGTGGAGGAAAATGCGGTTGAAAAGACATCGCCCAAGGAAGTAGATACAGTTGGCAATGAACTTGTAAGAGTCGGTGATCCTTTTGCCAAAGGGATTAAAGCCATGATATCAGGACGCGTCATAAGCTGAGGGTACCACCGGTAGAACGAGCAGGAGCGATGCTGGCCAAAAGGTCAGCTTAGTACTCCAACCATTCCTCATGCAAGAGGGGACATACCATAGCCATGGGCTTGCCTTCATTACCATTCTTGTCACTGCGGCAGATTGTGATGGGTACAGCGCCGCCACAGCTTTCACAGTCAGTGACAAGTCCAACAGCAGAATGGCGCAGCACAAGGCTGGAGAGAAAGGCAAGATCATTTTGCTGCAATGAAGACATGATGAGGCGGGCACAGGCGTGCAGGAAGAGGGGTGGGGCTGGGGCGGAGCGGGTGGGCGGGAAACACAGGAAGGGGACAGATAAGAGAGATGGGTAGCGCCGTAGCGGGCATGGCATTGTCATAAGGTAGACTTGAGGCGGAGCATGAATGCAGTATTCCAATAACAGCTGCATGCTGGCGGGCAGTGGCGGGGAGGCGGGAGACGCTGATCGGCAATGAGCGGGCTGGGCTTTGTCATCAAGCGGTGTTTAAACTCAGCCGGACTTGCCGATGGGCCCCAGAGTCAGGCCCCAGAGTCTGCCCCAGATTTTGGCCCCAGAGTGTCCAAATCCCTGACATTCTGAAGTTTGCGTGTTCATTCACTGTGCTCGGATCAGAAGATGACTTCGCATGATGGACTTCATGTCAACCAATGCATTCAATCAGTCTCGAAATCACATCCGTCGCGTAGTATCTCTCCTGTGGGGTCCCGTGGACTTCGGAACATTCTTGCTGCGTTTTATAACCTAGGAATTGAATCCGCTTGTCGCCAGGTTCTTGCTTTCAGAAAGAATGGTTGTTCGCTCGCTGTCCACCAGCAGGTGGTGCTTGTTTATTCCGTAAGAGCGACCGCCATATTATGTTGCTACATAGTAACGGTTAGAAGTGCTGCAGTAAGTGGTGTAACCGGTCAGGACTTCGAAGCGACATGGTTTAGCGTGCGTGCATTTTGAGCTATCGTGGGATTCTATTGCTATATTAGGTACATAGAGGAGAACTTCTACTAGTTCTTACTTCCGAAGGTGTCGGTTACTTCATGTCTTATCTGCGTAGTTGGTTCTCGCTTGATACCTCAAGCTCCGCGAGCAACGTTGAGCCCAACGACTCCTACCTAAACCAATCACTTTCAGTCCCAGAATTCCACGAAGAAGATGAGGACGATGGATCGGACACGGCGGGTGAAGACGACTCACCGCCTGCTTTCCCCGCGATCAACAGTGCACAACGTGCTGCCTCATCTTCTTCATCTTCAGACTCATCCAGGCGACTCAGCATACCAAAGATACTCACAGACTCTGCATTGATGCCCCCACCGCCTGTACCTAGCCTTGCTACACGCCAACCAGGTGTTCCGCCTCCACAGAGTTCATCATCTCTTCTTGCACCTATGACCACGATTAAGCCACCCAAACGACCTTCCAGACGTGATAAAGTAGCTTTAGCGCCAGGATTTGGTCCTCTCGATTGGGGAAACCTCAAAGCATCTGGCCAGAACTTACGAGTAAGCAAGTCGATGCCATCTCTAGTACGCAATGTAGTGAGATTTGATCAGGGAGTTGATGCATTAATGCGCATCCCACCATCTGTTCTCAAGTTACATAACAAGAAGGAGGATGCTTGGACAGCGATCAATGGCAAGGTTTATAATATCACACCCTACCTCCCGTTTCATCCGGGTGGTGAGAAGGAGCTCATGAGAGTAGCGGGTAGAGATGGAACTAAGTTGTTTTGTGAGTACTAGTCATATCTCCGTATGGGCTGCACCACTGAACGGGATAACTTAGCACTGACGCACGCGTGGGTAAATGCAGACTTCATGCTTGATGCATGCCTGGTTGGATTCCTAGTCTCAGAGCCAAGCTCATAATAGATTGGACATGACGTTGGATATAATTGTTTAGATTGCGTGGATTAGAACTGCAGGCTGCTATCGATATCTGTACTCAATTACTTGCTGTGCTACAACGGGCGCCGCATAGGCACTGCGGTGTACTTTGCGCCTAAGCCGGACCGCCACAGGATGGACATTTGGGCTAGGTGGTTGCTTGTATGTTCTTCTTCTGCTAAATTTAATGTAGAGCCCTAACATGTGACTGCAAGAGTTGATCGCAATCGTAATATCCAGTGTCGCATCTCACTGGAAGTCTACTATTGCCTTGATCATCGCAATGAAAGCGTTGCCACGCGGCCGGAAGCACCTCTGTCACCGGGTCGTCCGTCGAAGAATGCAAAGATATGGTCACAAGGGGCCTGCTTTGATTATATCGCATCCGAAAATGGCAAGCGGTTGCGCAATAAGACCTTCGACTGGCACCACATTCCGCATTGAGTTTCCGGGAGTGGTCGCCTGACTTCCTTATTCCGGTATAAAGTATGAGGAATGTGCAATGCAGAAGCTAGTATCAGGAACTCTTCCCTTCTAACATGGCACCAGTAGCTACCAGTGAGGAAAGTGGCAACGGAAGCATCGGCAGTACTGTTGCAGATTTGAAGAAAGCTCAAGCCGATAAGTCGCTAGATCATGAGCCTATGTTCATAAATCCCTTCTACTCGCCCAGTGCTGGGAACGAGAACGACGATGACTACCAATATGCCAAGTACAAGGTGAGCGACTTTGGATTTCAATCTCGCAGGCAAACACTGATGCTTCACCAAGCCCCACTTCCCAGTTGTGAATTGGAAACCGCTCACGGAAATCGAGGTCACCGACCGCGGCCACTTTGCAGACTCAAGCAAGACGGCTCTCTTTAGTGCTGCACAGAAAGTGAAACACCTTACACCCACCATTGGCACAGAGCTCGTTGGCGTTGACCTCAGGCAGCTAACGAATCAGCAAAAGGACGAACTGTGGGTACTAAATCCACAGCTGCAGCTATGTTTTAACGAGTTTATCACGCCAGCGCCCTTCTTGTTGCGGAGAGAGGCGTTGTTTGTGAGTGAACCTAAATATGTCACAAACAGGTCTCTTACTTGGCTAACCAACACATCCATTACGTAGTCTTCCGAGATCAGGAGCTCAACATCCACGAGCAGCTTGACATTGCTAGACACTTTGGACCCCTTCACAAGCACGCAACGACCCCCGTCCCTCGAGAACCAGGACTTGAGGAGGTTCACGGTGACTCAGATTGTTCAAAAAACTCTGTAACCATTAATTTCATCTTTCAGTTGTTTACAATGACGCCGCACGACGCCCAGACGCCAGCGCGTTTTCGAAGATAGAGCTTTGGCACAGCGATGTGACATATGAGATCCAACCACCGAGTACCACGTCTTTGAAGGTGATTACTGGTCCCGAGTACGGCGGTGACACACTCTGGAGCTCTGGGTGAGTATCAGAAGATGGCCCGCTGTGCAAAGAAGTTATTCTGATGATTACATACAGTCATGCTCTTTATTCCTCCCTCAGTCCAGGAATGCAGGCATACCTCGAGGGTCTTACAGCTCTGCACAGTGCGGTCGCGCAAGCGGAGGGATCTCGCGCGGCTGGCCTCCACATCCGCCGCGAGCCCGTTGAAACCGTACATCCTGTCGTTCGTGTCCACCCAGTAACTGGCTGGAAGAGCGTTTATGTCAACCCTGGCTTTACTCGTCGCATACTCGGTGTCCCAAAAGCCGAATCCGACACCATTCTCAATTTCTTGTTCCACCAGGTCGCCGAGAATGTTGACTTCCAAGTGCGCTTCCACTGGGAGCCGAATTCAATTGCGTTCTGGGATAACAGGGTTAGTACTGTTTCTACTCAACGAAGAGGCGCAGAGTTTGACCAGATAGTAGGTTGTCACTCACACCGCAACTTTCGATTTCTGGCCTCAAACTCGCCACGCACTCAGGGCTACGCCTCATGGCGAGAAACCCGAGTCTGTTGAAAACTACGAGAGCCGGACAGGCAAAGTGGCGAAAGATCGCCAGATTGAGATCTGGAAAGAGCAGGGAATCGAGATTCCTCAATCGAAGAAGGGTCTCTCTCGGGCACGCGGATACAATGACTGAGTTGTCAGTCTGCTTGAATTGTAGAGTAAGTATGACGGAACTCCAAGCCATCGAGAGCTGTTTTTTTTTGGCGAAAGCCTTTGATCCAAACAACCTTGGGAAAATCGGAGACGTTGAGGCTACTGAAGTACTCACTGGTGCCTAAAATCTGCTATCAGCGCAGCCTTCGCAACTGCATACCATCCGCTGCCACAAATGTTTCCGGATTTCCCATCCAAGCTGTGACCGGCAGCACCAACTTGCAAGTTGGGCTCGGCAACCTGTGCGCATGACGGTTGGCAGTTCAGCGCCATCAAGTTCATTGTGGACTGGACTCACCTTAATCTCTGACAGAGGTGACCATACTCGAGGCTTATTGACGTCGTGATTGCTTGGTCGTTCCTTGTGAATCACGACATCGTACACATTGACAACTGCAGGCAGAGGCAAACACTTCCGAGAGCCAGTGGCTCCAGCAACCAGTCCTCCTCCGTGATAATCCATTGTCGTGTCTGATAAGTTACAGTCACCCGAAAGTGGGCCACTCCTTGATGCCGGTCGCCAACGCTTTCTATCTCAGGGAGGATGCTCAATCGGCTGGAACCACCAACTCGAAAAAAGATATTTACAGAGGAACCTATCTAACGGGGTGTTTCGTATTCGTTCCTCATGTTGAAATTGATCCCAATCCAGAATGAATTCGAGTAACACGTGAGCTGGAACCAATTCTACAGGTAGGATACCGTGATGATGATAATGCAGTAAACAACTGAAGCTTGAAGGGTGGATGAACTGTAGCGTCCCACAGTCCTGGAAGACATTACTTGATTGTGTTCTGGTGGTAGACACCGCGCGTGAGTGGTCTACTGGACGTCCTCGATTTTGTTCACACAATGATTGGATCAGCGCCTAGGGACTTCTCAACAACATCGGCATTTCCATCTGCGGTTCCACACTCTGAATAACGCTTAAAGAGTACCCAGTACCTTGTTGAATTCTCTGTCGAGAAGCTGTTTTCTCTTATTTCGAAATTGTTTAAAACCCTAAAGGTAGATCCACCTACTTATATTGACAACCACACATGTCAAAATATACAAGATTGTATCATAAACATGTTACGAGAAGACCACAAAATGTTCAGATGCAGTTCCTAAATTCCAGTCAAAAAAAAAATCTTCAGAACGTGCAGATGAATTGTATGATTCTTCCTCCTTGTTAGTCCTCGAATATCGCAAACGAAAATGATACACACATGATATTCATGTGCTCTCAGAGCCCTCGCCGTTAATTGCATTATTAAAACTTAGGCAGCACTTTGCCAGACGGAATAATTGTTTTCCGTCTCGATCGATCGCAAGCGATAGTGGAGTAGAGATGCTATCCCGTGCTTTGGCACCCAGAAAAGCAGCGAAGTTACGCAGGGCATTTGTGCGATGGCCGATACGTCCTGAAGTCTTCGTGTCCATATCTGAATGATCCTCAAGCCCTTGTAAGGCGCGTTCGTAGTCGAGCATACACCGGATCAGATGAAAGAATTTTCCTCCGTCCCGTTCAACAGCCTCCAAAATGCGCTTATCCGTCTCACTCTCGCCGAGGCCGTCAAGCCAGTCAGCAAATCTGGAGCAAAGTGACGCGATTTTTGCATCTTGGCTTGAGTTTGAGAAATACGATGATCCTTCGGAAGGTCCATGTTCGTTGCTCTTAAAGCTTTCTCCGTACTAGATATTTTCTCCGAGTCAGTGTAGCGCTTGTGTAGAGTTGAAAAAACTTACCTGTTTCCTTGGAGGCTGGCGTCCAGTGGATTTGCGAGCGATATTCTTCCGATGGCGTTTTACTCCGCCAGGAATCGAAGTTGGAGTTGGAGGAGAGCCTAACACAGAAGTACGAATGTGTGCCGAACTTGAAGGGTTACCGTTGATCATGTAGACTGCTCGTCGTCAGTACGAAGTACTAAGCAGGTACTCGTGTTTAAGGTGCACGTCCAGTCTGCACACTGCGTGGGACTTCGGAAGAGAGTTACTGTTATGTAACAATTGTAGGCGTGTGTTGCAACTTTTTTTTTTTGGACAAGCGAGTCTATTAAGTGCTGCTCAATTCTAAAATGTCGTTGTCAATATCGACTTGACCTTACGGACAACCTCTCGTAAATTACTCACGCGGACCTAAACCTTTCCTTATTTGGCCACCTCCGTGTCGGTTAGACCTTCGCATGGGAGACGTTCTACTACACCTTGTCGCAGAGTATCCTCGTTCTAATCCTCGCTGTTAGAGACTTAGAGCCCAACTTGAAGTTAGCTACCTAAACCTTTCCATGCAGTAGTAATAGTAGTAATATTCCTAAACCTTTTCATATTTATTGCTAAATGTCCTCCTAAACCTTTTATTCATAATACTTGTAGTCTACTAGGTATCTGTTCTGCTCGGGCGAATTTTGAGTGGTTTAAGCAATTTTGCACGCAGTACTGTCGGTACTAATGAGACATGTCGAACTGGAATATTCAAAGACTTTGATTTAGGGAAAGGTTTAGAATTATGGAGCAATACTATATGGAAAGGTTTAGGTAGCTAACTTCAAGTTGGGCTCTAAGTCTCTAACAGCGAGGATTAGAACGAGGATACTCTGCGACAAGGTGTAGTAGAACGTCTCCCATGCGAAGGTCTAACTGACACGGAGGTGGCCAAATAAGGAAAGGTTTAGGTTCGCGTGAGTAATTTATGAGAGGTTGTCCGTAAGGTCAAGTCGACATTGACAACGACATTTTAGAATTGAGCAGCACTTTATGTAGCAACTGACACTGTCTAGTGTTGACGCATAAGTGAGCACGTGAGCGACGCAGCACGACAACACATCGGAGTTAGATCATTGGAATACGAACTACGATATATATACCTGACTTGTCGCATATGCCGCTTCCCTCAGTCCATTATATGAACTGAGGGTAAGCTATCTTCTCATCTCACCATACTACCTAGATGCTAACTCTCATACTTAGAGACTGATTGTAACTGCTGTCTAGATTTTACAGGTTATGAGCCCTGCGCCCTCGTAATCGAGAGCACAGAAACCACCTGGACACAGTTATATTTTAACAACCTCTTCGTAATACACTTTAACACACCTACAGCATGCAGCGTTCTTATGCTTACTCCAGGTTGACGTCTTCGAACATCGCTCCCACTTCCTCTTCAGGCGAGAAGCACCGTGTTGACAAATGCACAGGCCCACACCTACTTCACCATTTTCACATTCTCACTTTCGAATCAAAGGCATCTGCCTTCAAGGTCTGGCAAACACTTTCCAGGCTCACAGATAACACAGGTATTAGGACTCTGAAGGTAAGCAAATAATTCCCTCAGCTTTTCTCATCACAGATACGGTCAGGATTAGTGATTTAAAGTCCAGTCCAGTCCGGTCTTTTTACCATATTTGGGAGGCAACCGGACCAGACCGGTCTTTTTATTCCCACGATATCAAAAAACCAGACTGGACTGATAAAGACCAATATTTTCAGTCTTTTGCGGTCCTACAACCGGTTTTATACCGGTTACAACCAAAACCGGTCTGGTGGCAGTATACCACTCACTCCTGCGATTCCAACGGTGCTTTATTTGTATTAAACAGTTAAGATTTGAACGAGATATGAGCATTTTAAAAAAATTACCAAACTCTGCCCCACAAGTGAGTCAAATATGAAATGTCAAAAAATAAAAGTTGTTATAAGGCTTAGGTGTCTCGATGCTAACTGTAGCCCTAGTATAGACGAGTATATAGCTGGTCTTGCCTTGTCAATTGATTATGATTTGTCGAGTTTAATCTGTTTATACAAGGGTAATTGGATGAGTCTGTCCTATAGCAGACCCGTTCTTCCCTCGGGTCGTCCCGTGTCTTTGTCTTGGGCCTTGCCCTTTAGCCCCTGCGGCTTTTGCCCTGTGCAAACCGGCATGACAAATATGCTGAAAGCAATCCTCATTGCCACCTCCTTTAGTGGAGTTGACAGTCTATGTCTAGCAAGATGGAGTCGAATTGGCTCTTTGCCTTTTCTCACTCGAGTTTCTTGTCTTGCTAGGTATGCTGTCTTTATCCACTGTTTGGCCTTTTCTCACTCGAGTTTCTCGTCTTGCTAGTATAGCACAAATTTGCGCACTATTTAATACATCGAAATCTTTGATCTCTCATGTCCGAGCATGCCAAATCCTCTTCTCAAACCGTCTCAACCACCTCTTCCTTTCCCTCCATTAGAGGAGTCCATTTCAACCAACAAGCAGTTAAAGAGTGTCTCAACATCATTGACTGACACAAACGATCCAATATTGACAAAGGAGATGCCATTCTCGAAATTCACAGGATTCTCCAAGAAACAGTCTCTTCCTCATCTTCACTTACCCAGACTCAGTTTGGAGCTGGGTTCAGTCACTTCTTGGAACTCCTTGACAGGGCAGGTTTGTCCCAGCCAATCGATCAGCATCACCAATCAGAGGAAAGAGAAGATGAAGGGAGGATACCTAGTCCAACCTCACACATCCAAGAGGAAGAGAGATTTGGGTCTCGAGTTCTTGCCCGAGAGGGATTGCACACACGAGAAATGACAGAAGAGGCAGAGAGTGGGAAATCAGACGAAGGAGATGACTATGTTCTCAGAGGGAAGTGTTGCAGGCTTACCTCTGAGCAGCTCCAATTCTATCCTTGGCTTCACCCGCGAAATTTCAGACATCTCTCCAGAAAAAAGTCTCAACGGCTTACACTCAAATATCTTGAAGAGTGGTCAGATGATACAAAATACTATCGGGGACAGGCTACCACTACACCAGGGTGTCCATCCTTTCCCTCTTCACAATGGACGCTCCTTTTCGAGGGTCGAGCACCTGATCTTGACAAAGTTCTGTTGGGACACTACACCACTACCATTGACCCAAAACAGTCCCAAGTTATCAGAAAGGGGTTTGAAATTTCCCTTACTCAACCTACCTCTACTCATCATGTCCGATCCTTCAGAGATTGGAGTGTTGCAACTGACTTATGGCAAGATGCCCTCACCTTCATCATGCCGTGGAAGGAGTCATTGCTTCGAGAGTATAGGCGCTATTTTTCCCGAATCTTCCGGGATGTCCACTACAGCGTTCACTCCCGTATTATCAACTTCGATTCGAGCCTGTTGACTTGAGGTTGAAGCCCAAAAATACCTCTATTTCAATGACTTCCAAGAATTCAGGAGTCTCAAAACATCCCACTTCTCATCTCTCGGAATGGTTGCCTATTCCGAGCTCCAGCACCTCTCCTCTACTTCTTCTGACAAAACCTTCAGGAAAACGCAAGGAGGAGGACGAAAACCAGTCACGTCAGGATTTGTCCTCAAGGGGAGAAGCTTGTCTTAACTGGAACCACGGTGCATGTGAGAAGCCACCCACTGAGTGTAACCGCTTCCACATCTGCAGTAGGTGCTGTGGACCCCATAAACAAACTGAATGTTCGTTGGCAAAAGGAACTAAATGAAAAGATCGCTAAAGGGCAGCGTTTCCGTTGACAAATGATATGGGGAGAAAATGGTAGTGCCCTTAGTGGAACCAGCTAGATAGACTGAGTCTGCTGACCCGTTACCTCATCCTCCTGCTGATGAGTTTCTTAATCTCAGCTGCAATAAAGACCATCTCCTCTCAACCAGATCTTTTCAAAGTTCAAACTCCTGTCAATGTTGATAGGTTTGAAACTCTTCTCACCCTTGCCTGATCACCCAAATCCTGCCTTCGTCAATTCTGTTTGTCAAGGACTTCGTGAAGGATTTTGGCCTTGGGCTGATACTCACTATGGAGTATATCCTACTACATGGGATGTTCCGTCGCCCTCCCTCCATCTACAGATCAAGAGTGAAACTTCCTTCGAGATCAAATCTTGAAGGAGGAATCAGTGGGAAGATATTCTCGCAGTTTTGGGCCTGACCTATTACCAGGAATGTATAGTATGCCTATTCACGTGGTCCCTAAGGAAGGTGGCAAGTTCCATCTTGTCACTAACCACAGCGCCAGTGACTTCTCACTTAACTCTATGATCTTAAAGGAGGACATTGCTGGGGTCACCCTCAATAATGTCCAAGACCTTGGCGATGCTCTTCGACTTCACCGCCAATCTAATCCTGGGGACACTCTTCATATTTGGAAGGCGGACATTTCAGAAGCCTATCGTCACATGCCTATGCATCCACTCTGGCAAATCAAGCAAGTCGTCACCTTTGAAGGCCAGAGATGGATCAACTGGGCCAATGTCTTCGGTGGTCGAGAATCGCAATGCATTTTCCACACCTTTATGTCACTGGTTATGTGGCTTGCGGTTTTCGTCAGGCTCATCCGAGCTTTTCTGTAAGTTGACGACTCTTTTTTCTTTTGCCAAGGTCAAAGATATGGCCTATACGGCAAATATCACAAAATGTTACCTCAGGATATGGTTTCGCTCCTCTTACTTTGGGATGAACTCGGTATACCGCATGAAGAACGAAAACAAATATTCGGGTTGCCTCTCCCAGTTATTGGGTTCGACATTGACCCAAATTCCATGCGGGTTTCTCTCAAAGACGAGTCAAAGGCAGCATTAGTCTGAGAGTTGAAAGATTTTGCGAAGCACAAGCAAAAGAGGTCGTTGAGGGATTTTGAGCATATCGCTGGGTCTCTTAACTGGGCATTAAATGTCTGCCCCCTGCTGCGACCAGGGCTGGCAGCTGTCTATGAGAAGACTCGCGGTAAGACAAATTCCAAGGGGATGTTATGGATCAATCGGAGCATCGTCGATGAACTCCATTGGGCCGCCTTTCATCTTGAGCGTTCTAATGGGATTTTTTTCTTCAAATCGGTCTCATGGAACCCCGGGACACTTCCTAATAATGTGCTCCAGGTCTTTTGTGATGATTCTGGTACTGGCTTAGGCTTCTGGTAT